TATAGCTGGGAAAATCATCTATTTCTATGGGCCATCTATGCCATGGCGATGTTAAATAACCAGAGGGTATAGCAATAGACTGGGATATAAATATATACAACATCCGTATGTTGATTTTTTGTTATGTATATTTATAAGATGGAATCCAAACATGGCCTTCCGAAAAAGAGGTAACCTATGGTAACATGAATTTTGATGTTTATTGGTTCTTCGGGCTTTGTCCGAAGAAGAATGTTCCATCATTTTAGGTGAACTCAAGGGACTCCAAGTGACTGGCCATTCCTTAATTTCAACAACGACTAGATCTCTTTGTCGTTTCCGTGAGTAGATGGCAAGATGCTGCCACAAAAAAACAAAACTAAAGCCGCCCCTTTCTATTTTTCATATTTTTTTCCAAATATCTTCCCATTGGACCGTTGATATTGGGAATATTTGGAAGATTTTTGGAAAATGGATGATACTTGATGATGTTTAGATGATGTTCTTCAGTATCAGGTTCGAAGCTCGACAGAGGATGCCCAGATCATGGAGGTCGTCTTGGCGTCATGGAAATAGTGGTGAAATCCTGGCTGAAATCCCATTGAAACCTGGCTGAAACCCCATGTTATTATATAATATTCTATAGTATTCTGTAGTATTCTATAGTATTATTACTAGTATTTTATATTGTATAATGGTCTGATTGGTCTTGGGATGTTTGGAGGTTTGATTCGCTACCCGCAAGTCCTAGGCTGAAGAATTCTTGGGCATCACCAGCGACATCCAGCAACATCCAGCAACCGCTTGGCTCAAACCAACTTAGCGAGGTTGTACAACGCCGCTTTCTCACTACTTCGCAGACTTCGCAGTGAGGTTTTCATGTTTTTTTATTTTCAAAGCGTGTTGTCTCCCAAATGATACTTCAAACATAAGTGCCAGTTTCCTTTTAGTTTCTTTTTGTGCCATCCATGGCAGTTCTCCCCTTCGTGGGCATGTAGGGCCCTGTGAAAAGCATGGAACAGCTCTGAAATTCCAAGCACTTGACATTTGTCCATCGCCATGGATGATCTTTCCATCAACATCTCTGGCATTGCTCCAGCAGCTGCAAGGACTGTTGCAGCAGTGTCCAAGATCGCAGGGTCTACGGCTAGTGGCAAGGTGAGCAATGACCAAAACATTTGTTGGTTAAAGATAGCTAATGATGGTTAATGATGGATAGTGATGGTTAATGATTCATGATAGTATATGATAGTTATATGTTGGTTGATGTTGGTATTCAATCTCTTTGTTCAAGTCTTTTAAAACCATCAGTTTCTGATGAGGTGAAGGCATCGAGCAAGGCATCGAGCAGAGGCAAGGCGAAAGCCGCGAAAGCCGTGCGACCTCAACCAGCGGAGGTCGGGAACTATGCGAACTATGCCTCGAAGGTGAAAGATTGGAGGAAGAATCGATTTCAAAAAGATCGGGAGATTTTAAATGTCTCCAATGGACCAGGTGATGGTGCGGTCAAGGCTTCTAAGAAGCGAAAGAACGCCGCTGTACCGGTCCCTGTTGAATCAAAGATATCGAAGGCGCAGAAACGAAAAGCAGCAGATGGGTCACCAAAAAAGGCGTCCGGTGCCAAATTTGCCAAAGGTAAGGCCAAAGTGGAAACAAAAACAAAAACCGTGGATGTTTCTCCCAAAGCTTCCAAGAAGAAGAGGACAGGTGGTTCCACCAAGGGTCGTGCTGAAGAGCTGCAAGAAGGTACTGGAGTCATTTCAGAGATGAAATTCCAATCTCTGAAACTTCATGAGTCACTTCGAAGACAACTGGAATATCTGAATTTCACGGAGTCCTGACGTTGCTAAAGATGTTTTTTTTTGTTTTTTTCCCAGCAGGACATCCACCATGTGGGGAATCTATGGGATATACCCTCTGGTAAACTAACAGAACTATGGAAAATCACCATTTTTGATGGGAAAACTCACTATAAATGGGGTATTTTCTACAGCTATGTTAGTTTACCAGAGGGTACTCATGACTTTTTTACTAGACTCCGCAACTCCTTAAGGATTGCACTCCCATCCAATCATTGGCAGTGCCACATGCCCTGACGGGCAAGCGTGATGTGATGCTTCGGGCACCAACAGGGTCAGGAAAGACCTTGGCCTTTCTGTTGCCCCTGGTGCATCAGCTGCTGACTATTCCAGGTGGTGTGGATCGCAGGACGGTCATGGCTTAGGTGGGTTTTTTTCGGGTCATGGATTAGCCTCTTTTGTTCCTTTCCCATCTAATTTTAATATAGGTCTGATTGGAATTGGGTCAGATACTCTAGCTATATGCACTTGCTTTTGAACTTTTATGTGGATGTTCCTGTTTCTTCATGTTGTATAGCCCCAATTTGTAGATAAGAACCCCAACTAAGCCGGCTGAATGCTCGGAGGAAGGGAACCTTGGCCACCGTCCTGTCGCCCACCAAAGAGTTGGCTTTGCAGACCCTGAAAGTGGCCACGGATTTGTGCCGCATGGTGCCATCGTTGGTCTGTGGTGCTGTTGCAGGAGGGGGACGATCATAGCTCTGGTGGAGCTCATGTTTTTTTTGGAGGTTTCCATAGTCATGGGAATGGGGGTACCCAAAAATGGATGCTTTATAAGGGAAAATCCTATTTCAGGAAACCTCCACATATAGCTTTTGATTTTAATGGGAAGAAACAATGTGAAAAAACATGATCAGGCACGCATTGTGCGGGCTTACTTCACCTGTCATTCTGTTCTCCAGTTGGAAAAATATTGGATGTCCCCTCATGGGCTCCACCCTACAGCCCTAAATCCAGGTGGTGAGAAGCCCAAGAGCGAAAAGGCTCGCTTGCGGAAAGGCTTAGTCCTCCTTTGTGCCACCCCTGGACGTTTGTCGTACCACCTGGAGCACACCGCCACATTCATTGCCGCTTGGCCCTTGACGGACTTGGATGGCTTGGGATGCCTGGTTTTCTCCATGTGTTTTTTTGTGCATTTTCCATGATTCTTCCCCGGCCAAGTGTTTCGTTTGTTTCGTTTTCAGAAAATGTCCCAAAAAACACCCAGTGGACCCTCACCCGCCTCAGGTGCGAAACATCAAATGTTTGGTCTTGGACGAGGCAGATCGTTTGCTGGATATGGGCTTCAAACCCCAGATGCGATCTATCCACAAGAAGCTCCTGGAGGCCGCCAAGGTGCAGCTGTGCCGAGTTTCGAGTCGTGGATGGGGGTGCTGTCAGATCATCCATTCTAAATGGAGGTTTTCATGGGAACACATCTATGCATGCAGGTTTAGAACTGGACTGATCTTCAAATCCTCGAACCAAATGGTGGATTTTCCAGACACGATTGATTACCGGAGGGTTCTGTGCAAATAAAATACACAAAGGTGTAGGGCTTGAGGCTTGAGGGATCAGATGATATTTGGGTATACCAACAGCTTTGTTGTTCACGACAACTCTTGGCTGCTTGGATCATTGGGGAATGCCACACCAGGAAGGAGAAAATGGCGAAGGGACACTGCAAACGATGTTGGTCTCTGCAACCTTGGTTCCGGCCGTAAGGGAGCGGCTTGGCGGTGATCAGTATGGGACATAGACCATTGGAGCTCCCTATGGTTCAATCTTGTTGATAGCAGTCTGGAGTCATGCCATTTTTGGACCTTTCTGGTTTGAATCAACACCATGGGTGGATTTTTTGCTGGTTTCCTTGCGTCTTTGGTTCAACATGTGCTGACGGTGTCACATTTTTGAAGCTGATGTTGGCCTACAAAATCTTGCTGCTTGAAGTGAGTCTATGGCTCAAATCAAGCGCTGAGGCTGGCTGAGTTCTGCTTACGTCCAAAGGCCTTCTGGGCCGACGCCGATGCGGCAAGCGCCGCCGCGGAAGAGAACGTTGGGACGGTCTCACTGGGACAGGAACTGAATTTTGCTGCGCCCTCCACGTTGACGCAGTGGTACCTGGCTGGTTTTGTTGTGTGGTTTGGTGATGTTTTCTTTTGGCGGGGCATTTGAATTCTTAAAGAAGATTCTTAAAGAAGGTGAGACGCATTGTGAAGCATGAGTTTTCGCTGGTTCCAATCATTCTAATCCATGTCAAAGCAGGCGGATGGCTTTGACAGTTACCACCTTTGTTCATCCAAGACCCCAGAAAACTACGAAAACTCAGAAATAAGGCTACGGCATTTTAAGGTTGAGGTGCGCAGGGAATTCCCACATGTTGGAAGATATCCTGAAATTCCTAAGTTTCCACATCCAGCCTTGTGAGAGACCCCTAAGACGTGGGCTGTGAGGTACTGCATTGTTCCTGGGAAGGAGCGATTGTCGATGCTGTTGGCAGCCATTTTGTCACGTGTGGGTAAAAAGATGCTCGGTGAGAATCAGCTCAGGTATGGCCAGGTTCATTTTCCCAGTGTCTGGATCTGTGTGGGGTCGTTCACGAATTGGCAGTTTGTATCGTTACCAGTGGTTGTTTCCCAAGATTGGTTTTCAGTGTAGATCAGAAATCAGCAATTCCTAACAAATGCCAGCCTTAAATACGAATACCAAACCATGCATTTACGACCACAATCCCAACTTTATTCCCCGATTTCCCCTTTGAAGAAGCCAACAATTCGGAGGAAATCCATCATTTTCTTTTCCACTGGTGCTTCGGTGGATTTTCATTGCGACCTCCTACAAGATGCCACCTGGCCACCACGGGCCGGCGTTCGGAAGAAGAATGACCAAAGACCAACGTTGAAAAAGGTGGGAAAATTCATTGGTTTAGCCAAAGATGCTAAAAAGTTCGGGCTCCAGGACTTGGAGTTGCTATGAGTTGCTGAAAATGTTTTTTTTTTTTTTTTTTATTTCCCACTGGTTAATCCACAAGGAATATGGGGTTTTACAACTGGGAAGCTGGTAAGGTGTCTTTATGTGGGGCCATCTTAAGCAAATTCCGGAGGAGGATGAAGAAATTGATGAGGATGAGGATGAGGACGATGAGGAAGAGAACAAGAAGAAAGAGGATCTGGATACGGGTGCCAAGATGTTTACCAAGACGCAAATCCTGAAGCTTCATGGGAGTTTGTCGAAGGAGGACCTTGGAAGTTGCCCTAAGTTGCCGCAAGATCTTGTTTCGACAAACATTTCAATTTTTCGATGGTTCATCCATGTTCGTTCCAACTTCAGATGTTTTGCCACTTTGAAAAACATATACCCTCTGGTAAACTAACATAGTTATTGAACATTGCCATTTATAGAGTTGATTTACCCATTAAAAATGGTGATTTTCCATGGTTATGTAAACGTTTACCAGAGGTTATCCTACTGAATCCTAGTGGTTTCAGAGGAGCGTGCTGGCTACATCGCAGATTTTCTGAAGGTCCCGGGTGGAGTGCTGTTGGCCTCCGATGCAGCATCCAGGGGCCTGGATTTTCCACGCATTGATTGGATTATCCAATACGATCCCCCTCAAAGGACAGATCTGTTGGATGGGGCTTGGTGAGGATATGAACCAAAATGGATCCAAAATGGATCCTAAATGGATCCTAAAAATGGTAATAACATGTAAGAATTATCCGGGATCTCTGAATGTTAAGATTGTTACCTTCATGGTGATTGAATCAAACATCACCATTATAGGGGAAATCATCAGGAATCGTCTATAAATCTATAAATGGGCAAGTGTTCATAGCTATGTTGAATCATGGATGGTTCCTGGAAATTGCTCTTGACAAATCCCAGTGTTGAGAAACGGATTTGATAAGCTTTGACATACTTCATGTACATCCATATGTGTGGCCCAAAAATCGTGCCACCCCTCCCATGTTCCAAGAACTCCCCCTGAAAGACTGAAAGTCGTCGTAAACAATGTCCTCACGACGCACCCATCCAAGGGCATGTTGACATATGTTGACACATTATTTTGATATACGTATCCTTTACATCCTCCAAAATCCTCAAACATTTTCAAACATCACCAACAATGAACATCAAAATCCACGAAAAATCTTCAAACATACCCTCTGGTAATTTAACATAGCTATTGAAAATGACCATTTATAGTGGATTTTCCCATTGAAAATGGTGATTTTCCATAGTTGCCATAGTTATGTTAGTTTACCAGAGGGTAAATTATATATCCAACAATCAACAAAAATCTCCAGGACTGAAGAATATTTGCACCGCGTGGGGCGCACGGCGCGCATTGGAAAGTCCGGCAGCGCGCTGCTGTTTCTGCAGCCCTCGGAGTTGGGCTTTCTGGACGTTTTGCGAGGCCGCGGGCTGACGGATCTGAGAGAGATGCCGTTGGAGGAGCTGATGGAGCTGGTGATCTCGCTTTCTCTGTATGAAAATGGGGTAATGTCAACCCCGGATTAATAAACCATAGTCATAATCTAATAAATGGTACCCTCCCAATGAAACAGCCCAGGGGTTTATTAATCCAGGGTTGACATTATTCCAAATCCATCGGTTTCACATGAAGCATCCTGTCTTCATGCATATTATCATGGCTTAATGATGGTCAATAATGGTTAATCATGGTTAATGATGGTTGATAATGGTTAATAATGGGAGAATATGATACTGGTTGGTGGTTTGGAACATTTGGATTGTGTTTCCATAGGGAATAATCATCCCAACTGACGAACTCATAATTTTCAGAGGGGTGGCTCAACCACCAACCAGTGATATGTCAAACATATGTCTCGTTAAAGATTTTTTGGGGCTGACTTTTCACCAGATGTATGATGATTTATGAAAATTTGGGGGTTTAAAAAATACCCCATTTTCGGAGAGACCCGCATGTTGGGCCAATTTTTTTCACCATGGAGTTACCATATGATTCAATGAATGGAGAATAGTTGGCATCCCATCTACCTCATGGATGTGTTTCAGATCTGTGTTTCGGCGAAATCGTTCCCCCACTTCTTTTCCAATTTACCCTCTGGTAAACTAACATAGCTATGGAAAATCACCATTTTCAATGGGAAAATCCACTATAAATTGCTATTTTCAATAGCTATTTTGACATAACCAGAGTATTAGCACCCCATCTTCCAATGAGTCTCCCCTTGCCAAACTGGTTGTAATCCCACGACGGGTTGGAGGAGCTCTGCAGTGGTTTGGAGCAAAAGGCCCCAGCAGATCTGCAGAACGTGCGAGATTTGCAGGCTGAGGGCACGTTTCGCTTACCCTCTGGTTATGTCAACAGTTTGCTATTGAAAATGGCAACTTATAGGGAGTTTTCCCATTAAAAATGGTGATTTTCCATAGCTATGTTAGTTTTCCAGAGGGTAATGATCATATATACAGATCACATATTGAGTATTATATATATATATATGTGTGTGTCATAGGGTCTTAGACTTAACATCAAGGAATCTTCGAATCTTTTCGATAACTTGCGCGAGATTTCATGTCCGATCTTTTTCTTGGGATGATATCTGGGATGATTCTAGAGACATTTTCCCAACATTTCACAATGTGGGGCCCCCAAGATAGCTAAGTTGGTTTATAACTCCAGTAACTATGGTTTATGGTACTTATAGCTATAGTTAATGGGGTTTATAAACCAACTTACAACTGGGGGGGCCCACATTTTAGAGACATTTTCCCAACAAAAATCACCCTTTTCACTCCTTGAAATTCCCCGCTGAACCGCGTGGAACGGAACCAGGTGCTCCTCACCGGTCACCTGGCGAGTCGGGTGTCGGCACAGAGCTTGTTAGCGTCTAGGGCTCGGTCGGCATTCCTGTCGTCCCTCAAGGCGGGGCCGAAAATGGGAGTTTCTTTCTATCGATGGGGGGAAGATGGTGGGTGAAAATCTTGGAAAATCTTGGTGAAAATGTTGGAAAATCTGGGAAAATCGTGGAAAATCTTGGAATATGTTTGAACATGGTTGGAAAATGTTGGTGAAAACCACCACGCGGAACACCAAAAAAACATATATCTCGAAAAGTGGCTTGGCCCGAACAGAATTCTATATCATCAACCGTATCTGGTTTACTGGCAGTGAAACCATCCATGGAACCTATGGTTTTTCTGATTTTTGAGACTCATCCGGGATGACCCACAGATGGGTCCCCACTGGACCTACCTGATGAAGGGGCCTCTTTCGCCAATTTGGAGCAACGACTTGGCGGAAGGTTTTCAGACAACAAACCCCTTTGTCATCATTTTAAACGGTCCATAGTACTAGTAGGGCTTCCATGCTGTAAATTGATGTAAATTTAGTTCCTTAATCAATTGGTTTGATGGAAATGTTGCAGGAAACCCTCATATTTAGTGATTAGCAAAAGCTTAAATGTTGAATTTTCAGATATGTGTTCTCCACTTTTTGGTTCGAATCATGTTTTCTCCACTTTTTGTGATCTCTGGGTTTTGGGTTGTTTTGTTCCGTTTTCCTCAGGGAAACCAATAGCACCAATAGCACCCCTGTTGGAACCACGACCAGCCAGAGGCGTATCGTTCCTTCCCCAGGGAGCTTCGCAGTTGTTTCCCCTTTCAGCAGCTGCATCTGGGTCACCTCGCCACCAGCTTTGGGCTGCGGGAAGCACCAAGAGAAGTGGTGAAGAAAGAGAGGTGCCTCCGAGAAGAGGGGTTGGTGATGATCATCAGCCGCCTTTATGTTGTTTTATTAAAAAAACATGCAGATTATGCAGTAACTGATATAGAACATGTACATATATGAACTATAATTATATAGTGATAGTATGTATATAATCTACCGTGTTTATTTGCTTGTTTAGTTTATTCATTTGCTTATTAGACATTATTGGACCTATGTGTCGAGGTAGCCATTGTATGTGTATGAACACGCTTCTTGACGGTTGATACACATTGCAGTAGGTGTGCAGGTGAACAACCACGGATGAGAAAGACACAGAATTTCATTCAATCAACATTTTCTGGTTGGTGGTTTGGAACAGGAATTTTATTGTTCCATAGGCAAGAATTAACCCGAACTGCCTCATATTTTTCAGAGGGGTAGGTACACCACCAACCAGTTTTACTCGCGTAGTTTGTCCTGTTCCAAGTAACAACATCATGTTGCCGTTGTTGCCACCCAGCCTTCTGACGTCAGGTACGAGCGCACTGCCGCTGAGGAAGAGACCACCAGTCCGAGCAAGGTGCGGAAAGGCAAGGCCGGTAAGGCCAAAGCTGGCAAGGGAAAGGGCACCAAAGGTGGCAAAGGTGGCAAAGGTGGTAAGGGCACCAAAGGTGGGAAAGGTGGAAAAGGTGGCCAAGGAAAAGCTGCAGGCAAAATGCCCAAAGCTGCCAAGTTCGGATCCGTCAATGCGGCTGATGAGTTTGCCAGCTGAGAAAAGAACGGCCCGTGGGCTGATGTGGGCTGTGGGTGAAATCGGTGGTCAACATCCAAACTTCTGAAGTAACGAAGGAGCAAACTGCAACAGCATGAGAACGCAGACAAAATACGACTCAGTCTTGCATCTATCTGTATTTTGACATATTTTGACCAGCTGAAGCCACTAAAGTTCGATTTGTGTCTACAGATTCCTGTCATGTTTTCATCTTGAGGGCCAGCGCCACATGTGAATTGTCCCCTCAGCCCTGCCCCATGCAGGCTTTGTTTGAAGGCGATGGAGAGAGAAAGAGGGATTCAATAATTGAATTGATTGCATCTCTCTGTAGTTTGAGTACTTAATTCCCAATTGTCCCATTCCTACAGATGATTTCCCCATTACCCTCGGGTTATGTCAAAATAGCTATTGAACATGGCCCATTGATAGTTGATTTACCTACTAAAGATATCTAAAGATGGTAATTGTCCATAGCAAACTGTTAGTTCCCCAGAGGGTAGACCATATCCGTCCATATCCCATATGCTCCATGGTGCTGGAATATTTACCAACATTTACCCCATAAATCACCCAGTTTTGTGGGTAAATATAAAATACATGGAGCATTTGGGTATATATTTTGGGTAGGTTAATATTCCATATATTGGGAATGCCATCATCCCAGCTGACTTTCATATTTTTCAGAGGGGTAGGTATACCACCAAGCAGCGATATTTTTTAGAGGCAAAATCACATAAAATCCCACGATATTTCGTACGGGTTCCTGTAGATCTCCCAACCAATCCATATTAAAACTTTCATTGGGTTCGGGGATTTCCCACAGCTCTATTCATGTCCCAAAGCTCTCGCCAGGTGCCACGGGATAGCCAAGAGTGGCTGGAACCCTTCCAAAGCGAAGAAATGCACGTCATGGCCTTGTCAAAGCTGGCATTTTAATAGGAATGTCATGGGATTAGTATTACTAATTATAGTGTATATATATATATATAAATATGTATATATTTTTTGTTATTTATTTATTTGGGTTTTAATTATACTTTGGGATTTTAATGATATATATACATATATATGTTGGGATTTTATTTATATAATTGGTACTTAGTAATTAGGAGACAGCCTCCGGTGTCCTCAAACATGGCGAGATGGGACATCCGTGACCTGAATGGATCTGGGAAACGCTGTAAATTGGGGCTGACTCATTGTCATGTGTGAGTACTGGTCTCTGACTCATTTTCCAGCAATTTTGACATCTCTATTATATATATGTGAATTATGTGACTTTCATGTTATTTTAAGGTTGTTCCAAACGGATAGATCTGAAACTGCTATACCCAGTTCAGTATGGGAAAATCATGGTCAACCAGTGGATGAATTGCTGAGGTTGGTCTGTCCAGTCTACCAGGAAAGCGGGGCAGTCCAGAACCTCAGCACCAGCGGTGGAATGTGAGTGAAATATGGTTGCTTATGACGAGATTTCTTGGCTTAGGTGGTATATGAAAGTAATTTCAATGGATTGGTTTAAGGGAAAATTTACAGGAAAACCCCATATTTACTGGGAAAATCCATGGTTTCCTGTAGATTTTCCCTTAAACCAATCCATTGATAATTGAAAGTATATATTTAATGATTAATGGAACATATTGGAACATGATAATTTCAGAAAATCATCCTTTCTGATAGCAGCAGTATGTGTTTGCCTTACTACAAGACCTGGTCGATGTGCTTTGCAAACAGCCTTGAGGTATGGATCCGTTGCCGTGTCAGGACGTTTGCTGGGCCAAGACATGTGACATCGGCCGCTGAAGAGACAAGCTGAGCAGTCATAACCCCTGGTTGATGATTGGTTTTGGGGAATACCCTCTGGTAAACGTTTACATAGCTATGGAAAATCACCATGCTATTAATGGGAAAATCCACTATTTCTATGGCCATTTTCAATAGCTATGTTAAATTACCAGAGGGTATCCTATGCAATATAGTGGGGACTATCAGACTTGCTTAGGGGCATTCCTATCAAGCAACAAGTAGAAAGGCACGACATTGGAGTTTGAACATGAACACTGCTCACCGGTCGATTTGCAGTTACTTCCACAAGCTGGAATTCCAACCAAGAACCATGGTAAAACCCAAGCTTTGCAGTAGAGGGAAGCATTTTCACCGGGCCCAACCGGGAAGCTGCAGGATTGTTGTAGCCTCACAGAGTTCGAGAGCAACGATGTCTTGTATGTTGTTTGTTGCTGCCTCAGGGCTAGTGTATTGTATGGAGCATTACTGGGGCGGAGACCGAGATCATAACATCAATGTCATTCTCCCAGCCTTTGAACGTTCGATCACTGTAAAACGATTCAAATGCAGGAAACTCACTAAAATTCCCCAAAATCATCAAGCCTGTATATATATATATATTCCACATGAATTCGATCCATTTTTTACTCGAAATGTGTGGAAGCGAGGTGATGGACATGGTCCTTTTGGCCATTTGGTGGCCTTCCGTGTGGCGTCGCTTGGAGCTGTTGTCGTGGTCCAGCACTGGCACTGATCCATGGATTTTAGATAGGATAAATCTGGGGAAATCCGGAAAAATCTGGAGAAAATTGGATATCCAGATGCATTCGGATAAATTCCAGATAAATCCGTATGAATCGAGATAGATTCAGAGAGAGAGAGAGAGAACGCCTGTGTTTTTGCCATGTTTTGTCACATGTTTTAACTGCAACGTAGCAGTGCCTTCCAAGTTCCAGCCAGGCAAAGTTTGCCGCATGCCTTTGAGAAACATTCAGCAGCTCAACCTGAGCCAGCCTTGGTTTCAATCTCAGACCTGGGGTCAAACATGGTGAAACTACCAGTTTGCTATGGAAAATCACCATGTTCAATGGGTAAATCATTATAGATCATTTATATACTCTCTGGTTATGCAACATAGCCATGGAAAATCACCATTTTTAATCGGTAAACCATCTATAAATGGGCAATTTTCCATGGCTATGTTAAATAACCAAAGGGTAAATGGTCCATTTTCCATAGCTATGTTAGTTTACTGGAGGGTACTATAGAATATCTTAACATACCTTAGGCATATAGCCTCCATCCAGCAAAATCCACAATGAAGATTGATCTATACCCAGTGGTGAATGATTTATGGCACTGTCAATGTGAAATAGCCCGAACTGCACTATGTGACTAGGTGTTTACACCATCCTTTAAGAGGCCAGAAGTTTTTACCGCAGACCATCTCCGCAGACCTTTCCTGATTTCGCATCCAGGTAGATGCTTTTCGAGAAGCAGCACTGGACCTTGCAGCATTTGCAGATGGGAACATGGTGGACATTTCCTCGTACCTCAGCAGATATTTATTCTATGGAAGCTGTGGGTGTCAATGATGCTGTTTTGAAGCTGGTGAATTTGTATCATTGGGATATCTTTTTGTGAGTTTGCAACCTGCCTTGGCCATGGAAGATTTGCTTCAACGGGAGACTGCTGGCATCATCCCTCCATTGATCTCCACCATGGACCAAAAAGGTCAGCTGGGTCTGCTGAGGTCCGGTTGCAGCTGTAGTGTCGTTCTGCGACGTGGGTCAGACGTGTTGATTGTGACGATCCTCAGCCTGCGATTTTTTGCAATCCCCCAAAAAAAAATGCCGCCCAGACTCTGCGATCGTTGGTGCCAGAAACACCTTGTGTCATGGTTTGTGACACACATCAACCTGCCATTTTGATGTTTTTCTATCAGCAGATACAGTGTATGAAATTCTCCAAGATGTTTCCTTCATCCACAAATATCTAGAATCTAGAATCTAGGGCGGCCTAGGGGTGACATGAAAATCTAATAAGGAGTTCATCAGGCAGGCTCCCCCATCATGAGATTCCTGCCATGCTCTGCCTCCAAAACGAGGCCTCCCTGGGTGATTGCCGCACCCTGGCAGCCGCAGCCGGGATGACCCAGTCTCGTCAATTGGAGACATATTTCATGACAATAGATGACATATCCATACGTGTCCATCATCCATCCTCATATATATATATATACATTTATATATATATATTATATATATTATATTAACATATGTATATATATATATATTAACATATATATATATATATTAACATATATATATATTAACATATATATATATTAACATATATATATATATATTAACACACATATATATATATATTAACATATATATATATATATATACATACATATATATATATATATATATTAACATATGTATGTATATATATATGATAATATATATATATATGTATGGTATACATATATTGTATCTATTTAATATATTGCCACGAGTGTTCTCTGCACCGCAGTTTCACGAGTTTGTGCACACACCGTGGCCGTTTAGCATCAGCTGTCTGGGTGGCCTGCGGGCTTGTTGGGGGCCCGCGGGCCAGGTGTAAAGAGGTGACCTCAACCCGTGGGTTAGACAGGCGCCTCAGGATGCCGGGGTTGTGGGTCCACCTCTTTGAAAACCCAGACTTCTACCAAACCTTTGAACTCACCAAAGGAACCTATGTGGAAGCAACGCTGTATGACGAGCGCCACTGCGAACAAGGCAAGGGCCTCTGGAGGATCGGGGACGTCGAGCCCGAGACAAAGGATGGCTTGTGGGCCTCCGCAAAGCTGATCGCGGTGAGCGACTCTCACCTACAGTGGTGGATCACTGAAGGGGCCGGGAAGGCCATGAACAGGTCCTTCAGACTCCACTTCTGCGTCACGCAGGAAAAGGACTGCCCCAAGTGCAAGAAGAAAAAGGATCAGGAGTTCCACACCGACTACTTCCGAGCACTTGACGCGGGAGACGTTGTGGATTCAAAGGTGAGCTGGTTTAAAGTGGCACCAGCCCGGGATGACATTGAAATCGAGGTGGCCAAACTCACTGGCAACGCCCCGCGGGGCAGAGTGCCAAAGGGCCGAAACCAGGCAGCGGCTCATGCTGGTCTGGATTGGGAGTTATCTGACTCAGATCCCTTGGACGGTCTTGATGCTGAGGAGGAGGACGGTGTTAAGAAGAGGCTGGCAACCCTCAAACGCCAGACAGCCAGCGAGCCCGACCGCGGTCGCGAAAAAGAGAAAAAGAAGAAGGACAAAGATGTCAACAAGGAGGCCAAGTCGAAAAGAGCCCGCCGTCGCGATCGAGAGAGCCGCTCTCGAGACAGGGCCAGAAAGGACCCTTTATGGTTTGGGCAAAGGAAGGCTGACTCCCCCGACCAAAAGCCCAGTGATGACTCATCGTCGCAGGGCGGCTCTGGCGGGCGCAAAAATCGAAAGAAGCGCCGCTCCCGCTCTCCGAGTGAGAAGCGACGGGAGAAAAAGCGTCGCAGATCTAAGAAGGCTGACAGGGGCCCCTATGGAGTGGGCCAGAAACAGCGCTACGATGGCCGCAGCAGTTCAAGTGGGACGTCAGACGGTGTGGACGGCCAAGATGAGTCAGTTTTTCGCGCGGGGCCCTCCGGCACGTCAAAGCATCTTCAACTTCAGGAGTACGCAGAAAAGAAACCGGGTCGTCTGACGGCCCGCCTGCTCAGAAAGATGCAGACGATTCTATCCCGGTCGGAGGAGGGCCCCGCAAGCTTGACCGGGCCCAATCTCACACCACCGGCAGCCACGGCATACTACCTGACCGTGCTGGTGCCGATGTACCGAGAGCGGATGAACGTCCGCACCAGCCGCGAGCTGAGATCCATAGCCAAAGCTCTCGACTTGATCGCCCAAGGCAAAGCAGATCGCGCAGGAGACGTGCTGAGTCAACGTTACAAGGCACTGGAGCTCTACCTGTCGGACTCGACGTGGGCAAGAGCGCAGTTCTTGGAACTGATCCCGGCGGAGGGAGCATCCCTGGTCGAGAAGGACGAAGTCCTGATGGCGTCAAAGGAGCAGAACGTGGAGCACAGGATGCGATCAACGCTGAACCAGCCCATGTGGCGCCCGAGCCAGAAGGGGGACGGGAAGTCCGAGGAGAAAGGCAAGACAAAAGGAAAAGGAAAAGGGAAGAAGGGCCGCGGCCCGGGACAAGGGTGGAATCACCCGCCAGAAACCGAGAAGCCGCCAGTGGCTTGAAGTCTTTGGACGTAGCCCCGAAGGAGGGCGATGGTCTGGCTGCGGCCAAGTCGAAACCAAAAAGGCCAAGGAGCCCCCTCACAAAGAGACGTAGGAGAGCTGCCCCACCTGCGGGTGAGCATGGCACAGATGAGGGCCTGGAACCGGACGTTCCCCCTGAGCTCGTCGAGAAGGACGATGGCTGCCCTGTTAACCTTCTGAGGCTCGAGATCCGGGTGGCTGAAGATCTACATGATTGGGCCAGTCACGTGAAGGAGCTTTTCAAGTTGAGGCCAACGTTTGGCGATCTTGGCCGGCACCTCCTTGGGTTGATGTCTTCGATGCCTTCTCCTCTCGGGAATTTTGTGCGCTCTCATTGCATGGCTGCACAACCCCCCACCACCGCGGGGAGCAAGGCGGAGGAGACTCATGGGGACCTACTGCCCATTGCGGTCTGGCGCATATCAACCCAGTTGGAGGCGGTGAACGACAACAACATTGATTGGGTCAAAGCGATCATTTGTTGCCTCAACTTCCACTACTGTGCTGGGTGGTCAAAGCCTATCTGCATTCCCATTCGGGACTCATTGTCAAAACTCCAGGAGCATGCCATCAACAGGCTTGCCGGGACTGTTGACTCCAACATTATGTCGGCGAACCAGATGGCGACCCTGGGTGAATGTGACAAGCTGCTATCATCCAAAAAGTACGATTACGCCGGCAGGCCAGTCGAGTACATGGAAGATCTGCAGTGCGAAAAGGTGCTCATGGCCTGGCCTGGCGTTGGGCAAGCAGGGGTACAGCCCATTGAGGGTTTTCTGTCGCAAGAGACAAAGAGGCTTCTGGAAGACCCCCTGAAACTCCTTCTCCCAAAGGAGAAGATACCTTCAAACGCACCCAGGTCAAGAGTCCGTGCAACCGACCAAGAGTGGCATCTGATTGTGAAGGTGGCCTGGGAGCGTGGCATGATGCGCCCGGTGGATGACTCCTGCGTCCCGCGGGACAGATCAGGACACCTCATCACTAATGGAGCAGGCGCGGTCTACAAGGAGAAGATGATTGACGGCCGCATGGTCGCTTGTCAGAGGTTCATCTCCATCCTGTGCCCAATCAATGCCGTGACAATGCCCATCGTGGGATCCCAAGAAACGTTGCCCTATATTGGTCAACTCACGGGCATCATGCTGGAGGAGGACGAATCCCTGTATCTCGAATCAGAGGATTTGCAGTCCGCCTTCAATCTCTTCTCAGTGCCTGAACAGTGGCTGGGCTTCTTCAGCTACAGCAAGAAGGTCGATGGCTCTGCGATGGGACTGGCTCCTGGCACGCAAGTCCGACCGGCCTTGTCGGTTATCCCAATGGGGTGGCATAGCGCCGTGGGACTGGTCCAAGAAGCAGTCAGGGACTTGGTCTTCAACCGAGCTGGAGTTCCGAGGACGCTCTCCGCGGAGAAGAATCGTCCACTACCACCTGGGAAAAGCTATGCGGTGGTCTACCTCGACAACTTTGATGAGATCGAGATCATCAAGTCGATTGATGTGGATCCTGACCAAGAAGGTGTGGCGATGTCCGACCACCACCGGAACTTCAACGCCGCCTGTGACGCAGCCGGGTTGCCTCGCAACAAGGGCAAGCAGCTCATCCATGCGTTTGCGGGCGGAATGCAAGGCGGTGAGTTTGACGGGAGAAAGGGCATCCTGAAGTTGGGGAGTGACAAACTCCGGAACTACGTGCAGATGAGCCTGGCGCTGCTGGCAAGGAGGTCTTGGGGAGAGTTCCACCTCCGTCACTGGACTGGGAAGACCGCCTTCCTGGCCACTTTCCGGCGCTCACTCTTCTCTGGAATGGGATGCATCTTTGATTTGATCGAACGGTCCCGCTCGGGCGATGTGGCGCCCACGGTGGCAGCAGCCGATGAGATACTCACTCTGGTATGCCAGTCGCCCCTGAGCCAGACAAATCTCAGGGCCATCTTGTCCAGCGAGATTTCATGCACCGACGCATCCCCTTCGGGTGGCGGAAGCGGCACTGCCACTCAATTTGTTGATGAAGCCCCGGGTGTGCCCGAGAAACTGGCTTTTGAAGGTCGGTGTGGCCATTGCGCTGGACCACTGGACCGAGCGTCAATCCCTGGGTATGACTGCCCTAATGAATGCGGCGCGGTGGCCTGTTGTGTGGACTGCTTTGCTGCCCATCGCCACTCATGTGGGCGAGAAATGATGGGCAAACCTTGCTTTGGAGAGCGCTTCTGCGGCCCCAACTGTCCTCTCACGAAAGCGGTAGCGCTGGAAGGGATCTTTGTCCAACCACCACTGGACCGTCTTCGTGATGGCAACTGGGATTTCTTCAGTCCTTCTGGCCGTGAATGCTTGGAGGGGATGGAAGACGACGGTCATCTGTCTGCCTCGCATTGGGCCCCGGAGTGCAAAACATTCTCGGCGGCCAGGGGAAGACCGATTTGGACCACTTCAGGTCGCTATGTGCAAGGACCGCCCGCTCTGAGGAGCAGAGACAAACCCTGGGGATTTCCCCATCTTTCAAGGGACAATCAGATCAAGGTAAGACAAGGGAACGCTATGGGCCGCCGATCAATCCAGGGAGTCAAGGAAGCTCACCAGCAGGGGCGTTTTGGCTCGCTGGAACATCCTTGGTTCTCTCACCTATGGTTTACCCCGGAGGCAGAGGAGCTGTGTGAACTCCCGGGAGTTTTTGTGACATGCTTCAGTGCATGTTGCTTTGGAGGCAGTCGAGTGAAGTGGACAGCACTTGTTCACAACATCCCAGAAGCCCACCGACTGCTTCACAAGCCAGATTGCCCTGGGCACCAGGGTCTCCTGCCCTATGAGTGCCACGACGAAGATGGCACCCTGACCTTTGACACTGCCAGTGAAGCCGAATATCCGTGGCAGTGGTGTCGGGCCTATGCGCGAGCCTTGAAAGGGCAGCTGAGGATGCAGACCCCATCTCCTGCCCATGGGCTCGTGGATGAAGAGAGCGCTATCATGTCAGCCTTGCGCTCATCTACAAGAGGGTTTCAAAACCCGCGACTGGCATCAGAAGCGGCCCGCACAATCATGGAAGTAATGGGGGGCATGACAAAAGGAAACGAAAAAGAACATCTCAAGACGATGCTTCGGCACGTGTGCCTGCGGGGAACTGACATCAAGCTGATGTCGACTCCAGAAACGGGAAGCCAAAGTGTCATGAGCCCCTACCCGGCTTTCAAATGGGCCTGGAAGGTCCGCTTATCTTTTGCATGGCGCCAAGAGCAACACATCAATGTGCTTGAAGTCTCTGCCTTCCTGGTCGAATTCCGGCGAAGGACAAGACAAGTCCACCAGCTGGGGACCCGCTTTTTCAATGTGACCGACTCGCAGGTCATGTTTCACTGCCTGAGCAAGGGGAGAAGCAGTTCCCCCAGGTTGAACCGCTTGCTACGGCGGGTGAACGCGCTGAGCCTGATGGGAGATGTCCTGCCGGTCCACTTGTGGACCATTAGCAAATGGAACTTTGCCGACAAGCCAAGTCGGCTCTTCCAACCATGACGAGAGCTAAACACCTCAAGACTGCAGGCATCTCCACAAAAACATTGGGCATCTACAAGCGCGAAGTTTCACAATTTTTCCAGTATTTGGATCGTGAGGATCTCAAACTGCCAAGATCCTATGGGCGGCTGGATCAACTCCTGGCAAACTATATCAACCACCTTTACCAAGAAGGGGAGTCACTCACCAAGGCTGGTTGGGTTCTCAGTGCCATGAAAAGGCTCTACCCGCGGGTAAGAAAGGAAATCCCAATTGCACAACAATGGTATAATAACTGGTGCCGGGAGCATACCCCACGGCGCGCAACGCCAATCACCTGGGGTCTCTTGCAAGCCTTTGCAGGCCTGTGTCTTCACCTTCGATGGATGAGGCTTGCTTGTATTCTACTCATCAGCTTTGTCTTCTACCTCCGAACAGGCGAAGCTCTGGCCCTACGCAAGTCTGACATCTTGTGTAACTTGGCGGATGGGTCAATTGTAATTCGTACCGCTTCTTCGAAGACTTCCAAAAACGACCAACAAAGCTTGGCGCATTTCGACCTTCAGCTTGCACAACTCCTTTCGGCACTTTTGAGGAATTTTGACACAGACGAAGAGCTGTGGCCTTTCTCTATGACTCACTTTCGCAACTGTTTCACCAATATTTGCTCCTTTTTCGACCTCCAACCTTTGGGCTTGGTACCCTACTCTATCAGGCGCGGGGGAGCGACCTACTTTTACATGAAAACCAACAGCCTGGATGCTGTGATGATTCGTGGTAGATGGCGTGAAGCCACTACTGCCCGTATCTACCTCGATGATGCCCGCGCCACACTGGTTAGACTGGCGGTGCCAACCTGTTCCAGACCCCTTCTTCGGCGATTCCGTCGTCGTCTGCTGGTCCTTCTTTCTCGCTGCGCAAGTGGACAACAAGATTTGGGGGGATGATGTGGTTTTCTCTCCTTTTTCTATCTTGTTTTGGTTGGGAAATGTGATGCTGGTTGTGATGTTGTCAAGCTGTTTTTTCGCATTTCCCCCCGCGGGGGTGCCACCTGCGGGTGAGAGTGGTGTTTTCTGTTGAATTAATGCACCACATCCTGACCTTCTTTGGTTGTGCAGCCAAAAAGAAGAGGCGGCACGACCTTTGTGTGCACTGCCACGAGTGTTCTCTTTTCACGAGTTTGTGCACACACCGTGGCCGTTTAGCATCATGCGGTGGGAAATGTGGTGCTGGTTGTGATGTTGTCAAGCTGTTTTTTCGCATTTCCCCCCGCGGGGGTGCCACCTGCGGGTGAGAGTGGTGTTTTCTGTTGAATTAATGCACCACATCCTGACCTTCTTTGGTTGTGCAGCCAAAAAGAAGAGGCGGCACGACCTTTGTGTGCACTGCCACGAGTGTTCTCTGCACCGCAGTTTCACGAGTTTGTGCACACACCGTGGCCGTTTAGCATCAGCTGTCCCTCTCTCTGCCGCCCTTGCGGTGGGAAATGTGGTGCTGGTTGTGATGTTGTCAAGCTGTTTTTTCGCATTTCCCCCCGCGGGGGTGCCACCTGCGGGTGAGAGTGGTGTTTTCTGTTGAATTAATGCACCACATCCTGACCTTCTTTGGTTGTGCAGCCAAAAAGAAGAGGCGGCACGACCTTTGTGTGCACATATATATATATATATATGTATTTATATATGCATATTATACCATAAATAGATATGATATATACATTATATCTCATATATCCTCATTAGTCGATATGTGTGTTGTTGTTGATATCCACTTTGCCAACCGATCCCAGGCAACTCCTTTGGGCCATCTTAGCCTGAACGAACCATATTTTTCTCAACATAACTTTCCATATATATCGATATATCACACATGTTGATGGTTAAATCATGTAAAATCATGTAAAATCCCACTACCACCCTACATATTGTATATATATATATCTCTCTCTCTATTGGTCAAGTCACCATTTCTGTTGGTGAAAACGTCATTTCTGTTGGTTTTTTTCACCATTTCTGATGGTTTTCATGCGAATTCACGGGATATCACGGAATCCTACGCTTGATGACCAGGTCTCCGAGAAGTCCCAACGTGTCGATTTCGTTACGGCAGCACACAGTACGGAGACGCTTCACCGGGGTACGGCCGGAAAGGGAAAGGCACCATTTTTTGAAGTGAAATACATTCTTAATATATGGAGAATTATAGGATGATGCATTATTATGTATTACATATGCGAATGGGTTGATTTTCCATGGGAATGTGAAATTGTTAGAGGGTAAGTGCCATGGCAGCATGTGAAATGTGAATTGTGAATGTCATCGCGAATCATCCAAGTCAGTCGAAGTCAGTTCTCAGAAGTGGATGACGGGAACATTGACCGCAAACCCATGGAATGTCCTAAAAAGGTTGGTGAAAAATATATGTTTTGCTGTAGGTTTCTGCTTAAACTCCATCGTTGATACCATTTACCCTATAATATAAATACCATATTTTAACCATAATATCTTATAATGGTTATATAGCATTTACACCCTCTGGTAAATTAACATAGACCCTGAAAATTACCAATTTATAGTGGAAACTAGTCTTCCCACCCCTTACTGCCAGGGTCTATGTTAATTTACCAGAGGGTAAACTCCATCGTTGATGTTGCGCCATTCCCTTCCGTTGCGACTTTTTTTTTCAGGACGTCCGCGAACTTCAGAGGGTGCGCAACACGGGTGCAAAGCTCATTCAGGTGCCGGCGCAGCGGTTTTGGGTGACCAAAGGCACCAAAAAAATAGGGATGAAAAGTGGCAGTTTTCCACAAGAGTTCTTGAGTTTTTGTAATTGTTCTATGTGTTTGTCACCTAAATTCACCTAGTTGAACTGTAGTTCGGCCAGATTTTTGTTTCGCTTCCAAGTCGAGTGGATCTCTTTGGCGATGATCTCTTTGTGGATGTGGCAGGTGCCGCCCAATTCCGGACACGTAACTTGGGCCAAGAATGCGGTGCAGGTTTTTCACATGCATAGTGTGCCCCTGCACCTGGTTTATCTGAAGATATCTGAAGATATTTCTCACAGAATAATATGAGTAATATGAGTATCGTAGCGGTCGGTTTGTTCCGGGTTTTGTCTTTGTACCCTCTGGTAATTTAACATAGCTATGGAAAATCCCTAATAAATGGAGGTTTTATTGGGAAAATCATCTATCAATGGGCCATTTTCAATAGCTATGTTAAATTACCAGAGGGTACATCTATCGACTTTTTCTTTCGGCTGAGGATTTTTCGGGTGACTGGTCCAAGGTTCGGATCTTCACGCCGGCCTGGCACATAGCTGCCATAGCTGCCATAGCTGCGGAGATTTTTTCTGATTTCATGTATATTTTGATACCATTAACAAGCATTTATAATGGCTATATACCATGTACCCCATAATATAAATATCATATATTAACCATAATATCTTATAATGGTTTTAATATACCATTTACATTAAAAGGTTAAGAATATGGGGCACCGAGGGAGAGCGGACGCCTGGTCTCTACACCACCCGTTCGCTGGGCGATTCCAGTGCGGAGGCTGTGAGATGGATACAATGACAATGCCATGCTTGCCATCCCCCCAATCACCCTTTTTATAGGTGGTATACGTTTACTATTCCCAGTGGCTGGTAAAAATGGCATTGTTTTGCCCGCATTGCAAGAGATTCCGAGGCCTAATGATGTCTTGATGGAGATATTGAGCAATTTTTGACGGAGAAATTTGCTATGAAGGTTTTCTTTCAGGGTTTTCTAAGCTTGAGACATCTTAGGATCACAGCAAGAATTGGAGAAGGCGACCAAGCCCGACCAAGCCCGACCAAGCCCTGTCTCTTCTTTTGGACTCCGAGTGGTCCAGACTTCGCATCCCAAGCTCCAAAATTGAAACGTCAAGTTTGGACCCAGCTGAGATCCACCTGTCCAGGCCCTTGGTGTTCTTCGAGAGCCTGAGTTCCGACAGATGTCCTTTTCCAGGCCCGGCCATGGCATCCCCTGGCATTCCTCGTGGCATTCCCCGTGGCATGGGCCTGGCCTGTCGTGGTCGCGGCAGGACATCTGGGTTGATCCTCTTGGGCACCGGAGGTTTCTGGGAGGTCTTGGATCACCGGTCCGGGTCGGCAGCTGAGTTCTTGGGATGTTCCTGGGCCCTGGGGGAGGGCAAGGGATACTTGAAGCACCACCGGGGGATTGAAATAGCCATATGGATATGGACCATTGACCAATGATGTGACATGGATTCTAGTGAAATGATAGTGATGGGGTCAATCCCATTTTTAGTGGAAGTGGATGTACCCTCTGGTAAACTAACATATCTATGGCTAACTATGGAAAAAGGCCATTGAAATAGTTGATTTTCCCATTAAAAATTGTGATTTTCCACCCATTTAACAGTGGTGATGTTCCATAGTTTTTTGTTGGTTTACCAGAGGGTAAGTGGTAAGTACCACCATTTTCAATGGGTAAATCAACTATTTCGACTGGGCCATTTTCCATAGCAATGTTGACATAACCAGAGGGTAACTGGGGTGGTTCACATCCATTGGATTCCTCTCTGGCAACCCTGAGGCCAGGGCTCGAGGCTGTGCAATTTCTGTTGAGCGCTGGCCGCTTGAGGGAATGCGGCCTGGGAACCTAGGGATCCTGGGATCCGATATCGTGATGGGGTCTCTTACTTGGGGCACTTGGGATGACGAATTCATAGATTTAATAGATGATATGATGAAAACTTCCATAAGTTGGGAGATATAACCCAAAAAAAATCTGAGAATTCTGGGTATATAACCACTTATAACTGGAATTGCACCCCCAAGTCTCCCAGTACTGTTTCTTGAAGACATGCAAACACTTCGCAACTGTCATACCCCCACTTGGTTCACTGTCTATGGGTGCTTCAAAGCAGCCACATGTCCCAGTCGTCCTCCAGAGCTTTTGAAAGAGTTTTGACCCAGGGGTCGAAAAAGTCTCACCAATGTTTCACAGGGACACTGTACCCATTTAATTGCTTTAATATTAGCCTCAGGTAAACATAGGTAAACTAGCCAAAAAAAAATGTGGAAAACCATGCTTTACTTCTAGGAACATGATCATACAAAAACCATGTGGAACACCATTTACACTTCTAGCAAAACCATGGTTTCTATTTCATACATGATCTAGAAATGCTGGTTTTTCCAGATCTTTTTGTGACAGTCACATACCTCCGTCGTACATCAGATCTCGGATCCAAGGTCCTCAGTTTGCAGCTGGGAGTCTCACAGAGGAGTTGAAAGAACGATGGCAGCAGGTCCGAAAAGGGGCGGTGGAACCATGGCTTTTTATGGTAGAAATAGATACCCTCTGGTTATGTCAAAATAGCTATTGAAAATGGCCATTCATAGTGAGTTTGTCCATTAAAAATGGTGATTTTCCATAGTTATGTTAGTTTACCAGAGGGTATGTGCCCTGATTTTTTTGGGCGTTTCCCTTGACATTTTGAGAGAGGAGCCAACTGAGCCATGTGTGAGGCAACTGATGGCTGCTATGACGATTTGTCGTGCATTCTGTGCGGTGCTCAGATGGCTGGGGACGCTGATTTGGCTTGCAGAAGTCCATTGCTTCAGGCTGCATTGGTCGAGACCAGGAGCGCTTCAGCTCGTTGACATAGTAGAGTTATCTGGGTAAATTAGAATAATTATAACGACCTCACTGTTCTCCCTCACTGGAAATCATAATTAGTAAGGGGAAGCATCCCCTTTTATATCCTTTTATGGCCTTAAGATTCAGGTTAGTGAAATATTATAATTTACCCAGAGTTATGTCACTTCCTTTGCGTATGGCGTTTGCGGAAAAGTCTTCGTTTTCCCAGCACTCCAGCGCCGCTTGTTCACCCCGTGGCCATGGTGTCGCAGGACATCCTTCGGACGCCGCGCGGCTGTCGGAGGCTGCCGTTGCAGCAGTTCCTGCAACAGGCCGGGGCCGATGGGGCGCCACAGACCGTGCCCAGGTTGACAGGGTTGAAGCCATCCCACTGGTGGCATATGGTGGCATAAACTCGGTATCAGCGACCAGGGGGAGGATGGGGGATGATTTTCCAAGGAGATGGAACATGTAGTCGAAGGTTTCCCAAAATCAGATGGTTTTTTTCGCGAATTTGGTGCTAGGCGGGCGCCCATTGGCTTCCTCCCAGCCAGGCTGGGCGGGTAAACATGGCTCCATTAGCTCCGAGATTTTTCATCATGGCCAGCGGGTGACGAGAATGGCCAGGTGCAGCAAGTGTTCCAACTCCCCTTTCTGCTACGCTGGCACCTGAGCTATGCATGGACCTTTCCAAAAGTCAGTCCAGTTGATTTTTGTTTGTCTATTTTGGTTCAAGATTTTCAAGCTCATGTGGCAAGAGTCAATGACACAATCCATTCTTGAGGCTAATTACATATGTGTCATTGCCAAAATACCTCCTTAAATAAACTCCAAATCCAAAATGGTGAAAGGTAAATCAACCAGAATCAGAGGTGCATCGTTGGGTTTACCCTGTACCAACTTTACCAGAACACTGGGCCCCTCTGATTTACAGTGCATGATTTCACCTCAGCTGCCGTGAGAAACTTGGCCCAGTGGTCCAGGTCTCTGGAGCCTGTCCTAGGCTCAGCGCCGATGTCAGAAATGTCATGTGGTTAAAAGAATGCCATGTAAACACATCAAATTTCCCACAGTCATCCCAAGTCATCACATCAAATCGCCATTTTTTCGGTGGTATTTTTCGAAACCATTCCCAGTCATGGGTGGTAAAAATGACATCGTTTTACCGGATTTAAGCAGCAAAAAGTATGAACTATGGCACTTAAACATACTTTAACAATCTGAAACACCCAAAGTTGATATTTACCTGAGAAACACTTTACATTCAACGATTTTTCTAATGACCTAATAAGTTCTAACAACTCCGGTTTCTCCACTGGACACATTAGAATAACATTAAGAAACAAAAACTCAAGAATTGTGTTTCTCCTTCTGTGTCCAATCATGTTTCCAAATGTTTCTGGCGTGCACCATTCTTTTCCGCGGTTTTTGCCAATGTGTTTCCACAGGTTCCCATTTATTGTTCCATTATTTACAGGAAAACCCTATATTTGATGGTAAAAACATGTAAAAACCATAGTTTCCTTCATTTTCCCCATGGTTTTCCCCATGATTTTCGCAGCACCGGCCGCCTAAGGCAGAGCTTCCGGACGTCTCGCTGTGCCCCGCTGCGTTGCAAGCGCAACTGCTGGGCGATGCCGTCGCCGGAGCCTGGCGAAGGGAGCCGATGCCCGGGCAGCGCTTGAGGCTACAACGCTTGGATGCTGAAGGACGAAATCCCTGGAAAACTGCCGGAAAAACCTAGGGGAAAAGCATGAAAAACTGGCAGCACTTGGGAGAAAATATGGAAAATTGAAGGGGAAACTGGGAAACCACTGTTTTTGTTGATGTCTTTTTGAGTTTTTTTGGGGTTGGATGTTGAAATATGTTGAATGACAAGCTGCTTCAGAGAGATTTGTGTGTCCACATTTGTACGCATCTCTGGTTCAAGCGATTTGTTCCCCTTGAATAGCCCGACGCTAGACAAGTATTTGCCGACTGTCAGCCAGAGTCTGGTAATTTAACATAGCTATTGAAAATGGTCATTTATAGCTGATTTACCCATTAAACATGGTGATTGTCCACAGTAAGTTATATTAGTTCACCAGAGGGTACCATGAAGGTCGTCGTCTCATTTCTTCTCTTCATGCTTTGCTCGCTTTGCTCAGCCCACCGTTTGGTGGACAGCTATGAAATGGACAGCCCCGGAAACTTGCAACAGCGGCAGCGGAGGGGCCAGATATGAGCCCTAAAATCATCAACAAAAGCTTCCCTGAGGAGAGTGAACCAAACATCATCCTGTGGAGCATCCAGTGCTACAAAGAAGCGAAAGAAAACTACGTGGAATGGGCGAAATGCATCCGAACAAAAATGTTCAAAGACTTGGCCCAAGTATGACCAAGTCGTGGCCGGTAAAGTTAGTGACTCGCCATTCAGTTTGAAAATCAGAGTGCATAAAGTTGACATCATGTTGACATCCTTGGCTCTCAACCGCTTTCTTTTAATATGATTTTGGGCTTGAAAACGGCACTAAACAACAGCGCCATGCAGCGCCCAAAAAATACTCGGTGCTTAATTTCATCACTTTTTCACCGCCATCATAGTTTGTTTAGATGGCGTTTTGCTAACCCATGGTGACCTTCATGAGGAACTGCCCCGTTACAAGACGCAACGTGCGCACAGTTTCGGTCAAAAAAAGGCGTTCGGTGAGACATGGGGTGCAGTGGTTTGCATCCACCAGCGAGGGTCCGCAAGGTCAGATGAGGACTTGGCAGGTCTGAAACTAGGGTAGACTATATCTTTTGGGGATTTAACAAGGTAGATTGTAGATATAGTGGGTATAGACCTAGAAAAAAAATTGAAAAAAAAGATTATGGAATATACCATAAGATACAAATTTTGATGGGGGAACTCATATCTGGATTTATGTCACACTCGAAGTTGGGATAAAATGGCACAACGACCTAGAATACAATGACTTTTTCTTGTTGATTTGATTTGATCGGTGTCTGAATCGCGGATCATTTTGCATACAAATTGGTATGGACCTGTTCAGTATGGTGGAACATTTAGAGTAGCAACCTATACATAGGGTTGTCCCCCTACATCCCTCTACCGCTACCCGCTACGGGTGGATAGTGATTGGGTCTAAGTAATGTGGAAAACCCATGAAAACCCAAGAATCAACCTATACCATTTGGGATGATGTATTGGGGATGGCTCATTATTATAATCATCCTGAAGATAGAATGATATAGAATTTTCCAAGATATTCCGAAGTTCCCATTTTGAGTGAGGATTTATTGAAATCTTTTTGTTCCAAGATAGGTTTACCACGTTCTTCGCCTCGTTCTTTTCGTTGTTTCCTGGGATCGAGCCAGGACTTGCGCAAGCGCTACCAGAGTTCCAAGCAGATTGCCCGGCAGAGGCACAATCCAATCCTGAAAAGCTGTTCGCTGCAACCCTGACGTTGCGCCGCGTCTGACTTCAGGTGGCTAAGAAGATAAAGTTGATGTTATTACCCCAATCAACATATTGTTCATAGGGGGTGGCAAATTTTGATCCCTTATGGAGATCAAGTTGATGTTATTACCCCAATCAACATATTGTTCATAGGGGTTTGCGAATTTTGATCCCTGATGGAGATATAGCTGATGTCAATACCCCAATGAACATATTGGTCAGACGGGGTGGCAAATTTTGACCCCTCATGAAGATAAAGTTGATGTTATTACCCCAGCCAACATATTCTTCAGAGGGGGCGGCAAATTTTAGTGTGATGATGATCATGATGTGATGATGATCATGATGTGATGATGTGATGTGATGATGATGATGATGATGATGATGATGATGATGTTAAATATGTGTATTCAAAATGTTTAATAATGGTTGATAATGGTTAATAATGGGAGAATATGATACTGGTTGGTGGTTTGGAACATGTTTCTTATTTTTCCCATCATATTGGGAATAGTAACCCCAACTGACTCATATTTTTCAGAGGGGTAGGTATACCACCAACCAGCATAATATGATATAATTATATATAATCCATTTTAATCCATCATTAGTTTTTTACACCACACCCAAAAGAAAGTAGATGGCAAGCGGATCCCAGCCCCGCCCCCCGCGCAGCGCTGTGTCACCACAGGTCGCAGTTCGGCAAAGTAGCCAGGCACCGTGTGGGGCTGGTCATGTTGTGGCCTTGCTACAATGCTGATTTGTTGAAGGCGCTTCCCAGGCAAGAAAAGATTTCTAGAAACAGCTGTTTTTTTGGAGAAAGTGATGCCGGCAGTTTCATTTTGAACTGTTCTTTTCTGGCCACGGGATGCCAATTGGCCTGCGCCTTCAGGATTGCTTTAGCATCACCCGGAAGATTGGAGGGTTGACAGTCTACGTGGCTGGGGTCCTCAACAAAATGCATTGCAGCTATGTTTAAGTCCTACTTTGTGGAGTTTCGAGGTGTCCCCAAGGTGGATGTATTCAAAGGTGTTGACAAGTTGACAAGACCTGAACATACCATAACATACCCACATAATCCAAGCCATGATCTGTCCGAAGTGGCTTTGAAGCCGAAGTTCTGAATTCCTGTCGTGAATGACCCTTGTCGCATCGTTTTCTTAAACATTAATCACACAACAGGAGCCCTGACATGATGAAAAACTTGGATTCAACCAGAACCAACCGCGGCCCAAAACCATGGGTTGTCTTAAAATTTGGAATCTCAAAAATGAAAATCCCATGGTTTACAGATGTGTGTATATATATATGTATATATATATATATATGTGTGTGTGTGTGATTACCGTATATACAATTATATATATATACAATCATATATGCACATATACATATGCATACGTTCCCCCCCACCTTTTGGCACATCTCCTTAGCACCGAGGTGTGCACCGGCCACGGCCCGTGGGGCAAAGTGGTGTCCTTCCGAGCTGCTCAGAGCATCCCCAAACTGCTGCTGGAAGCAACTGAGGTCATGGCTTGAAGCAACTGCTGGATGGATCATGGGATGGACTGTTCGGAAGAAAATGGCTGGAAAATGGCTGGAAAATGGCTGGAAAAACCGGAACACCTATGTTGTGTTTTCGATGATTTCTTGTTATGTTCATGTTCACATCTATTTAGAGATGCGGTAAAGAGTCCATTTTTTACCCGGCGGCCCGGATCATCTCCAAGATTTGAGGTTTAAAAGGGTTGAACAGTCTCAGATGCAGCGTTTTTTTCAGAAATGGATTGGGGATTGATAGATATTGATAGATTACCCTCTGGTAATTTAACATAGCTATTGAAAATGGCCATTTATAGTGGAATTTCCCATTAAAAATGGCCATTTTCAATAGCTATGTTAAATTACCAGAGGGTAGATCAACCCAGCCATCTCTGAGCCTTTTTTTTGGAAACCCTCAGAAAACTTCTTCGTCATATCTCCGGACATCCATGGCTCATGGCAAGTTCAAAAAATCAGAATAACTTTTGGTGACTAAACCATACAAAATGGATAAAAAATGCGGATTGTATGGGATATATATGATATATATGGATATATAACGAACAAATACCCAGTGTGGGTGTGTCCGAAAGTGGGTAGCCGACTTTATGGCCGTATAGCTGGAAAATGATCATTAACAAGTAGATTTTTATGTTTTTCGAGATGAATGACTATACCATAGGTTTTGACATGTTTCATGGGACACATGATCAATCCGAGTTTCGAAAAAGGCTCCCATCTTCCAATACCACGTAGGCGGCCACCGAACAGCTCTTAGCCCGGGCCGTGAAGTTTGCCACCTGCGAGCTAAAACAGTTTGCTGAGAAGAATGGATATGACTTGAGGCATTCAGGCGCCCTGCCCTGTTGGGTTGGAGATGGTTGGATTGGATGATACATTGATGTTTTATAGTGTTTTAATATATATACATGCATGATATCAATGATCTGGATTTGGCATGTGGATGGTTGTGGTGATATTGAAACATATTGATTCACTGATGCATCATAGCTGATGCATAGCTGGAGGTTGGGATGGTCAGCGTGGAATTTTACATCCAGCTGTGTCATGTTGTTTGCCTTGATGCAGCTACCATCAGCCGAACAAACCCCTTGGGTGGACGAAACTCCATGGCCGCCCGATCGACAGTTGCCGTTTTTCTATCCCTTGCATTGGTCTTGGGAGATGATTGTTTGGAGGATCAGAATGTTCAGATGTTACAGCTGGACACGAGCATTGATGAGAAAAAACATCACTCAGAAAAGTCGAGATCGAGGAAAACACACCGGAAATCTCTACAGAATTGCGGCCATTTGATTCTTGCATGTATGATGAGTGTCACGTTTTTTCCAAGTGTGTTCGATTTTCCTATTGATTCATCCACTGTTTGGGGAATCTATTGTGAAGAATTGTGATTTTGAACGATCTTTTTCATGGCCCCCTTGAGGATTGGGCCCAGCCAAGGATTGGAAATGAATGCGATCCCAGCACCAATTTCGATTGCAGCAACAACTGCGCCGTCCATACGCATGGCCAGGACTGCTATCGACCGGTGCCCCAGGTGATGGCCGATCATCCAGGAGAAGATGGCTATTGTCGCTGAGCTGAAAGCTGAACAAAGGGACCCCTGGGACATCCTGGGACCAACTACAAGGTGGATTTATAGTAGATTTATAGTGGATTTACCCATTGAAAATGATGATTTCATGGGATTTTGGTATGGGATTTATTGGGTTACCCTCTGGTTATGACGTTTACAGTTTGCCATGGTTAAACGATGGCCCTAATCGAAATAGATGGGCCATACCGTTCTTAATAGCATGGGTGGATCTTTCCATGGCTATGTTAAATCACCAGAGGGTATTTTAAGTTGGTTTATTAACCCCATGAAAACTATATATATACAATGTGGGGCCCCCAAGATAGCTAAGTTGGTTTATAACTCCAGTAACTATGGTTTATGGTAGTTATAACTATAGTTAATGGGGTTTATAAACCAACTTACAACTGGGGGGCCCCACATTGTATATATATATACGTGTGTGTGTGTGCTATATCTACCACAAACCCATAAGTTACTGGAGTTATTTAAGCCACCAACTTAGTGAACTATGGGGCACCACCAACCGTACAAACCGTTTTTTCAGAAAGTTGCCCGGTTGGAAAGTCAATGAAGGTCATCTAGAAATGGTGGGCTTTTCACTAAGATTACTCAATGGATTGGTTTAAGGGAAAATTTACAGGAAAGCTCCATATTTAATGGGAAAATCTATGGTTTCCTGTAGATTTTCCCTTAAACCAATCCATTGAATTACATCTATAGCTCAGTTTATAGCTGGTCTTGACTTCGTATAAAAAATAAAGCGATGTTTATGGAGATTGGAAGTTGAGTTGATGTCAGCTTGAAAAATGCCATCATTTGCCTATAGATCTACCATAAACCATGGCAAACCTGGTCATAAAGCAACTTACCACTCTAGGGAACTTAGTTTCCTTGGTGGGGTTTGTCATGATTTGCCTGAGAATTGTTGAAAAAAACTGCCGAAACACCGTGGAGAATTACTGTATTACAGTCGCATTTCCTATTCGAATTGCTATAAAACATGCTCTTCATTATTTTTGGAGAAAGAAACCCAAACACTGAAAAATGATGAGAATGTGCTACTTAAAAACTGTCCCCAGCCCACGGATGACATTAGCCCACTGGATCAGAAACTGCTTGGTGATTCCGTGGAGTTTCAGCACCTTCAATGTTTGTCGGCCAGGGTTGCTCCAATTTGCTATGGTAAATCATAGCCAATAAGAGAAATGAAATGGCTGATTTATGGTGATTTGACATGATTTTACCTTTTCATCCCAATTTTCCAGCCCACGAATGATGTATTTGGGCTGTTGGAGCACGCCTGCCAGGCTATTTCAACTATACCGGCTTTTGGGTGACTCCTGTGGGAGACGACCCTGACTTCGAGGAATATGCCGTTCGCGGCATTTTGGGCCTCAGAAATGCGGCCTTTTCGAATTATCGGGGCTTCAAGACTGGGCCAGTCTTGACCTACCACTTTGAGGGGAAGGTCATTACAACGCAAATGGATGCCAGCCACTATTCCTTCGATGATTTGCAGCTGACGATGTTTAACGAACGTTTTAATATGGTTTATTGTTTCGTTTTTGTTTAATCATTAAACAACCTTAAACCATTGAGATGATGATTCTCAGTTGACCGTTACTAGCTACATAAGACATACAGAAGATATTATATCTGAGACGTATGTAAGACACACGTAAGACATATAATATCTCTAGAACATTTTTGTTTGGGTTTATGCGTGTGTGTGTGTGCGTGTGTTTGGAAAACATCTCTATATTTGTTGTTTGGCAATCACCAAAAAAATGTTGGACAAACACTAAAGCACATTATTTGTCATATGTGTATGATTCCGTGTCATTTTCTCTCTCTCTCTATATATATATATATATGTGCATGCACTTATTATATACATCTCTGTATACGCTTGCCTACTGAAACTATCCTTAGTTCTACGTATGTTTTGCTATGAACATCTATATATATATATATATGCACGCATATGTTTGCCTACTATTCTCCAAGGATACATCTACACATAGCTGCACAGATCAAAATGACCTCACGTCGTGACGTCACTGGAATGATGGTTAGGATTGGGGTAACTATCCCAAAGTAACCGAACTTTTCGGCTTAGTGAAAGAGTCTTACCTTCACAGATACACATCTTTACATCCAAAAGCATCTAAAAGCAATGTATACAATTAACATCAATTAATCAGATTACAGTTAACCACTTGCGATCCGTGGGATGATCCTCCAAGTATTCTATATATATATATAAATATAATGATACATTAAATGATATATATATACACACATATATATACATATATATATATATAGGTGTGTGTGTGTTTCAGATTTTTCGGTCAGCTAAGGTATGGCTATTCCTTGGGTTACCTGCAAGGGCAAGGCTTGGAGGCTTGGATGATTCAGGACAGCCAGGGTTGGATCTCCATCGTGGAACAAAGGCGGGGGCGGCTGGCGACCCTCTGGTAAACATCCAAAACCAGCTATAAACTGATGGGAAAATCACCATTTTTCATGGGTAAATCAACTATAAACTATGAGATACTATGAGTTATATATATATACCCTAGGGTAATGACGTTTACAGTTTGCTATTGAAAATTGCCCATTTAGAGTGGATTTACCCGTTAATAGCATGGTGATTTTCCAGTTCCTTTATAGCTGGTTGCTCACCAGAGGCTACCATAAAACCAGGAGAAAAAAACCTGTGAAAACCGACGAAGAAGGAGCGGAAAATTGAGCCTGAACATCTGGATTTAACACGATAACTAACTATCGTTTAGTTTTGGGATTAAAGTTTGGAAATTGAGATTGAGATGTTACCCTCTGGTTATGACTAACACTTTGCCATGGTTAAACGATGGCCCTAATCGAAATAGATGGGCCATACCGTTCTTAAAAATGGGTGGATCTTTCCATGGCAAACTGTTAAATAATCAGATGGTAATCGTGAAACATGGTGGCTTTAGAAAAAAGAACTCTTCCAGCTGGATTGGGGAATCAGCGCCAAGTGATTTCCATTTTTGGTTTTGTCAACGGCAAATGTTTATCATCAAACATACAAAGAGGGTTCCTTTCAAACATATCCTTTATGGATTTCCCACCTTTCCCAGTGTTAGAGGCGCCGTGCTCATGAACCATGTCTACAGAAATGATGTCTAAAGTGGCCCTTCTATTCTTTGCTGCTCACCACCCGATGTGGCTATTTGTAAACCTTGGTGAATGGTTGGTGAACATCGGCGCTTTCTTGGGCGATAGTTGAGGGAATATGTTCATTCTTTACCAGAGCTTCAATCTCATTCCCCTTGTTTGGAATTCAAATGAACCCACAATGAACAGACCCAAGAAAAACCCAAGGTTTCTAGAAAAGTCTAGCGACTTGATGCGATTTTTTTAAGATGCGATTTGAATAGATGGCATGATGGAGGTGGGGGTTTTCCAGCATTTTTTCAGATGTTTCCACCATTTAGCCGAGGTGTAAAGAGATACAGCACACTTACAACTTCCAAGATGAAGAACTACTTTTGGCCGACTGGTTAGATGACAACCAGGTACTGGCCACGCAGGTCGGGTGCGCAGCCAACATGAGTGTAGTGGGACAGAGATCCGATGTTCTTGAAAAGGCCAAGTACCACAGTTCTCAAAATTGCCAGCCCATCACTGCCCGAGACTTTGCCAAGCACCATTACATCAAATGTTTGCTGGGCTATCCGAATGCGGCCTCAGATGCTGCCTATCTCCTGGCACGAGCATGTCTCATTGGGAACCACATCGGTCATTTCACAGACTGTCCCTATTCGCCCAACATCAGCTTCTGAACAAGCCTGGCACAGGAGGTTTTTGGACCACAAAATTATGACGGACATGGCCAATCTGAAATGGAACATGGAACCAGAGGATGAAAAAGGTCGGACACTTCATGGCAGGTGTGGATCCAATGGTTGGTCATCATTTTCCATATTAAAAAGATGCAATGTTGATCAATGTTGGGGGTATACCCCATTTTCAAACACGCTTAAGTGATATGATGGCGCATTGTGTAGCACTCATTTCAGGTTCAACGTTCCATTTCCATGGCCATGCGTCGCACAGAAATGCGTTGCGTGGGAAAAATGCGGCATGCTGGGGCAACATCAGGGCAACGACCATGCTTGTTCCGCTTGGAGGAGAGTCACTTCCGTTATGACATTATGAGCCATTTGGGTTTGTTTTTTTGGGGGGAATCCCCTTGAATTCTAATGGGTTATCATTGTTATCATCATTATCTCCATATGATTGGTGGCATTTTGTAGGTGTACCATGGTACACCCAAGTCTCCCATTTAAACAATGGGAGTATCTCAACAGTTTGGGGACTTAGAAAGTTGTTATGAAGCACTTCTGATGCGAGGGATGCTCCCCACACAACCTTTCTGTTAGAGTGCGCAGACTAATTTCTGGTAGAACTTGAGATCATGCAACTCTACATTAAACAAATATGGATGACTGTGAGCAAATTGGCAAATTGCTGAATCCATACCGAATCCATCGTCAGGTGCCAGCGTCAGCATCTTATTGCGCCAGGCAAGGCTGGCAAGTTCATGAGCAGATCCGGTGTCGCAAACAGTATATATAGTCTGGTTGGTGATTTCAAACATGTTTTTATTTTCCATAATATATGGGATAATCCTTCCCATTGACTCATATTTTTCAGAGGGGTTGAAACCACCAACCAGTTATATTTACTAGCCGCAAGTATCAAAAAAGTACCCCAATCGATGAACTCTGGAGAATATTACCAAATATGACCAAGCAATTTTGGATAGAAATTTCATAAACCAATACCCTCCAGTAATTTAACAGTTTGCTATGGAAAATCACAATTTTCAATGGGTAAATCCACTATTTCGAGTGGGCCATTTTCAATAGCAAACCAGGCCGGGTAAGGCACCTTGGTTTTTCCAAAACTTGGGATCTGATCCGGAGCTGATCTCCTGGATCCGGAGTCCAATTTTATCCATTCCCTGTCGGTTAATGTCCTTGTCAAACTAGGTTTTTTCTAACGGCCTGTTTTACTGAGGTCTATCTGACTGAGGTTTTGTCTATATATTTGTTTCTTTTTGACTTTGGTTTTTGTTCCATCTTAGCCGAGCAGGGCCCCACCCCAAAGATATCCCCATGTTTCCAAAAATGGAAGGCACGCCTTGATTCGAGAAACTACTGAAACTGTGAGAAAAAGTGTGAACAGGTTGTGAACCCTGTGAAACCAAGTTTGTAAAAGTTGAAGAAACACGCATTGTGCTGTATATGACTCCCCTGGTTTTTCACGGTGCGGTTTGATGTTTTGTTTTTCCACTGATGAGTTCGACCTTGATATAGTCATTTCAGTCCTTTATTCAAAGGTTCACAGTAAACTTGTCCTTTCGAGTGGGATTCATCACATCCACGGTCGATGTCGATTGTGTTGAGGGCAGCTCCATCCACATGGGATGGCTGGGAGATAGCCGACTGATGGTGGCTACGATCTATGGCGGGCCAGCAGCCTTAGAAGCCTTAGACTGCTGGGATTCCAGGTGTTTGATGCGAAGAGATTTTCCGGTTTGTCCTATTTTTGTTAGCTGAGAATATATCCTGGTTGGTGGTTTTAAACATTTGGATTATTTTCCATTTCATATATAGGATGTCAACCTTCCCATTGACTTTCATATTTTTCAAGATGGTTAAAACCACCAACCAGTATCCGTAGCCATTTTGGCTCAAGTTTGGGCCCAAATCGTTAAGGTTGTTCTAGACAGACCCCATTAGATGGCGGAACGTGGAGGAATTCCCACTTTTAATCTAGAAGATGATGATGGTGCTGATGATGCTTCTGCAGCTGCTGCCCCCGGCCTTCCTGCTGCTCCCAAGCTTTCCCTTGCTTCCCCACCTTTGAAGAAAAGCAAGTCCGTCGTCATCACCGGGAGCAATGACGAGCAAACAGACCCAGGCGAAGCAGACCTTGAACCAGCCTTTCCCCCACCCCCGCTCCTGGCCCTTCCTGCTGCTGACACTGCCATGGGACCGCTGGAGCAACAATCTCTCCACACTGTGTTGAACCAATGGGCAGAACGATTGGAAAACACCTTGAGCAGAACAGTTGGCAGAAAACTGGACGCGATCCAAGCCAACCAGCAAGTTGTACTCCAAACAGTTGATGCACACACTTCCCAAATCTCCTCACTTGCTCAAGGGCTTGACGGAGTCAAGGCGAAACTCCAGAAACTTGAAGCTTCCCCACCTCAACATCAAGAAGGTGCTGGCTCCCAGGTTCAACAGCTACAAAAAGATCTACGAGTGCTGACTGACAAGGTTGATCAACTCTCATCGCTCTCTGCTCGGGCTCCCTCAGCTCCTCCACCTCAGCGTGACTCTGCAGCACCTGTGCACGACACCTCTCGTCGAGCCCGCTCCGCTGCGCCTTTCCGGCGTATGACCTCTGACGATGCCCCACTCATTGACTGGAACCACCTTGTGATTGGCGGTTGGGGTGTCGACACCAGGCGTGACACAATCCATGCAGAGGCAACGCAACTGCTCGAAAAGATGCAAGCCAGTGACAAAGTGGTTGAAGTCATAGTGTACGGCAAACGCTCCTCCACCTGCCACGTTTTTCTTCAACCCCTGCCTGAGCCAGATGCACGACAGCAAATCCTTTCTTGGCAAGCCCAATTCAAGGACAAGTTCGTCCTACCCAGCTCTGGCAAGCCCGCATGGCTCACAGCCCACAAGAGCACTCAACTTCGCTTCAAAAACCGCATCACAAAGCAAGCACTCCATCTGGTTCAAACACTCCTTGGCCAAGGGTCTACGAAGCAGGTTGACTGCGATTGGGCTCGTCAACTCATTTGGGTCGATGACTGCCGCGTTGCTGGTGCCCGCATTGGCGATTTCGACCCAGAGCCTAACGCCACACTCTGTGAGCACAATCTCCACGATGACAAGCTGCAACAGGCTGCCTCCCTTCACTTTCATGCCTCCCGCCTTGCACGGGTCACTGGCAAGACAGTCCCTGACATCCAGCAATTCCTGGCCCAGCCCAGGGCCAATGAGTGACTCTCCGACCACGAGCGTGATGCAGGCCAGATCGCCAATGCTCAGCTGCCCCATGGGCACAGCCTGCAACCCTTGCAGCTGGCCACGTGGAATGTTCATGGAAAATCCATCTGCCAGACTGCTGCGGCTTTGGCTGATCAACAAATTAGCTTTGATGCTCTTGCTCTTCAAGAGGTTGGTGCCCTTCCTGAAGGAATTGATGCCGACCCTTCGCTGCTCATTGATGCCGCCGATCTTCCGATTGCAGCTCGTGATGACCTCGCCAATTACTGGATCCTCGGCACCAACAACCTTCAAAGTCATTTGGGTCAAGCCCTTCTTTTCGACAAAACACTGTTCCCAGCAATTCTCCAAGTCCACAAGGGACAGCGATCCCTTGGAGCGAAGTTGGCCCTTCGATCGGGAGGTTTTCTCTGGATCCTGGGCGCCCACTTCCCCCACCATCAAAACGACATGGACGTCTACGCTGCGGCCACTCGGGAAATCCACTCCTTTGCTGCAAAGGTTCAGGGCACTCCTTTTCTCATTGCAGGCGATTGGAACTCACAACCCGATGGCCCCAACATGGACCAGCAAGCCCTGGAGATCGCTTGCTTGGCGGCTGAAGACCTTCTGCACATTGCCATGCCTGCGGGCCCCACTTGGCAACGCAAAACCTATGACTTCTTCCTGTGCTCCCAGCACCTGCACTCGAAGTTGAGCCCAGCGACTGCACAACCATACACCGTTCCCCACATGCGTGATCTCCTTCCCTCTGATCACCACCTGGTCGCTTGGGACTTAGTCTGGGAAAAGGGGTCCAAGCGCAAGCGCACTTCCCACTTCCACACTGCCAAGTGGACTATCAATTCCGAAGCTTTGGCAGCAGCCATCCAATCAGCTGCCCCTGCCCGGACTGCCTGGGATGAGCTATGCCGCCTGGCCCACTGCTCCCAACGCCGAGCCCTCAGCAAAAAATATGTGGACCCGCCAGCCTTGAAACAACTTTGCCAGCTTCGCAACAACACCTTCGACACCACTCTTCGTGCATCCCTGTCTCGGCAGATCCTCCATCAAAGGCGCGAAGCAAAGCAGCAATGGGCCCTTGATCTCCAAAATGATGCAGCAATGGGAGACGATGCCAGCATTGCTTTCCTCAAAGCCCGTCGGCGGAAGGCCTCCAATTGGACCACTTTGATCGACACATGTGGCAGCCGTGAAGCGGCCGCTGACGCTGTTCGAACCCACTTCGCCCAAGTCTTCTCCGCCACCCCTGCCAAGCAGCGCGACCAGGAATGCAGCCAGTCCCTTCACACTTTGTCTGCGCACATGGGTGCCACAAAGCCCTTACCCATTGCAAGCCCAGAACTCCACACTGCCCTGCTCAAGCTGCACCGAGGCAAGACCTCTGGAGCCTCTGGCATGTCCAATGAATTTCTGCTTGCAGCCGCCCAACACACAGAAGGGGAACATCTACTCCTGCAAGCCCTCAACGACATGTTCTTGCAGGGCAACTTCCACCCAGACCTCACCCGCGGGGTCGCCTGCCTGATTCCCAAGATCCAGCAGGCCAAGACAGCAAACGACATTCGCCCCATCCTCCTGCTAGAGGTCTTGCAAAAGGTTTTCTGCAGGATCCTCATGACGAGATTGCAGCCGCTTTGGTGCCCTCTCTTTGCTCAACTCGGCGCTGTGCCAGGGGGGCAGGCAATTGAGGCTCTTTTTGCAGCGCACAGCATGATGAGTATCGCAAAGGTGATGCACAAACACTACCTTTTTATCAAGATGGATCTGAAAGGAGCTTTCGATAACCTCAAACATGCCAGTGTTGCTCAATTTTTGGCTTCCTTACCACCATCGGCGGCGTGGGAAGCAAAACGGCTACTGCAACTTCTGCTCAGTCAAACTCTCGACTTCCAGTTCTTGCAAGAAGAATGGCAGCTCCGCAGCACCGCTGGAACACCTCAAGGTGGATCACACTCTGCTGGTCTCTTTGCTCGTACGTTGGACTACTTCTTGGCAAAACTGGTGACAAAATGGGAGCGTTTGGGATACCGGGCTCCTTTTGACCCCTTGTGGCTTCTGCTGTATGTGGACGACATCATGCTCTGCTTTAAGAATTGGAGACAAGCCTGCGCCCTGATGCCCTCCTTCTTGGACATGCTGAACTCCATTGGCATGAAGGTCAACTTTAGCAAGAGCTGTGTCATTGTCGATGCAGTGCTGCTACGTGCTGCCGCCACAGAATGCACAAGCCCACTTCTCCGCGAGTTTCAATGGAGCGAGACAACGTCCTACCTCAACCGCCCTTTTGGCTACCAGGTGTCAGTGGAAACGCTATGCCAACAAGTAGCTCAGAAAGTCCATGCTGCATGGGGTAGCCTCAGAGGCATTTTGGGGAGACGCTGGTGGACAAACCCGTCCCAAACAGATACTCTTCTGACAAAACATGTTGGTTCTGTATTTCTGTGGCTGTCTCCCGTCCTTTACCCATACAGTGCAGTACTCAACAGCATTCAAACACTCCAAACCACGGTCTTTGCAGATGCGCTGGGGCTCTTCATTCCTGATCTCAGCTATGATACAGCGGTGCAACTTGTTCGCCTCAGGCGCCATGTGGTCAAAAGATGGTTGCTTCATGTCGCTCCCGCAGGCAATTGGTGTGCCAAACTCCTTAGGCGCTTGTGGACCTTTACGGGGCATATCTGTCGTCAAACATCTCATCCGTCGCAGCCGGCGCGAGTGATGATGGGCCTTTTCGCCGCAACTCATGCGCATGGGTTAGCCAGACCTGGCCCATGGAAGACACTGCATGCATTGTTCCACAAGTTCTGGACATCACATGAGCTGGAAGGTGACTTTCTCAACACTGCTTTGGATCGTGAATCTTGGAAAACCCTTGAGCCAGCCTTCGTTCAATGGTTTCAACCTTCCACTCGCTGCACGTGGAGTTTTTGCAATGCAGTCCGTGGGAATCGCCGGACATGCTTCTACGAGCACACGTCCCATGGGTACACACAATTGTTGTTCAACTGACCAACGTTGCAGACAACAGATGGCGGCTTGCAGTCACCTGGCTCGACGAAATGGATGGGATGTGCTCCTGGAGCCACTTTTCTGACCAGAACTCCAAACTCACCACATTCACTTCGGGAATGGCATGCTGCCTTCGATATTTGGCAATGATATACCAACCCTTTGTCATACAGATCGCTTTCGCAACCGCATCTGACTGGGCACTCGTCTTTGCCAACAGTGAAGCCGTCAATAGTGTCTTTAAGCATTGCCCTTGTGGTTCGTGGGTGCAGCTTTTCCCTCTTTCTAAGAAAGAACTGCGACACCGAACCATTTCCCATAGTTTGACCATTCTTGCTCCTTAAGGGAGTCCCTTGGTCACGCCACGCCATTATTCTTCACTTATGCTGTAGGGCAAACCATTGGATGCCCAGGCAAAAAACCAGTATCCAACATTTCCAAGTTGTTTGTTTGGTCCATTTTGTTGTCGAACGTTTTCCAAAAGCATGCCCCCCCAAAAAAAGAAAAAACATCCAAAAACGTCCAAAGACCAATCATCAGTGGCACTTTTCTGTTAGTGACCTGATTTAAAGCTACCCTCTGGTAAACTAACATAACTATGGGAAATCACCATTTTTAATGGGAAAATCCACTATTTCTATGGCCATGTTCAATAGCTATGTCAAATTACCAGAGGGTATATCCAACCTCCATTCCCCTTGACGTTCTGAGGTTCCACAGGCTGGATTTGCTGAGTGATCCTCAGCTGGTTCAAAACGAGCCAGAGGGAAGACGGATGGCAGAGCAATTGGCTGAAGTGAAGGAGGTGCTGGCCCCGGAAACCATGGAAACATATGGAAACATATGGAAACATATGGAAACATATGGAAACATATGGAAACATATGGAAACATGGACGGCTTAAGCTGATTTCTTTGGCCATTTGGGCTGAAGATTTTGGGACACTCCAGGTGTTTGATGGTTGCTGAACATGAGTGTTTTTTGCCAGGTGTGATGGGATAATAAGACCGCTATGGTCCAACTGTGGCAGATCCAATTGATCGATCCAAAAAATGGGGGACCTATTTTGGGACCCATTTTTGGACAAGCCCACGTGAGAAGTGTCCAAAGTATCGTATGAGATGGATACGGACATACATACATAATTCATACATAGAGAGAGAGAGAGAAAGAGAGAGAGAGAGAGAGAGACATATAATATATATATATATGCGCGTGTGTGTGTGTGTGAGTGATAATGCAATGTGGTTTTGCAATTCATTGGGATGTGGCTGGTCAAAACATGTCAACACAAGAAATACGGATAGATGTGGGGCTATACTACCCGGTTACCCGATTTCGCCATGAGAAACCCTGTGTGCATCTCTATATGCAGATGTGGTCATTCATTGATGGTTGATAATGTTGATCTATTACATATACTTCGTTGGTAAAGTCCCTAGTTACATACGTTTGCGCATTACTCTGGGGTAAACTAACAACTTTGCGGGAAACCCCCATGGTCTCCCACAAATGATTTTACAGGAGGCTATGTCACCACATATCTTGGTGGGTAAACCCCTGATGGTCGGTGATCGATTTGCCCTCAATGGAAACTCATCTTCCAAGCCCGATGACTGCCAGGGTCTATGTTAAGTATGTTACCCTCCGGTAAACAGCCACATAACTATCGAACATCACCATGCTATTAATGGGAACATCCACTATTTCTATGGCCATTTTCAATAGCAAACTGTTGACATAACCAGAGGGTATCTGATCATTATTGGTGATAGTTTCTATTCCATGATATTCCCATATATTCCTATTATATTACCATAGTTATACCCATTTATTGTCCCATTATGGGTAGCTTCAAACCACTTCACAGCAAGGTTTCCGGGGAACTGCAAGCCTTTGCACCCAACGACTCCATCGGCTGTCGCCTATCGAGGGCCATTGGCAACTTCGCAGCTTAGATCGATGAAGATTCAACGGTAGGGTACGGTAGGGTACGGTAGGTACCCTCTGGTTATTGGACAATAAATCCATGTATTTATAGTTAATTCATGTGAATTCATGTTGGTTCTCCATTAGCCATGTTTGATTTGCGGAAGGTAGATTTGTGATGTTTAGATAGTAGATGGATGGATGGGTAGATTGATTGGCATCAACTGGCATATGTAAATCTATGGAACTCTGTGAGCCCGACTGTTGTATCTTGTCACATCTTGTCACGTCAGCCCGTCAAGTCGGTCGGTTTCAGTGGAGACGACGCCGTTATTCGGCAGTGTTTGGCTTGGGGATATCTTCCATACCGCAGGTATCCAAATCTGTTTGGAGATATCCAAACAGTTTCCAAACAGTTTTTGCAAACATACTTCAAGAGGATCAAAATACATCAAGCCATACTTCAGGATGGCTTGAGATGTTCGAACCACCCATGTTTGGCCTTTCGCAACAACTGAGGCCTTGGCGGATCACGGCTTGTTGTCACAGCCCGAGTTGGCCAAGACCAGTTTCGAAGCTTCGCCGGGTCTGGTGCTGTGGAAACCCCAGTGTCCCCGTGACGGGTGACGGTCAACCTCTGAGCACAAGCCTGAAGTGTCACCCAAAAAAGGCTTCTGATTTCGCTAGTCCTACCGTAGATGGACGAATTATTCAAACCCTTGTAATCCAATAACCCCCCGCACCCCGAATTACAATGTTGTTTTTTTGGTTTGGTTCGCTCCTTCGAATGGACGAAATAAATCAAACCCTAAGATCAGGAACAAAGATACGAAACCATTGAAAAAAAGTTGCAAGGCACTTTCCTTGGAAGAACACAGACAGGGAATCCGCGAAGGGAGCTGGGAAGGGAACTGGAAGGGAACTGGGAAAGAGAAAGGGAACTGGGAAAGAGAAAGGGAACTGGAAAAACACAGGACTTCGCACACGCTGAAGAAAAGGAAGTGGAAAAACAAAACATTTTCAATCACGCCCGGGAAAGGGAACTGGAAAAACACGGCATTTTCAATCACACCCGGGAAAGGGAACTGGAAAAACATAGCATTTTCAATTACGCCCGTGAAAGGGAACTGGAAAAACACAGCATTTTCAATCACGCCCAAGAAAGGGAGTTGGAAAAACGCAGGAGTTGCAATCATGCCTAGGGAAGGGAGTTGGAAAAACACAGCAGTTGCAATCACGTCTAAGGAAAGGAAATGGAAGAAGGCCGGAACTGAACCAGCAAAGCGCGCGTAAAGACAACGTATCACGGAACAGAAAAAACAAACTACAAACTAGGAAAAATTACCCTTCACATTCTCTGCGCTCCTGCTGACCACCGCTCCCCGTACCGTAGATGGACGAATTATTCAAACCCTTGTAATCCAATAACCCCCCGCACCCCGAATTACAATGTTGTTTTTTTGGTTTGGTTCGCTCCTTCGAATGGACGAAATAAATCAAACCCTAAGATCAGGAACAAAGATACGAAACCATAACGTTGAAATTTGGGGGGACAGGGGGTAGCCTACAACTCATGGATGCGGGGTTTGAGTAATTTGTCCATCTACTGTATCACCAGTCCGATATCTAGTCCTAGTCTTCCAAAATTGAGGGCTTGTTGCTTGAAGGATGGGAGCCGGAAAGCTCTACGACTCGATGACGGGAGAGGTGGAGTTAGCTCAGTGATCGATGTTCTTCAATGGAAAACCAGTCGACCTAAAATTGTTGTGGTTGTGTTTGACACTATCCAGCTTTGGGTCCCCATAATTTGAGCAGTGAGCTTCATTTGCTTCAAGCCCTGTGTTTTTTTTACATGGTCAGAGGATATTTTGAGGATGATGAAGTCCATGTTTTTACATGGCCATGACATGATGAAAGCCCGTTGGCATTCGCTCCCCCACTATGCAGGTTGTTCTTCAGAAGCTTCTGGACGGCCAACTGCAAACAGCAGGGGCAGGCAGGGACAGGAAGTGTGCTGAGTGTGTTCAGCTGGACCTGAAAATCGCATGAATCTCATACCGTAGATATCCTTAGATGTTCATTCCATCCAATCAACAAAATAAGAAAAACATAGAACAAGCGTATGGCCAATACTTGCAACTTAACTGATCCTCACTTCCTGTTTTATACAGCTATTGGGGCCACCACCATTGCTATCCATTGCTTATTGTTGTCATCAAGGCCCAGCACTACGACATTTATGTGAAAACTTGGACCTCGCGTGCATTCTGCTGCATCTCGGTAGCTGAAGGTTGGCAGCTTCACACTCTACTCTTTGGATAAATGTTTAAGAAAATCTAAGGAACTGTGAATTAACATGTAAGGCATGGATAATCTGAATACATTCCAAAGGGATCTTTGGGAACATACAAGTTCAAATTGATGGATCGTTGTGCACCAGTTGGCAACTTTTAGTAATTAAGTAATGGAATAAATCATCTAGCACCTGGTGCAGGATTTTGTCCATCCACAGAATGCTACTGTGCGTGTCAGGGGAGAAATTCATGGAAAATCAGCCAATATCATATGAAAAAACATCGGGATTTAATGGGAATATGATTGGCAAGTATGATTCAGTGTCCCATATAAACGGGAATATGAATGATTCTATTGGGAATATTGGGAAATGATACCAGGGATATCATATGATGATGGGTTTCTCTTGGTTTCTCCAATTTTGGATGATGGGTTGATGGTTTTCTCGAAAAAAAATCGGATTCCATGGCCAACTTTGAGACCATTTGAGACCATTCTGGGCAGATGTGGGGTTTGATCTTGGACGACAAAGGTATTGGCCAGCTCCTGTGGAGGAAACGCTGGAAAGTTGGCTCCTCGGGAGATTCACCATTCAAGTTTACCTCAAGCTGCCCCAAGGTTTTCCTTGTAACTAATATTTACCAGGTTTTAGACAAGGTTTACCATATATTTCCCTATCTTTTGTAGGTTCATTCCATTTCGCCATTTTTTGAAAGGTTGGAAAGTGGCTTCCATAGGATTGCATCGCCACAGGGCCCTGGCAGGTGAGACACCAGCGCCAGCACCAACGCCGACACCTGTCTTGCCACAAGTCTCTGAGGCGCGGCCACAAATCGGGGGATGGACCCAACATGAAGACCCAGGGGAGCCAGCGATTTTGGATGAACTTACCCTCTGGTAAACATACAAAAAACTATGGAAAATCACCATTTTCAATGGGTAAAACCACTATTATAAATGGCCATGTTCAATAGCTATGTTAAATTACCAGAGGGTATGCCATCACAATCCAATTTCAGCATATTTCAGCAACCATCCCAGTTTTTTGAAATGTGTAAAAATGGCATCCCAATTTTGGCCCATAGAGGCATGAGAAATAATGCGAACATGTTTTTTTTCAGGAGTCCAACCGCAAGCCCCCGAACTCGGGAGATTGCGCCGCTTGCCACAGAATGAGTTTTCGTTGTTCAGACTGTTGCAGCTTGCAACTTAAAGTCTGTGCTCAATTCGGCCACAGAATCTGTTTTCCACATTCAACATCATTCAACCATAGTCTCCCAATCCGATTCCAACATGGGCACCGACCACCCAAAATGCCAAACATGTTGGTCCTGCATACCCTTGAAAATCCAGCCTGAGAATGGAAACTCCTACTGTTGTTAGGCAAGAACATCTTAGTCTTAGAACATCATGTTCAAGTAAGGATCCGTTCCTTGCCAGGTTTGTTGATTCACTTCAAACCATCATCTACAAATTGGAGTGCCATAGAAATTGGGGTGAAATCCCCGTTTTACCTCCAGTCCCCACAGGCACCTGCACCACAGGCAGCCATGGCAGCCATGGCGACCCTCCCGCAGCCGGATGCACAGATCAAAGTGCAGGAGACGGGTCACTCCGGGCCGGTGACGGGGTTCCAAATTCCAGATGAATAGATGGGGTTGATCCAAAAATCCCAAATCCATATAATCCATGTTTATGAAAAATGGATGAGTTAACTGTTAAAAACCATTCATAGAACTAATTCATCTAATTAGCGCTTTTCCCAAAAGGTACCTGTTAATCTATGGGTTTGTGTTCCAAATTTGTCTGTTGAAACATGCATATGGAACGGAACCGCGCTTGATGTGTGGATCCTGGTCCTTGGCTTCCCAGCGAAAAGAGAAACACCCAAAATGTCCTGCTTGGCCACGTCCCAATCCAGATTCTCCCGTAGGTATAGTCATATTTGATCTGGTTGGTAGTTTGGAACATGTTTTATTTTTCCATATATTGGAAAAAATCATCCTAACTGACTAATATTTTCAGAGGGGTTGAAACCACCAACCAGTGATCATGTTTTGTGAGCCATAGGCTATAGGCATACTACTAGTAGCCATTTCTTCCAAACCAGGCCTGATTCTTGAAATATGTCCATGGATGTAGCTTAGCCACTACTCATCAATGCCAAACTTTCAGAGGATCATCATTCCCAGCCCAATTTGTTCCATTAGAGTGATGTTACTTAAAAACAAATCCCCAAAAGTTCCTCAAACATCAAATGCCCCGCGAAGTTACTTAAACCCAATCCCAAAAAAAATAAGTTACGCCGTGAAGTTACTTAAAACCAATACCCCAAAAAGTGCCCGAAGAATCAATTACCCCGTGAAGCTAACTAAAGCCAATTCCCCCAAAAGTTCCCAAACGAAACAGTTACGCCGTGAAGAAGCTACTTCAAGCTAATCGCCCAAAAGTTCTCAAAAATCATCATTCGAGATTTACATGTTTCCTTTCCAGGTTTGTTACCCTGAAGGCGCACAAATCTAATATGAACACTTGCGGTTGTGTCATGCTCTCTCTCTCTCTCTCCCTCTCTCTCTCTCTCTTTCTCTGAATTGGTTTGAAGAAAAAGACTGCATTCAAACCTCCATCCAATATTTGAGGATCAACCCATATTGATGCCTATGGCACTATGCTAATTAGCTAACATAGCCATGGAAGTTCATCTATGTGTAGATGATTCGCCTATGCGTGCCATGGCCATTTCGCTATGTTAGCTTACCTAATAGTACACAAAAAGCATCACTTCACATGGTTTCCTCCAAAATCCGATGGGAAATCCATGAATTTCCTCCAATTTTCGCCCCAGTTCCATCCCTTCCACACCCCAGGAGGCCTCTGCCAAGTTCTGCCCCAACTGCGGCACCAGCAACCGCCCAGCCGCACGCTTCTGCCGCCGCTGCGGCCACCGCCTGGGCGCGGAAGGGCAGGGGACGACCACCGCGAAAGGGGCCAAGGCCAAGGCTGCGAGTGCCGCGGAGAGGCTGGGCTGCCGGAAATCTATGGGGATTGGGATGTTTGAATGGGAGATTCATGAGATATGTTTGGTCATAACATGGAACGTAATAGTTAAATAACGTCAAATATGTTTTTGTAGTGGTTATAGTTGAACATATTAATGGGATATATCACCAATTATATTCCGTATATTATTCTTGGTTACCCTCCGGTAATGACTAAGCGTCTAACAGTTTCTAAATCATGGTTTTGTGGGAACACAGCCCGTTCCACGAATGAATGTTCCCTATTCGGCATGAAACCCCGCCGCGTCCATCCCGCGGTCTGCAGCGGCCTGAAAACATGACCCGGTCTTGGCGGGGAGTGGAAGATGCGCAGCTTAAGATTCCTAAACATTGCATGCTTGATGCATGTATGCACCTAAGTTACCACATTCAAAGACTGGTTTATTTGTATAATGGGTGTGTATATAATTGTATATATATATATATGTGTGTAAGTATGTATATATATATATATGTGTGTGTATATGTATGTATGTATGTATGTATGTATGTATGTATGGAGGGAGGGAGGGAGGGAGGGAGGGGGAGAGAGAGAGAGAGAGAGAGTGGGAGATACTTATTACATGTATTTATTACAGACATACTGTAGATATATTCATCATAGACATATACACATACATACTATGCCATGGACAGGAACAAGAAGAAAAGGCCGAGGGAAAGAGGTTCAATCAGATGGGTGCAAAGTGGCTCAACCGAAGCGAGTTCGGTTGGGGCACTTTGTATTCGGCAAGTAGAGTACTAGGAGCGTAATGTTGACGCTGGTATGCTTAGATGTCAGGGGGAGGGTTGTGGAATGATTATGGTGCATGCGAGCTAGAATATCATGATACGCTGCTGTTAGTGTGTCAGCAACATCGAATGGTAGTTTATTTCGAGCCAAAAACTGACACTCAAAAGGTCGCGCCACATATTCTCTCAATACGCATCTCTCCTTGCCCAACTAGCTTTCGCCCCCTTCCCTTTCAAGTCATCCCTACGTCTTTTGACGAGAGCTAGTTCTGAATTGAAAACTTGACATGCTAGCATCACTTGCAATCATACCCGCTGATGCATGGCAAAAAGCACATATGATAATAACAATAAGCAAAAATAAAGGAGGAAATTCCCTTCCATCAGGAACGAAGTCATGATGATTCTGCCACCGCCATCCACCAGCACGGTGTTGTTGTCATCTCAGGTATGCGACAGCAGCCTCCAAGCCCATTGAAAACCTGATGATGGCCACTCCACAGTTCGCAGCTGTTTCTTGGTATTGAAAATTTATGGGAAATGCCATGCCAAAAACGGGAAGATCTTGCAAGGAGTTACTTAAAAATCAACGTTGTTTTTGGGGGGTGGAACCATTTAAAACCACAAACAGGGCCCAAGGTCTGGCAAATCGCAAGGGATTCTCAGATGGGATGTTTGGGGAGTAAGTCAGATTTGTATTGCTTTGGAGCCTAGAGATCGGGAGCCAAGTTTATCCACAAAACGAGAAACTCTCATAATCTCGCGAAATTTGTACCTTTTCATACAAAATCACCAATTATGTTGTTTTTTTCGTTTCCATGAATACTTTACATAATTTATCATGTTCCTAGCTGCCACTGTCACTGTGATGGGTTCTCATGCCCAATTGCCTGAGGTCAGCCAAACCAGCCCAGTGAGGGATGAAAGCCAATGAAGCTCAATCTATTTGTGGTCCCAAAAAAGAGGATAGAAAAGGGGGATGAGTACCCTCTGGTAAAGTAACATAACTATGGAAAATCACCATGCTATTAATGGGCAAATCCACTATAATGGCCATTTTCAATAGCTATGTTAAATTACCAGAGGGTAATTAGTTAGTGCTCAACAGATTGAAACATCAAGACATCAGTGATATGGCTGTGACATGCTATACTTCTATTTGACTCCATCTGTTTTGGGGCCATGTCCAGCCCAAGAAGTGGCTTTTCGAAGTGCCAAAGTGTGCAGTTCAAAAAAAATCGGATCCAACAGATGAGTTTGCTCCATGATGGCAGTTCGGATGTTTTCTCCTCAGTCCTTCTGCATGTCGGACATGTTCACTCCTGCATTTTTTTGGCTGACACTGACAGCTGAGCAAAAAAGCATCAAAGAAACCATGAAAAATGGTCAGAAAATGTTCCGAATACCTTTTGCTTCAAAAAATAATGATCCCAACCTGGCAGTTGAAGCACCAAAAGATCAGCGGAAAACGAGTCCAACCCCAGTTTCCAGCTCCAGCGTTCCAGCCGCGTTTCCGCCATGCTGGTGGAAGAGGTAGCGGTGCCAGGCAGGGTGAAGCCTTTCGCCGGGATTTGTTTGTTGGGACCTCAAAAAAATACATGAAGATATTATGCATTTGGATTTGGTTGTTTTGAGTTGATTTGTTTTCTTGCTTGCCAGAAAGTTTGATAGAATACCAGAGATCCTTGAGAAAATCACCAAAAATCACCCTGTTCCATTGGTTTTCCACACCATTTCCCCCATGTTCTGTGGAGTTAAAGGTCCGGATGGCATCGATGTGGAAAGTTTGGATGACGTGCCGTGCTGCCGGTGTCTCCCCAAGTGCCTTGGCTGGTAAACCCAAGGATAAACCATCGCCAACATGGCCATGGCCATGGGTGCTATGTTTACCATCCCAAATGATAGGTTTATGGCATTGCGTTACAGGATGGGGCCCCATAGCTAAGTTGGTTTATAAATGTTTATAACTATAATAACCATGTTTTTCTACTTATAGTTTAGATTGGGTTATAATGTTATAAACCAACTTATAACTGGGGTCACCATCCTGTACCATATGACTGTATTAAATCATCCATAAACGGGCTGTGTTCCAAAGCTATTTGTTAAATGACTGACTCACCAGAAAGGGGCGGTGAATATTCTAGATTTCAGATGATTCTTCAGCTCGATTCTTTTTAGGGGATGCTTCACGGGATACCCCCTTGAACCACCATGGTTCGGTAAACATTGAACCATACACTGGTTGGTGGTTTGGAACATTTTTCCCATATATTGGGAATGTCATCATCCCAACTGAATTTCATATTTTTCAGAGGGGTAGGTATACCACCAACCAGTATATAATCTTTTTCATCCAACACATTTCCGGGTCATGTCACCAAACCGTGGTCCGCAGCCGAGGCTGGAGAGTGAACAAGGTCGCAAGATGAGTTCTTTCCTGGCCGTCGTTTGCGGCCGCAGTCCTGGCTCCATTTTTCAACGGAGCCTGCGGTGTTTGGTGGGTGCTAAACGTGGCTGGCTGGAAAATCAAAGAACTAAATGGAGGTTTTCAAAACTAAAAATCCCTGAAAATCCATGAAATTCCATGAAAATCCCTTATAAATGGAGGTTCTAATGATGGGAAATGAGATGAAATGAGTGAAACTTCCCCCAAAAAAAGTGGAGGTTTTTTCGCTGGGCAAATCATCGAACTAGATCGAACTCATGACCAGAGAGATCCAGAGAGTATGGATGGTGATCTCAGGGCCCAGAACAGGTCACCGATGTCCTGATTTTCATAATAAATATGTTTGTAGATGTCATACACGTGTCATTCAGTGAATATATATATATATATATTTTTTAATTTATATATGTTGAGTGATTTTCAAGAATCGTTCAATGGTCATTCATCATGAAAAAATATCATGAAAATCTACAGGAGATGTTTTTCTTTTGACCATCCAAGCAAAAAAAAGGTCAATATTTTGACCCAATGTCATTTGAAGGATGTGGTATTTGGGAGGTGCAGCATGTGCAAAGCCGCAAAGCGGCCATTGACCGCAACGCGGTTCGCCGTTGCCAGTTTCCGCTCTTTGGAACAGCTTCGTTTGGTTTCGGCTGGCCCCCCAGACGGATGGGATGGCCGGAGTGGATGTAGGAGATAAACACCGATGTTTTAACCATGGTGGATGGGATGACATCAACAATTTCAAGCCCAGGATGACATCAACAATCATCAACAATCATCAACTTGGCCAACGAGGCTTACCCCGATCTACACCGCGACCTCCTGTGGTCACATTCAAGCTGAGCTGCAAGACTTTTCGGTCGCCTCCTCGGATGGAGCTGGAGTGCCCCATAGGGATCTTGGGTATTCAACTGGTTGGTGGTGCAATAACCCTCTGGTTATGTCAAAATAGCTATTGAAAATCACCATTTTCAATGGGTAAATCCACTATAAATGGCCATTTTCAATAGCTATGTTAAATTACCAGAGGGTACATAGCTATTGAAAATGGCTATTTATAGTGGATTTTCCCATGAATAGCATGGTGATTTTCCATAGTTGTTTGTGAGTTTACCAGAGGGTAACCATCTTGAAAAATGATGGAGTTCGTCAATGGGAAGGAGATGACATCCCGTATATGAAATGGAAAATTATGGAAAATAAAAAATGTTTGAAACCACCAATCAATGTTTGGATTTCCATCTCCAAAAAATACATCGGATTATGATCGAAGCTGACACTCCGACCCCTCTGGGATTGGGTGAAACATGGTGTTTCACCAGGCAGTCGGATGGGTGGTTTCACCTCCGAGGAGGCCCCTCAGATTAGAGGATAGAAACCCCTACGATAGGAAGCTTACCCTCTGGTAATTTAATATAGCTATTGAAAATGGCTATTTATAGTGGATTTTCCCATTAAAAATGGTGATTTTCCATAGTCCAGGCAGTTACTTCTGCCCTCTAATGGAAGCCACTTAGACCCAAAGTGCCAAACGGTCACTTACAAGATCAATCATGCATAAGTGACCTCGTTTCATGAATCCTTAAGTGACCTCTTTGCCTGGCTGATCTCATGATTTCCGCGTGTCACTGCGTGTCACTTGCGTGTCACTGGGGTTTCGAGGTGGGATGAAAGAGGTCACTTAGGACCCTGAAAAGGTCACTTAAGCCTTGAAAAGGTCACTTAAGGATTGGCTGTCTGCGTGTCACCTGCGTGTCACTTGCGTGTCACTGGTAGGCCACTGTTTGGTTCGTTTCCTTAAGTGACCTCTTTCTACGTTTTCCTTAACTGACCTCTTTCTAAAGGCCACTTAGCAGAAAACACAAACAAGGTCACAAGGAATCGTCTGGGTTATGTTGATTTACCCTTCGGGACAACCCCTCGTTTTCCGAGGGTGAGCGGAGCTAGCAACCCATTGGTTCCAAATCACCTGGCCCCATGGAACATATACGCATATACTTCTATTAGGGGTTTCATTTAGGGTTTACATGAGTTATCAAATCCCCCGGCCCCATAGAACATATATACGCATACTTAGTATTAGGGGTTTCATTAGGGTTTACATAAGTTATAAAATCCCCCGGCCCAATGGAACATATACGCATACTTCTATTAGGGGTTTCATTTAGGGTTTACAGAAGTTATAAGATCCGGAGTTTTGAAAAGTGGAAAAGATTGAAAAAGTGGAAATGGCCGAAACGCGTGAAGTCCGCAGAGGGTTCACTTTTCTGACTGATTTTTTCCAAAAAATCGTCTTAGACTACGCTAACTCACAGATGTACCAGAGTCATAAAACACTGCGCCTGCACAGAGAAATGAGCTTCCCACTGACGTTCATACGACCATACCGGGACAACCCTCAGTCCTGCCCGTTAATTTACCAGAGGGTACTGTACTTTGGATATCTTTGGATCTTATTCTGCTAAGGGTTAAATCTGTGGGATTGCCCCAGATTTTTTTTGTGAAATCCAATCTTTGGATCACCAATTCACTAATCTTATGGTACTTTGGATATCTTTGAATCACTAATCTTAGGATCTTCAAATCTGTTCACTAACTGGTTGGTGGTTTGGAACATGAATTTTATGACTTCCCCACCATATTGGGAACAATAATCCCATTTGACGAACTCATATTTTTCAGAGGGGTAGGGCTCAACCACCAACCAGATTCTTATTAATCATATAATAACCATTAATATTAACCATCAATATCAACAGTATATTACCAACCATTGGTAGGTTGGTCAACCACCAACCAGCTAATCTTTGGAAATTCGTTGAAGATCCAATGGCCAATCTTCATTTTCCCTTGGCTCCCGCGACCTCAGTTGGATGGTGATGCCATCAAAGTGGGCTTGGAGGTATCGGTGTTGGAGCCTCAGTGAGAAACATAGGGCGTAGCTTGATGCAAGCTGCAAAAGATGGTGGAAAATACCATCTGGTTATGACATTCACAGTTTGCCATGGTATAGATGGCCCATAGAAATAGATGGTTTACCTATTAGAAATGGATGAAATGGTGATTTTCCATGGCTATGTTAAATAACCAAATGGTATCAAATGGTATTGGAAAATATAGGGCAGATATGGGAAACATTTGGAAAACATCCTGGTGCAACATAGAAATCTGAGGATATGGAAACATGTGTTGGTCAAGTAGACCATAGGATTTTAGGGGCACAATGTTTTTTTGGATGAAGCCACATGTCCCAGTGTCCCAAACTCAGGGTGCATATGTTTCATGGCTGAAGATGATACACTGATGACAGCAAATGCATTGAAATTTTGGTCATCAATGGATTGGATTTCAGAAAATTTTAGCGGAAACCATGGTACGGAAACCCCAAATATAGGGGTTTCCTGCCGATGTTGCACGAATTCTTTTTTGGGTAAATCTCCAGCTGTCATTGATCATGATGCACTTGGCACTCATGCAAGATGGAAAAGAGAGAAAGGTCAATGGCCATTTCAGGATCCTAAATTGGAGGTACCTACCATATATAAGGCCTATGTAAGGGAATATCCCCACAAAATATGGCCTTATATGGTACAGTACCTCCATTTTAGGATCCTGAAATCCCCATTGAAAAGGTCTCACCAGATTTCCGCCACCCAAGGCATTGTCAGAATCCAAATCCCTATGCCGTGGAGATTTTGTCTTCAAAGTTCAGACCTGAGACTGCACTTTCAGTGGTCCTGAGCCGCAAGATACATTCCCGTTAGGTTTGGACTGCTACAGCTGTTATATGTATATGTATATATATATATGTGTGTGTATAGATGTAAATATGTTTTTGAAATATTGAATATATATATATATATATATCCTATGTAATATCTAATATGAATAAATATATATATATATATATATATTCTATTATATTAATATAATATCTCATATAATACATTCTAAAAAAACATATGCATAATATTTATGTATGTATATTATATTATATATATGGGATGAAACCATCAAATTCACAAATCATGAGCCCACCATGATCCCATGATCTTTGGAGTTTCCAAAGGCCTGGTCGTGTCTTGGTGGGTCCCGTTGGGGTGTGGAGACCCGGATTCCCGGCGGGATCCATCCGATGGATGGGGGGGTGATGGAAAAAGTGATGGACTTAGTGCTATATCATCTATAAAATTTTTAATTTATATTAGATCATTTCAAAACTTCACACTTTAGATTATTTCAAAACTTTAGATTGAAAGTCCATCACCATATTATACCCCCTGGTAAATTAACATGGACCCTGAAAATAGCCTAGTTTTAATGGAAACTCATCTTCCAACCCCAATGACTGCCAGGGTCGAACTGTTAATTTACCAGAGGGTACCATCAAGTACCATTGGCAAATACCATATTATACCATATTATACCATATTAGATTCAATACCATATGGTATGGACCCCATGGACTATATCATCTATTATATAATTTATGTTAGATCATTTCAAAACTTCACACTTTAGATTATTTCAAAACTTTAGATTGAAAGTTTTTTTTTAAAAAAAATATGTGATATTCTCTTTTTCATTGTTCCATTTTGTATTAGATTATCATATTATATATGTATATTTTTAGAATTGCATAGAATGGGACAACCATGTTGGCTGGGTGGTCCTAAAATGGTGGATATCAAAATTTTCGCAGCTATGGCCTATTTTTGGCAAGCGCTTTCTCTCAAGGTCAACCCAACTCAGGGAAAAAAACATGGAAAAATCAGCACCAAAGAGATGCCAATTGGATGCCGTTCTTCCATCCGTATCCCAGGAGAATCTTCAAAGTAGAACTGCCGGAATCTCAGGGCTGGATGCCAGCGAGATCCACAGGTTTTTCTTTACAGTTGCGGTCCCCAACACCTCCAACACCTCGACAAAACAGGGATGATTTTGCCATTTCTATTTGAGAAGCTGCCGGGATTTGCAACATCCCAGTTATTTTTGTTGGGTATATAATTATAATGCATATATATATATACATATACTGATTGGTGGTTTCAAACATTTTTATTTTCCATAATATATGGGATAATCCTTCCCATTGACTAACATTTTTAAAGATGGTTAAAACCACCAACCAGTGTATATATATATATTATAATATATGTTATGTTTGTTATTTGTATAGATTTACAAGAGGGTATGAGGGTTCAATCCACCAAAACTAGCATTGATGTTTGGTTATGGTTATGGTTGCGCTCAATATGATCGCCTTAACTTGCAATCTATTGAACAATAGGGTCTTCTATGTGAGGTGGTGCCGCCCCAGTTCTAAGTTGGTTTATAAACCCCATTGACTGGTTCGATACATACAGATATATATATATACACTGTATACACCATAAACCCTACAGAATTGGGCATGCAGACCATAGAATTCGTGAACTAAATTAACTATCTTTCTCTCGCGATGTACATATATATATATATACACATGTATATATATGTATATATGTTTGCCATAAAGTATGGTCAACCAACCGAGTGTTCAAACAACTTAGCTGCTGGGGACATATCTCCAGCAGAGGCCATCGGGCACCTGGAGGTGGTTCCAGGGTCGATGTTGCCAAGTGGCGGGGAAGGGACACGGCCTCGGTTTTGGAGGGGATGGGGGCTTGGGGCACACTTGGGGTACCCTCTGGTAAACTAACGTAGCTATGGAAAATCACCATTTTCAATGGGAAAATCCACTATAAATGGCCATTTTCAATAGCTATGTTAGTTTACCAGAGGGTAAACTTGAACAGCAGATAGTGGATGATAGTGGATGATAGTGGATTATAGTGGATGATAGTGGACGACAGTGATAAATTTCTTGGGAACCTTGCCAGAACAAGGTGGGTTTGAAGAGTTTGAACAGGCGTTGCTCATCAAACATTAAGCATCCACTGCCCCAACAAAAATTCGATGGCTCGCCATGAAATTTGGACTCAACTCATGCACTGTCAGCTGGATGAGTTGCACAATCCTCCCTTCTGAGGATTGTGCGGGTGCAGATGAACGCAAAGTTGAGTGGTGAAACCTCTGGTTTGCTCATTCCCGAATTCTTGGGGGACCTCGGGATGTGGGAAAAATGGGGAAAAATTGGGACCTGGGCAAAATGGAGTTGGAGTTTCAATGGCTCGGGCAACTTCAAGTGGCAACTTGGAAGAATCCCACAAAAACAGGGTTTACTCAAAAAAAGTCCGCCCCTGATTCAAAACCTCATCTAATCATATCTACCCTCTTGTAAACGTTTACATAACTATGGAAATCACAGTTTTTAATGGGTAAATCAACTATTTCTATGGCCATATTCAATAGCTATGTTTGTGTACCAGAGGGTAATCCTGCCATAGCTGGTGATTTTGTTTTGTGATCGGCAGGATTCGGCCATTCCCATCTTAATGGAGCTTCGTTTCTCTGTGGGAGCTGGGAAACCCCAGATGCAGCTGTTGATGATGCCAGTTGAGAGATTGCACCCAAGCAAAATATACAGAAATGCCTGGGTTTCCAGCAGGAAACCAAGATTTGCAACAGTTGAAATTGATGGAAAATTCTATTTTGGATTCTTTTGTTTGAGAAGACCGTCAATACTGGACGTACGCGCCACTAACAGTGGATTTTTGGGACTTTTCGGACTTCCAAGTGCCTGGGTGTGAGGTCCATATCCTATTCAGAGACCTAAGCCACTAACTTAGACTAAGGGTGGATAATGAAGTCTGGTTGGTGGTTTGGAACATGCATGGAATATTTTCCATAGGTAATGTCATCATCCCAACTGGTTTTCACTCCATCATTTTTCAGAGGGGTAGGCTCAACCACCAACCAGTGGTGCTGTAGATGGCCGAGATCAATGTCTACTTCATGCCCTACATCTTGCCACCATGGGCGCCACCGACAGCACCAAGCTTTAAAAAGGCTGGAGATGTTTGGTCGGACCAGCTATTGGAAAGGACATGGACCAAATCCAAAAACAATAAAAGATATCAAAGGTCATTCTAGTTGAACATCTCAAGATGCCAATCGGATCCTATCGGTCTAGGTACTCGTCTTTTCATGTTTGGAAAAAAACGGGGACATCAGAGAAATTGATGGCACAGAAGCTGCAAGTTCTATCAATTGCTCCTTACCACGGTTGGTGGTTGTGACCATCTGCGACCTCCCATGGATTGGAAAGGAGTGTGGTCTCAATATGATGGGCGTGCTGGTGAACCAGTTCGTTTCGGCGCAGGAGCCTGATGGAGCCTGTGGTTTTTGATGGGACCGGTTCCCGGTTCGCAGCTCCGCCCCCACCCTGTCCTAGTTCATAGCTGTGGTTTACTGCAGTCACATTTAAAGAGCAGTTGAGTCACGTGTTAAACTTACCCTTGCGTTCTTGTTTAGGAAGGGGCCCCTTGCAAGGGTGTGGCGCAAGCAAAACTCTGGTGAGCGTAAGCCAGCGTAAGCTCAGCATAAGACAAGATATCCGCGTAAGCAAAACCTGTGTGCGCGTAAGAAAAACGTAAGCACCGGCGTAAGCATTTCCTTTTTTGGTGCCAGGATACAAGACATTTAGAACATGGCTCAGTTGGAAAAGAACAAAAACTCTAGATTGTTCAATCAGTGAGCTGAAAGCAGCGCCATGAGCAGTATTTCTTCATGTTGTTTAAACCGTTGTTTCCACTTTTCCAAAGATGCTTGCTGTGTTACACAAGTCTTTGCAGTCTCATTGCTGCCCCCGAACCTTTGATCTGACGAAGTTACATAGGCACCTGGCAAAGAATCTCGACTTGGACCACTGGTGTGTCAGGGATGCTCAGGATATGCTTGGGCTCTGAGAACAAAACAGTGGGTGAGGGTGCAAGAGCGCTTATTTTGTCATATTTTTCGATATTTTCTGGATGTTCCAGCAGGTTGACGCTATTGATGGCAGGGGTCCATACTTGTAAGAATTCTTACCCTCTGGTAGACAAACATAGCTATTGAAAATGGTCATAGAAATAGTTGTTTTTCCCATTAATAGCATGGTGGATCTTTCCAGTTCGTTATGTTGCTGTTTACCAGAGGCTAATGTAGAACAGATGTTGAACAATGATAAATGAAAGTAACATAAGTAACCTGTGACACCTGTTGGAAATGCAGGTCGCGAATCCTTCACGGGAATGGTGATCCCCCCGGTGGGTGAGGCGGAGACGTGAAACGGTGGTTTTTTGGCCGACTTTTTGGCCATGGGATTTTTTGGTGTCCAACTGTCCAAAAGAGATCATTTTCAATAGCAGACTGTTAAATTACCAGAGGGTAATGATGGTGATTACTGGCTGGTGGTTTGGAACATGCTTTTTCCGGAATAATCATCATCCCAACTGACTTTCATATTTTTCAGAGGGGTAGGTCAACCACCAACCAGATTAATGATGGTGATTGATGTTTTATGATTGGAAATTTGAAGAACCAGAAATGAAGTGATTTGACGAACGAACTGAGATGTCCGTGTTCTATTGCGACACCCCTGCAGTGCATTTCCAAGTTGTTTTTTTTTAACTGGTAGGCTACCTGGTTGATTGACAACTTGCGATTTGCTGCCCCACGCCAGCGGTGTGTGTGTGTGTGCTCATATCCCAAGTTTTGCTGGCGCCCGAATTGACAAATGATTGTACATGAAACTTAGTATAGCTGGCAAAAAAAAAAGTTGATCAATAGTACCACAATATCGATGGGAGAATATGATCCATGACCCATGACTCACCAATCAAAGATCTTAAACCCACCATAACCCCACCATCCATGGTCAATTTTTCCCCGCCATCAGTCACCGCCTGATGGAAAAATGGCCTTCACTGCGGCACAAGTGGCGCCCACGGAGGCCGAAAAAAAAAATCGGGGGGTTCGCTGGGAAAATCACGTCTGATGGTAATTGATCGTCAATCTTTTTGGAGACGACTATCAGATCATTAATTTGTGGAATTTCTAGGGGCCCACCTGAATAAACCCTATTCCGTATGGGGAATGGCCATGGAAATAGAGCTACCATCATTAGGGTCCCTATAAATTATTTCCGTGGATTTTTGAACTAAGATTAACAGCAGATACCAACATATACCAAGTGTATCCAAGTGTATCACACCTACCTTGGTAATTTTGGTGTATCCCATGGACTCCATGGACTGCACCACCTCCCAGAAAATGAAGCCAGCTATGGTTGCTCCAAAAAGGATCAATGTGGGAAATCAAAAAGTGGATGGAATCAGTGAGAGAGGAGAGGAGATATTCATGATATTTCATGATAATCATGGCTATTTAATGATAGTTAATGATAACTATCCACAGTAGATATTAATCATGAGCGATTTTTTGGAGGGATAGTCAATGATAGTCAATGCATATTGACCAGTATGATACTCGTCAATATGATATTAACCAATGGGTATTACTGATAGGTAATGGCAGTTATTGACAGTTAATGATATTTGATTGATCAATGGGAATTGTAGGATCCAAAAATTGAGGTACTGTACCATATAAAGCCTCATTTTGGGGGCACAGTCCCTTACATAGGCCTTACATCGGCCTGAATTATGCTAGGTACGTCCAATTTAGGTACCTGAAATGGCCATTGAACTGATGATAATGTTGCCCTTTGGTAAACTAACAGTTTGCTATTGAAAATGGCCCCATTGAGTTGGTTGATTCACCTATTCAATCCTGTTCAAGATGGTGATTTTTCATAGCAAACTCTTAGTTTACCAGAGGGTAATGATCATAAGAGGCCATCTACCATTTTCCACTCAATGGCATCATCACCTGCCAGGTTTTTGCCGGTGAGGTGGTCTTGGCCTCAGCGGTGCAAACGACTTGGGGCTACATGTGTTTGCATTTAGTTATATCTATAAACTTATGGAGGTTATTATATTTATTAGCATAGCTATCAAGGCATTACTGTAACCATCATTAACCCAAAAAAAAAGTGACCAAGAACCCAAACTTGACCTGAAACCTGATTCTTCAATCTTCTTCTCGTGGTAATTCTCTCACATGGTGGGATTAATTGCATTATTATGCAATTCGCACCGTTTTCACTGGAAAAATATGGAAAAATGGAGGGTTGGAACATGGCTTAGACCGAGGCCAAGGATGCCAGTTTGTTTCTGGTGATTGGCATTTCCTACTTCTGTTGCTTCGTTTTTGCGCCCGAACCTTGGGATTCTGCAGGGAAAGCAGGGAATTCGTATCACCAAGCCACTACACCCGGGGAAATATGGTGAAATGCCTGCTGCTCATCATCATCATCATCATCATCATCATCATCATCATCATCATCATGGTTGATTATATATGTGAACTTCATGTGAACACTAGTTCGCGGCAGTGTTGGTAGGTCCTCCAGTCCATGTCTTCTCACCAGGCACGTGTGGATCTTCGGCGCGCCGCCGGAATCTGCGAAACGGGCCTATGCCGGCTGTGGAAGCCGCCTGAACAGTTGCTACAAGTCGCTGAAGAACGAAAACACCTTGCCCTGGAAGGACTGGCTTGAAACACTGGCTGTTCAAGAGAACGCAGCTGCAAAAAAAACTGCTGATGATTGTTTGGGGATGTTTGGGGCGACTATATATATATTATATATATATATATATATTAAATATATATATATATATTGTTTTTATGTATATATATCTCTCTCTCACCAAATAAGTAGCAATCCTTATTAACCAACCAGTAGAATGGAATGACAGAGGGTTTTGAAGAATGCTCAAATGATGTCTTTCCCCGCTTGCCAGGTGAAGATGGAGATTGCAAGAATATATATTAGATAGAATGTCAGGAGGTATCACTGAAAGAAAGTAAAACTGTTATTTCCCAATTTTATCCATGGGTGCACCCATTAGAAATGATTTGGTCCGTTCCCAATTTGTTGAGGATTTATTCATAACCCCTCTTTTTTCAATGACTAGATCCCTGAAACAGTCCGCAGGTTCTGGGATTTTTCCCAACTGGGAGGTTGGGAGTGATCCACTCATAGAGAATCGAGTGGAAATCCTCAGGATCTTACCTTGCTGTCCACTTCGGGAAAGGCTTCACGGCCACAGCCCCTCGGTAGAGGGAATGGATTTCTGGAGGATTTATGGAGGGAGCAACTGAGCAACATTCAACAGGTAATTGATGAGCCCGGGTTTTCTACTAACCAATATATTGATGTATATGTGTATATGCATATATATATATGTATGATACATGCATACATATATATACATATATATATATATATATTTGTGTACATACATATACATACATATATGGATGTAGGCATTTAATTATACATATATTTGGGGCCATAGAATTTTGTGTGTGTGTGTTTTGTCAGGGGGATGGGATTGTGGTTGCTCTGAATCTATTTTGACATATTTTGATACAACTGAAAGTCAGGTATACCCCCCTTTTATGGCCCCTTTATGGCAGGAATATGATCAACTTGCGTCAAGCAACAACTTCATTCTGATCTCAGACTGATGGGAATCATCCCCCTAGTCCCATAGCTGGCACTGATTCCAGCGATTTTCAGGCTAATTTGATGTAATTTGGAGGTTTAGTCATATTAGTCATCAAGGTAGCCATAGGATGCCATAGGTACCCCTAAATCCTCCAGTCATTAGAGCGTTTTAGTATTCAAAGCTCTGGTGATTTGGGGATCAGATATGGACCGAGGATGGATCCCAAATCCACCGAGCATTTGCTGGGCATTTCCAAGGTGCGCCAGATTTTTCGGTGAGAAATTTCCAAAAATCAGCCCCCCTCCAAAGGATGGAAAAGCAAAATCCAACCGAGCATTTGCTGGGCATTTCCAAGGTGCGCCAGATTTTTCGGTGAGAAATTTCCAAAAATCAGCCCCCCTCCAAAGGATGGAAAAGCAAAATCCAATCCGAAAATACTGGGAATATGTGAGGCTCACGCCTCTCGAGGTTGCTTTATTCGAGATTGTTGCCAGTATTTGCCAGTCCATATCCCCCATCTGTATCCATCTGTCACAAAAAAAATGAGTGGGAATATGTGAGAATTACCTAAAATCTTCTGGGTTCCATGTGGTTCCTAGCCCATATTGCAACCGTGAATCCCAAGAATCGAAGCTGTTTCAGAAAGCCCCCTATGATGCGTTTTTGCAGCACCAAAAACCGTACCGAAAATTCGACAAATCACCAAGAAATGGATAACATGATGGATAATCCGTGGTTTAATGATGGTCAATAGTGGTTAATCATGGTTAATAATGGTTGATAATGGTTAATGGGAGAATATGATACTGGCTGGTGGTTTGGAACATGAATCTTATTTTTTCATTGGGAATAATCATCATCATCCCAACTGACGAACTACACTCCATCATTTTTCTAGAGGGGTAGGTCAACCACCAACCAGACAACATGATGGATAATCCCGGAAAACTACTGAGAAATCAAGGAATTCATGGACCACTTTCCCAATCTTTCCCACTTTCCGCCATCGTTCCAGGACGCTTCGCAATGGACCAACATCACCGATGCGCAGCGCAAAGACTCCGTAGACACTCGGGACTTTCTGTTGCAACGCCCACGGCGGGAAAGCAACAGCTCCGGGGGCCTCTCGGAGACCGAGTCGCAGGCAGAGCTCTGATTTAAGCAGTTCACCAACCAGAATATAGGATTTTTCATGGGATTCATATGGAAAATCCCCTAGAAAAGCCATATGGAAATGGTGATTTAATGGTGATTAATGGTGATGAATGGATATTAATGTCTGGTTGGTGGTTTCAAAGATTTGTTATGTTATTTTCCGTAATTAATATATGGGATGTCAACCTTCCCATGGACGAAGTCCATCATTTTTCAAGATGGTTACCCTCTGGTAAACTTACATAACTATGGAAAATCACCATGTTTAATGGGAATAATCATCCCAACTTAATTAATATTTTTCAAGATGGTTAAAACCACCAACCAGTCTTGCCATGATTGATTGCACTTAGTGACCTGGTGAAAATCACGTTAAAGTCACTGGACGTAGGCCATGCTTCGCGCTGGTGGAGCTGGTACCAGCTCGGTAGCCACGAGAGATGCTGATGTGTCAGATGCACGCGAGGTGCCGCGAAATCTCTGGTTTCAAGATCAAGATGTCTTAAGTCTTAACTCAGCTCCAATATATATAATTATATATATATACATACATTAATATATAGTAAATAATGTATCCAAATCTAAATGCTATACAAACGTACGTCATGTGTATGTCATGTAGTAAATGCATCCAATATATGAACTGCCAGCCGCGGTGCTTGGCTCGCCTTCAGCACGATGCTGACCTCGACAGGGCGATGGTTCAACTGACTAAAATCACTGATTTAACGGCCATAACCCCTGCCAAAGTTTGATTATAATGACTATAAATAAAAAGGGGTTGTGATTTTGATGTGCAGAAAAAATGATCAAGGAATTCAGAATTTTCATCCACAGATTTGTTGGTGGTTGTTTACCTGGCTCGCGTAAGGGGAGAGCGCAGCAAGTGACTTTGTTGCAACCAGCCTCGGGCTCAGCCGCAATCGGTCACGCACGTCATGCGGTGCGGACTCCTCCAGGGACATTCCTTCACAGCAAACTCGAGGGTTGGAGGGTCAAAAAGAGTTGTGTACGATTTTTAATCTGAATGGATCTGAATGGCCAACATCATCCAACATCATGATGTCATTGATGTCATCATAGCGAATCATACAACAATCGTGGACGGGACAGTGGACCTAGTTACGTTGTTTTTCGACCTCCAGGATCGCACCTTGTCGTCTGGGCTCCCAGTTCCGCATCAGAAGCTCTGAATAGCCTATGATTCGCAATGATTTTTGGAACACACACACATATATATATATATACTCAGTATACATGGTAATCATATAATCATATAGATCATTTTTTGTCAAATTCATATAGTGACAAAAAAAAGTGGCTATAGATGTTTGATAGATATATATATATATAGATATCTATTTTTGTGACTCTCTATATCTTTTGGATGAAATTCACACTTTTGGACAAACATCACTGTCGTGATCCATCCCATTCAGGTCATCTTGGGCCGAGCCTTGAATTGGTAGCTGCCAAAAATGTCATGAATGATAAACAAAAAATGTAGAAATTCAGAAAAATTGAGGTGACTGACTTAAAATAATCATCCCAAATACTCACCATTCATCACCATTAATCACCATTAATCACCATTAATCACCATTAATCACCATCAACATCCCAAATTTCCCAAGTTTTTCCATGGCTTCCAATGGTTTTCCCCCAAAAAACAGGCCGGTCCCCAGCCAGGCAACACGCGGCAAGGGCGAGTTCCCGATCCCCCAGTCGTCCCAGTCGAATCGCATCAGCTCGGCAGCGGGGACGTTCCACAGGTGCTGTGGCTGCTTGGAGATGGAACTGGGCCAAAAATGGTATAAAAATGGGTGGAAATCATGAAAAAAACCATGGAAAATCCGGGAAATGTGTGAAAAATGTTGGAAACACTTGGGGAAAGTTGCAAAAATGCGGGTGGACATAGTTGAAAAATCGAAGGGAAACATGCGAAAAAGCATTGGGAAAAGGAGTGGAACAATAGCGAAACGTGGAGAAAGGGTGAACATTGGTCAACTGATGAATGAGGAGCGTGGGGACAATGTGGAAAATGACGGGCATCTACAGATGTTTGGGAACATGATGATCAAAGGATGGGGGTATGAGCCTTTAAGATCTTTAAGAGGTGGGAGAAACAAAGTGTAAAATCATGGAGGTATGGACTTCTGTTGAAGCAAATTGCTTGCAGGAGATACACCCATCAAATGTTGGGCTTACCCACTCTTAAACCATCAAATTTCAGAATCAAATTTCGGACATGATGCAGGCAAAACAAGATTTGATATTCAGCACCAGAAATGGAAGATGTCCATCAAATGATGTCGATTGGTGCGCGGTGATGCTTCCTAGTTACCTTGTTTATAAACCCATCTAGAGATATGTTTGCAACCCCAGTAAGCCTATGTCATGCCTATGTCTAAAAGTTATAAACCCATATGACCAACTTACTCTCTGATAAACTAACATAACTATTGAAAATCACCATTTTCAATGGGTAAATCCACTATAAATGGCAATTTTCAATAGCTATGTTAAATTACCAGAGGGTACCTACCAGTAGGGCCCCCCCAATGTCGAGTTTAACAACTAACAGCCTGCCAGGTTCAGAGAGAGGTTCAGGAGATGATGAGGGGATGATTCAGGTGCATTGCTCAGCTAAAATGCCATGTCGAGTGCGCTCAGTTACCGAGTTTTATCGTTATTTTGTTGGGGGATTTCGATGGCAGTTGGAGAGTTGATAAGATCTGAAACAGTTTTTGAATGGCAATGGCCTTGGATTTTAGATCCTTTACCCTCTGGTAATTTAACATAGCTAATTATTGAAAATCACCATTTTTAATGGGAAAATCCACTATGAATGGCAATTTTCAATAGCTATTTTGACATAACCAGAGGGTAGTGTTTCATTTCAGCGTTTTTTTTCAGGAGCGAAGCAGAAGTCGGCTATCTGCACAGGCGCTGGCTGTCATCATTTTTTGGGTCGTCCCAGACACGGCAATTCCACCGTGTTCGGTTGATCTTGCATGAGAAACTGGGATTTTCCATTGGCTATAGATGGCTATAGCAACCAAAGAGAAACATCAATCTATAGCCATCATCTCAAAAGGATAGAAATGTGATGAAATGTGTTTTCTCCAGGATTTTCCAGGGGGATTTTCCAGGTGCTTGTATGACATTAGTAGGGACACTGTTTGACCAAAAACTGGGGAATGACTTGGGGAGTTGTGGTCGGCAGGACCGACCTGCCTCTCCTGGCCTCGCACGGTCCAGATCGCCCAGCCAGTTGGGGGCCCTGAGACGAACGGAAAACATCAGAGATGTTGGTGGCTTTTGGCAAAGTTGTTTTATGAAAACATATAAAATTTTAATGAAACATGAAACATGAATTAAATCCAGAAAATCCAGAAATGTCGATTCCAATTCAGTGAATTTCCAACCCCCGATTGGAAATTCGAATGTCGAGGTTACGGCATTCATCTCCCTCCTATACCTCGATGCCTGAAAACGGTGCCGTTGGCGCGCCCTTGACCACGGTATTCACGGATCAGACGGATGCAACGACGAAGGAAAGTCAGGTCTGAAAGTGGAGCAAACTGGAGCGTTTATAGCACGTTTAATAGAAAACATAAGGGAACAAAGGCGTTTATGGGCGCTGCCAAAATGATAGAACAGAGTTGGTAAAGGTGAGAAATATAGGGAAAAACGCAATTATTGAACACAACCAGAGCCCAACAAGAATTATAGAACAACCAAAAAATTAGGAGTTTTTTCTGAGGAATCGGAATTATGGAACCAGAGGGTGCAGTATTTTGCCGTACTTTCGTTCTCCTCAACTTCCGTTCCAAAATTTTGGCAACGCCTCTATATAAGAATTATTTTGAAAGGTATGACGACTCAGAAAATTGAGAGTTTCATGATGTTTATTTAGTACGAAAACAACTGGTTGGTGGTTTGGAACATTTTTGACCTTTCCATATTTTGGGAATAATCATCCCAACTGACTAATTAATATTTTTCAGAGGGGTTGAAACCACCAACCAGGAACATAGTTGGCCCCAAAAAACCAGCGGCAAATTTTCATATTGACTGTCAAGATGAAGTTTGGCTTTCTGAGTGATGTGGTTGGTGAACATCAACATGTGTTTGTTTGGTCTTGTTTGGTGCCCCTGCCTTTCCAAATCATGGCACACTAGACTGACAGTTTTTGGGAGCTGATAAGCTGCTTTCGCCGCCAGCAAACTTGCTGTTCTGCGAAGCCCGGGTCCAGCCGACACGGGAACGTGTTCTCGCTGGTATTTTTTGGCAAGAACGCATCAGTTTTGGGAAGTCTCAGGCTGGGAGTGAAAAAACGAAACAGAACTGATTCATTTCAAGGTTGAGGGCCCTTGATTGCTGTGGATGCCGAGAGTTTGACACAACCTGCAGATAGATCAATGCGCAGCTAATTCGAGATGTGAAACGTGAATTCGACTCTGGACTTCTGGGCTTGTAAGTGCTCCAAGATTGCCGGAAAACTTGGGAAAACTGATAAAACTTGGCTACTTTCTTTTGCCAGACATGGGTATGTAACATTAATTTCTACGTCCCAGCTTCAAAAAATGCAGCATATCCAAGATTGACCGTAAAAATGATATGGATAATGTTAAGCACATCCCATGACCTTTATCCCATTGATCTACCTCTTTTAGCCCCACCATTTTCCAGGGTCAGATCCCGAGGGATCCGGCGATTCAACTGAGAGTCGTCAAGCTTGCAAGAAACGGAACGGTTTCAGAGAAGGGGATGGATCAAGATAGCTAGAAATAACTAGAAACAACTAGAATATATTACAATGATGAGTGATTATAATTTTTGTTATATGTATGTCCTAATTACTGGTGAATGATTACAATGAGCATTAGTAGAATTAATAGGGTTAATTGTCGATATTCTTGATGATCAGATGACGATGGAGAGACAGAGAGAGAGAGAGAGAGAGCGAAATAAAATAAAATACGATTATGATAGCTATAATATGCAACATTTTTTAATCGCATTTGAAAGTTGATCACGACCTCACTTGGACCTCACTAGAACACTAGAATGATGCTTAGTAAGGCATCCCCAAGTGGCCTTATTTAAGGTTGAGAATGATAGTGATTACTGGCAAGTCGGCACGTACTGCCAATCATAGGGCAATAGGTCATGTGATGTCATGTGTATCGCGTATATGTTTGCACTAGTCTTCACACCGACCAACGATCAACCAGCAACAAGTACCAATCAAGCAAGGGAACATCACTGAAACTGTCAGCATTCATTGGCATACAAACGTCAACAATAAACCACATACAAAAAGTTGCCATATGGTTTTCCACTGTTTTTTTTCCCAAGAAACATTTGAATATTAGAGTTGATCATAGAAAATTAACACATGACATGGAGATTTTAAACACACAACCCGCTTTAAACCCAAGGTCTTTGGTTTGTTTCAGAAACCATGTTGAACAATTGCCGTAGCCGTAAAGCCACGGAACTCTTTTTTTGGGTCAAACCATTGGACATCATCTTGATCAAATTCCCAGTCAATGATAATGGGTGATGGTAATGATGGTTAATAATTAGTGGATATATATATAATTATATATATATTAGTCTTTTCCTAGCTGATCATCTTGATCATCTTGATCCATGTCTGTGACGATGCATAGATTCCTAGTTATGGAGCCCGTTATGGAGCGGCCAAAAAAATTAAAATGCCAGGAGATGCCGCGCAAAGTTTGCGGCCCCTTTTTTGTTGTCAAAGACGGTGCGAAAATCATTATGGTTTATAGGTAAATCCATCTATAAACCATCTATATGGACCATGTTCAATAGCTATGTTAAATAACCAGAGAATATGAATATGTATATATAATTGGGATTGAACCATCAAATATTGAAATTCAAAGGTATTTAAATACGGGATACGAGTATCATGGGCTATATAACCAAATATGTCCAAGTTGGTTTGAACATGTTGGACATCCAAACATTATGAGCATTTCATGCAGAACATTATTGTGTTTGTCGGAAACATGACTATATCCCCACAAAAAAAATGCAATCCTTCCAGGGAAACTGGTGACAAGAATAAAAGCTCTATTTTGGGCATCATATTTTCACACAAGCCCAGATAGAACATGATAGAACAAACAGTCGGAAATTCGGGACATGGAAATTCCCTATCAACCAGTATTAGATGGATGTTTTACATGGAGAACTTCTGAGCTTTCCCGTGCCAAACTTTCGGCTCAGCTTGTGTCAGTGATGGGAGCAGATGAGAGCTGCCAAGAGGCGGGGCGATTTCACCCTGTTGAAATGTTCACCATTTTGAAAAAAGGTCAACCAACTACAAATGGCCATTTTCAATAGCTGTGTTAAATCCCAGGGTGGTATGAACCAGCAAAAATTCGATATGGTTGTTTTGGATGTCCCTAAAACATTGGAAGGTTTTGGTGGTTTTCAATGATGGTTTTTTTGGAGAACAAATTGGAAGTTGCAGCACCGGATTTGGCAAGAAGATCCTGAGGATCAGGTGGACCTGAAACACTCATTCTTATGGAAATCCAAGTATTCTTGCTTCAAGCAATTGGAGTGGTAAATTAGCCAGATAACTGAGGGAACTTCACAATTATTCTTGAGTTGTTAAACCATCAGGTGATTTCGACCATAAGAACTTGGTTTATTTAATGGCCATCATATGTTTTTTTTCCCTCTAATATTGTTTTGGATGTCAACAAAGAACGCATTATAAAACCATGATTTTAGTAGGGTTTGTTCAACCATAAAAGGCCTGATTTTTTGTTTCGGGCGGATGATCCTTGATCAAAGGTGGCCGATGATGGCAGATAGAGTTGGCCGATACAGGCGCGCTGTCGCTGGTCTTTTCGAATGACTTGGATCGTTTTTTTGCGAGTTAGACCCATTTCAGGAATATGACCAGTTGCCAAAAATAGTTGACATGCATTTTGACATTTTGTACGAGTTGTTGATATTTAGTGTGGACCTAGTGGTTTTTCCTCTTCGTTATGGGGCGGCACGCAACTAAATTCACCAATTCTGCAAGGCAGCGCTAGCAAACCCGCTAGGTTTGCGCTAGTTTTGTTCAAAACCCATGTACAAGGATATTTTTTTATATTTTTTGTGTGTCCTGTCTGCTTGTTATTTCAACATGAGGAAGAGTCAGGATGTAACACTTAGCTCCTTAAACCTAAGGATGTCTTAGTGAATTTCTGTGCTACTCAACAATTTCCCTATAATTTTGAGGTCAGGTTGTGGCGCAATTTTGCAAATGTGTACGTAATTTTTTTTACCCGCTAGATCGCCGCTAGCAATGCGCTAGCAAAAGTTTCAAAAAGCGGCTTTGGTTGACCCGTGACCCAGCCGCCACCAGAGAACTTGTAGTTTATCCTGTCTGTTTGAAAAAACAACAGTGACAGCAAAGGCAACGACAAGCCCTGCAGATATTCCAGTTGCACCACTAAAATCTAGCAGCGGCACCCACGAATAACTAGCAGCGGCACCCACTTCATATAGACGCGCGCTAGCATTTACATTGAGGGTTTAGTTACGTTGTGATTTGTTCAGGATATATGACAGATTGTTTTAGGGTTTGCTTAGGGTTGGTTTAGCTTTTCTTTCGGGTTTGTTTAGGGTTTATTTAGGGTTTGTTTAGTTAATGTTCGTGTTATTTAGGGTTGTTTAAGGGTTACTTCACGGTTGTTTTAGGGTCCATTTAGGGTTATTTATGGTTGATTTAGGGTTGGTTTTCGGTTTGTTTAGGGTGTATTCAAGGTTTATTTAAGGTTTATTTAGGGTTAGGTTATTTTGGTTTTCTTTCAAAGTCTTGCGGTTTGTTGAGGTCTCAGTTAGCGGCTCGAAACACGGCAAAGTACGGAGGGTATCTTTAAGATACGCTTCAAAAGGTGATTTTGGCACCGTCTTAGGTAAGGCAAAAATGCCATGAGACGAAGGTAATATCAATATTTTGCATGCTCACAGTGTGCGAAAAGCACGCACGGAAACAACACAGCAGATTGCAGTCCCGCATGGAATTCTGTGGATTTCGGGCAAATGTCAGCCCCCCTAGCAGCAATTGAATTTTATACATATATATGTATCATATGATATCATATGTATATCCCATAGGATCCATGTATGCTATATATGGTAACATTTACCATCCATATACCCCCAATGTTAGCATATATACCATACATGGATCCTATGGGTATGGAATATTCTGGATTACTATGAGGTAACCTCCAGTGTCCTGAAACATGCTCGCTGGAACTTCCCTATTTAGTTCGGTGACTTTCTGGGATTTGTTTTTACCTCCGCAGAGTTATTAGCCGGATTTCCGGGCTGCCATGTTTGAGAACATCGAAGGGTATACAAACATAAGTGTATGTATTAGTGTGACATGTACGTGTATATATAATTATATATATATATGTATATATATATATAATAGTAAGGAAAGACTGACTATATTATGTATATATATAATATGTGTGCACAAAATGTTTGAAATGGGATTCTTCCCTCTGTTTTACGAATGGGAGGTAGCATGATATATATATATATATAACTATATTTAGTGGGATGACTACTGATTTTTATCATTGTATACTGGAGGTTTATGATTGGTTTCACCATTTAACCACGTTACCAACTCACTTGAGAATGTCGCCATCCATTCTCGGGATTGCCATCAGTGATTCGCCATGTTTTGACCAAGGCCTGCTTTATTTGCGCCTTTTGAGTTGAAAAACATAAGTACCCTCTGGTAATTTAACATAGCTATTGAAAATGGCCCATTTATAGTTGATTTTCCCATTAAAAATGGTGATTTTCCATAGCTATGTTAGTTTACCAGAGGGTATAAAAATTGGCCCCGGAAATGCAATGCTTCAACTCTATTCGTAGCCGTTGCTTCAGGTTGAACTGGCCAAACAACAATTGCAACCAAGGGAAGCGGCCGTTTTGTTGAACAGTGGCACACTCCATGACCGTCATGACCCTTGGTGCCTACAACGTGCGATCATCATACAACTTATATCAACTTATTATGGGAAGAAGGTGTGTGGGCCTATCCATTTCCATATGACAATGATCCTATGTAGCCTCCGCGAGTGCAAGAATGCAGTTTTGAAGGGTAAGGTTTCGGGTGATTCATGACTATGAGTTTTTGTCCAAAATATTCATTGGTCAGTATCCACCATTTTTCAGACACCCAAAATGGATACAGTTGCTTAGGATATCATATGATGCACCAATTTTCATCGTTAAGCTACCATTTTCCAAAAAGCCCTATATCATTATATACCCTCTGGTTATTTAACATAGCCATGGAAAATCACCATTTTTAATGGGTAAACCCAGGTAAACCATCTATAAATGGGCCATGGCAAACTGTTAAATAACCAGAGGGTATCCCAATCATATTTCACTGGCCATTTCAGGAACCTAAATTGGAGGTACCTACCATATATAAGGCCTATATAAGGCCTAAATTTCAGGGAATATCCCCAGAAAATATGGCCTTATATGGTACTAACGTACCTCCATTTCAGGATCCTGAAATTCCCACAGGAGCGGCTCAGATTCGCCAAAAGGTTGGCAAAAATGCTGGGGCCTGGGGGATTTGAGGCCACACTTCTGGCTGAAAAAAATCAGGGTTGTAAGCAAGAAAATAGGCTGGGATTCCCAGAATAAAACCTGGAATAGATGGATAATGATTGCAAGCTTTTCCTGAAGTACATGACGTAGGTGTATGTACATGTATAATCATGTGAGAGGCTGCTTGCAGGATGCAAGAAAATAACAGAAAATATCGCTTAGATGAGTTATTGTCCGACATATTGACAGAGTTTGGGATGTTTGGAAAGCTTTATATCCTTTAACTACATCAAAAAAGCGCTGGTTCCAAATCCTTCCTGGATGACAACTACAAGAACCTGGAAGGTGATGGAAGGTGGTGGAAGGCATCATCAATTCCAAATCCACCTTGTTTTTTTTTGTCAGAATCCACTCAACTGTGATGAATCCAAAAAAATCAACGAAGTCACCTCCCCCCAAAAGACAACTCAAAATCCCCGAAGTTTGCGTTGTTTTTTTCAATTTTTTTCTGGGCTCTTTGGCTTATTTTGGCTTCCAGGGTCCAGCCGACAGCCGCTGCCCACGCTGTTTTTCGATCCCCATGGGACGGTGGCGGAAACCGGCGAAGAGCGAGAAATCTGTTGAGCCGCCAGAGCGTCGCCCCAGTCATCGCTCCTTGGAATCCATGTTCCCCTTGGATCCCCTTGGGCCATGGGGATAATTTTGGGATGATTTAGCTGGATTTTTACCGTAGCGAACTGGGAAATCACCATTTTCAAGCGGTAAAATCATGATAGATTCTGATAGATCATCTATAAATGGGCCATTTTTCATAGCTACGTCAAATAATCAGAGGGTGTATATATACGTATATATATAACTCATAGAACCCGAAAAAATGATGGTTCCATAGGGGACTTGAAATGGATGATCATTGTTTCTCGGGATTCTGGGAATGAACAATGGTGATTTTTCATGAGTGAACAACGGGATTTGGGATTTTTAGGGATTTTTCATAGGGATACCCATGTGGCCGTGTCCTCCAAGATGACTGGGAAAGTTTGCTATTGAAAATGGCAACTTATAGTGAGTTTTCCCATTAAAAATTGTGGTTGTCCATAGCTATGTTAGTTTACCAGAGGGTATGATGAAACTTGAAAGGGACAATCATGCTTTTCCCGCTGTTTTGTTGCTTGGCTTCCCTTGTTCCAGCTGGCTAAAAATGACATCATATTCGTTCATACGCTCATCGTTGTCGATGAACTTGCCACTCATGTAGCTGACATCCGCACCCTCATGGACACTGTCCTGATTTCACTTGGTACTACCCAGTGATCTCCAAATGTGTTTATCAGCGTGTATCAGTGAAAAACCAAGAATAGATTCTTACTCCAACATGCTCCAACATCTTATGATGTATCATCATAATATCATCACATATCACCATTGTCCACACTCAAAAACGTCATTTTATGGATGTTCCCAAATGTTCAGAGACACCAACAGCTGTTTGGATCTGACCAATGGATCCCCATTAAAAGATCCCCATGGAACTCCAAGGAGAGGCGGCACAATGGAGTGCGCGATTCAGTATCGATGCAGCCATAGCTGTGGTGACCATTAGTATGTCCAAGAACCTTGGGTTTTTAGATGGTTTTCATGTAATTCTTCCTGATCAAGGTGAATCAGCTGCGGAGAAAAAACAACCAAAAAACAGTGAAAAGATATGAAAAGATGCACTAAACTAAACCAATGGAATTGTTTCCAGAACTGATGGTTTTTTGCTTGTTCTTCATTGAATTCTGGCAATTTAGATTCAATAAGTTTAGAGAGACCCACCAGAAACCTTCATAATTTTGTTTGGTGGGTAGATCCATGGTTTCTGGCAAGTGAAAATCGTTTGCTGAAAATGGGCTATGGCAGACCACACAGGACATAGAATGGTTGTTACCTTCAAAACGTGATGTTTTCGTGTGTTTTTTTCCATAAAAATTCGAGACCCCACAAGACCCAAGACATCCCAAGTCATCCCATTTTACTTGTTGTATCCACAGCACGTCCACTCTGCCCTTGGAAGTTGCGATGAACTGAACATCATCTCCACAGCAGCTGATGCTGATAGCACATAGAATCGCAGCGTTTCACAGGGGAATCACCTGCTTGTTGCTTCCCGTTTTAGGACTGGACTCACCGATGAAGACATGGAAAGGTGGTGCGTTTGGGTGCGAGGTCATCTAGCATCCCAACGGCACAGCTGTGCTTTGGGTGTGGTGGACTTTGCTGAGAACAGGCCGGACGGGGCTGACGGGGCTGGGGGCTGGGGGTGATCGGAGTCTTAGAGGGATGCAGGGATGAAAATGGAATGAACATGAGAAAATTGTGTTTTTTTTTGGGGGGGGAAATGGTGATTTAATGAAGAATATGGTGATGAACTCATGGATTTTTCGGATAATATGGGAGTAGCCTATTTCAGATCAACCCATTTTCTATTTCATAAAATGATCTAATCCGGGAGTATGGAAAGGGCAGGGGGTTGGATAGATCTAGAATCGCTTCACGATCTCGCGGCCATGGAAAATCTTCACCGCCGAGATCAGCTGAGATGAAATCCCATAAATCTCCAGAAAAATCCCACCTTCTGGTAAACGTTAACAGTTTGCTATTGAAAATGGCCATTTATAGATATTTATAGTGGATTTTCCCATGAAAATAGCATGGTGGATCTTTCCATAGCAGTTATGTTAAACCAGAGGGGAATCCCATAAATCCTTCCGAAAGATCCCACGGAGACGTCCAGGTTAACTGCAAAGGGCGTGCGCCATTTGCTGGAGACTTTTCTAGACTTGCAACTGCCAATGCAAGTGTTGAAGCTGCATCACAACCGTATCGCGGAAGGTGCCGACACGGGAATCTTAAGCTGTAGAAATGCAGATTAGGAATTTGCTTACGGTTTTGTTTGATGTCCCTTTTCTTTGGGTGATAAGTGTCGATTGTAGGACTAGGAATCGGGGAGTTTTTTCTTCTCCACCACAATTACTGGATTGAAGATGGGCCCAATTCATTTTGACTTCGCTTTGCTTGGCGCAGCTTTTTTAAAAGGGCCACGCATCGACTTGTCCATGACTTGGCTTGTGCTGAGCCCCTGATAGGTTGGTGCTTCGCAGCATATTTACAGCATGGTGTACTGGGCCAAAAATCAGCTATGGCTCAAAATGGGGGCACCAATGGACCACGAAAGCCTGGTTGTTTTTTTGGAGGATTTAACCAATTTAACCATGCATTTTTTGGGGTGTGATCATTTTGAGCCATAGTGCTCAGAAGGCGGTTTCTTTCTTTCTTGTCGTTTGTTATGGAAACCAAGATGAGATAAATTGGTTTGCAGAATCGCCAGTTCTTGGGAATTGATGACGAATTGCCTTTGGGGTTCGGGTTGTGATTTGGGCTTCGTAATCCCAACTTGCAAGGGTTCAAAGCGAACAAAAAATCGCTGCGAATGCAGGTAGTAGATTGGATTGGTAGGCTGCACCCAGCCACCTTCGCTGCCTAGGGACTGGCAGATGACTGGATTTTTTTCATCCCAGTTTTCGGAGCGGCTGAGGTTGGCTACATGAGTTGCATTTATCCCATAACGAGCTGGATGCAGAGGCCAGGGGCCAGGGATGGCAAGGGTGTTTTCTCCCCAATGCCTGAATCATGAAAAAAATACCATCTGGTTATGACATTCACAGTCAGTTCGCCATGGCTTTTCGCTGTCCCATAGAAATAGATGGTGAACAACTGGGTTTACCTATGAAAAATGGGTGGATCTTTCCATGGCGAAGTGTGAATGTCATAACCAGATGGTATGTCCAATCGTTTCTCCATCCTTCGCGAAACGCTGTGGCATCGCCAGGCGTCAGCTGCAATTATTGAAGCCGCCGTGCTGGCCAGTGATGCCAGTGATGCATCGAAAAAGATCTATCCACGGAGAGTTGGCAAAGGGAATTCCGCCCCGCTTTGGGTCGTCTCCTTAGTGCAAAAAAGCTAGGCCAATGAAAAACGGCTCCGAAGTTGGGTTTCAGGGCTGTGTTGGAAATTTAGATCCAGGACTTGGGAAATTGAACTTAAGTGGATATGTTCTTGTCATTGAGGCAGCCATGATAGTGTCGAAATATGTCGAAATACTTAAGAACACTTCAGTTAAGTTGTGGTAAACATATGGCAGTGTGTCAAACCCTTGTACCCCTGTAGTTCACATCAAAATAGCTGGGATTTATGGATGCTCATCCCCCTAAATAGCTGGTATGTATAGGTATTGATCCATACCCATATCCACCCAGGTGCGGCTGGAGCAAAACTATATTGATCCAAACGTGTTTTCTTCCATTTTGGACGCCAAATTCGGAGATTCTGCCGGCATCTGCTGCGATGCTCGCAGCAAATGGTCATGGTCCCAGACTGTCCTGGGTTGTGATGTGGGATGTGTCGGTTGGGATGCGAAAAATTGGGGTCATGGAGTTGAAAATTGGGTATATATTCTCCAAATGGCTAGTTCAGGCTAGTTTCCTATCTGGCAATCAAACTTGGCAATGGGAAGTCACCTGTGAATGGAAGGTGTCATGAGATTTTTTGTATTGGTGGATTTTCCGGCAAGCTGTGTTGATTACCAGGGTGTACATATATATATAAATATGTATGTTTTTAGAGAGGATAATGATGATGAGATTAACCAGAAAAGAGAAAGTGCAAAAAAGGCACTTTATTTTCAGACAACCCTTCACAAAGTGTTGTATCAATGAATCAAGCCATCCAATTTGATACTGCTGAGCCATGCTGAGCCATAGCTAGATTCATACGGGTCAAACTAGTTTTGGCTGATGATTGGCCTGCTGTTGGCCCAGATTTTTGTGAGAAAGATTTCTGGTGACGAGGGGACTAGCGACTAGTGAGTAGCATTTTGTGTGCAACCATCATTTACATTGATGTGTTGGAGGAATCAGCTTCAAACATCTCATAACATCTTCCGACATCTTACAACATCTCACAACATGTTACAACATCTCACAACATCTTCCAACATATTCCAACATCTCACAACATCTTCCAACATCTTACAACATCTCACGACATCTCACAACATCTCACAACATGTTACAACATCTTCCAACATCTTCCAACATCTTACAACATCTTACGACATCTCACAACATCTCACAATATGTTATGTTACAGATTACAATTACAACATCTTACGACATCTCGCAACATCTCACAATATGTTGCACCATCTTCTAACATCTTACAACATCTTACGACATCTCACGGCATCTCACAACATGTTACAACATCTTCCGACATCTTACAACATCTCACAACCAGATGTTTCAAAAAGTTCTCCAGTTTTTCCAGTTCTAATGGTGTGACGAAAATTTCGCTCAGGTGCACCCCTCACAACTGCGTCCAACAGGTGGGAAAACTGATGCTTTCTAGGTCGTTTCCCATCTGAAAAAGATGTATCTTCAGAAATTTACCTGTGATTCTTCCGGGAAACATTCGCCTATTTATATCTATTTAATTATACGTTTTATACTGATATGTCTATAATTTATACGACAATATATCCCAAATTAATGCACCCTGACCACTGATTTGGGATGATTTGAGCATATTTGAGCCATAGAAACGAGGATTCAATGGGATTCCAGTGGATTTGCAGGGATTTCAGCATGTTGCTGTTTCCAACGCCATGGTCCCTGGGTCCCTGCAGGCTGCTTTTGCAGTACACCTCAAGAATTTGTCTCAGCAGCGTCGACGAGGCCGATTTTTTCATAGAGATCTAATATATTAATGGTCGAATGGGCAAAAATGGGTTGAATGTTCCAAAAGCTGATTGCCCAAAGTTTCTGGATCTGATATCTATAAAAAGTTTCTGGATCTATAAAAGTTCTGGAAGTTTCTGGATCTAAAAAAATTATGAATAGTTTCATAAATGAACATTCGCAACTATGAAGAAACTATGAATCCAGAAACCAAAGAAACAACTATGAATGTTCATGGTGAATGTTCTCAGTTTCGCAAATGGACAAGGGATGTGGCAAAACTGACATGAAAGATGTTGTGTGGTTCACCAGTCGCGGCGCACGCGGCTCAGGAAGTCATGGTGAACGAACTGCCACTATCGGCTCTACTGGCTCGACGACCCAAAAAGCTGATGGCACAGAGTGTGCCCACGTCCTATGCTTCGACTGGGAGAGAGGGGCCTGGGTGCCCGAAACGATTGAGATCCCAGCTATAGACGCTGCTGCCACGACCGAACTGTCAGAAGGATTGAAAGTCCTCATCGGCGCAGGCATGGGACGAACAACTGTAGCAAAAATTCAACGAAAATGCGGGGGGAATGGCGGAGAACGCAACAAAACAATGCAGAAGATGAGAATGTGATGGCCATGTGTGAGTTACCCTCTGGTAAACTAACATAGCTATGGAAAATATTGGAAAATCACCATTTTTAATGGGAAAACGCACTATTTCTATGGCCATTTTCAATAGCTATGTTAGTTTACCAGAGGGTACTTCAGAAATTGGTGAAGTAAAGAAAAGTAAAGAATTGAAGATGACATTGATCCCCTCAACTCGGGCACCCCAAGCGGTTCTACTTTGCTCAAGTAAATCAAGCACCAGGGGTTGGCTGACTGGTGCTGCACTTGGGGCCGTTACTGAAGTTAATCCTTGAATTTTTGGCACCCAAAATTTAAAAAAAAAAAAAACGCAAAAGATGTTGTTCTGGACAGGGGTTAGCACGCAAATAGGGCGATAACATTTAATTTATCATTGTTATATAAGTTATATAGCAGTAAAGTGTATCAGCCTTCAAACCCTGCCCAAGGCATGAGACCAACGACAGGGTCCGAGGGCCCTAGCGATAAGCAGGCTTTGAGTCATGAGGAGCGCATGCCGTCCTTCCCAAGAGAAGCGGCTCATTTACAGTTTTTTTGAGTAAAATCATGTCAGAATCAGAATTTTGATCAGAGAAAATACATTTGAAAATAGATGAGCATGGCAGTTTCACCAAAACGAGAATAATTACTAACATTTCAGATTCAGATGATTTTGGGATCCAACTTTACTAAACAACCATTGATCAAGAGAATTAAGAAGAAACTAAAGCAATACCCTCCAACCCCAAAATGGCACCACAAGTACATAGTTTCTTCATGGTAAGAGGTGTTTGGCTACTAATGCGATGTCATGATGTTGTGCAGGGATGCGTCAGCGTTGGATCTTTCAAATCGTTGTCCAAATTGAGGAATCGTGCGAACCGGACAATCCAACATGACTCATGACTAACTGAGTTTGATGGATTTACTTGAATGTAATTATTTAGCCATTGTCCAGCTTTTTGCGATGCTAACCCCATTTCCATCCACATTTGATCTCTCAGCTTTGACCTTCTGCCAGGAAGGTCAAACCATCGGTGCTGATCTCCTGCGTTCCATCCGCAACACCAAATCGGCCACGGCCGCGCCTCCCACGGTCCCCACTCCCGCGGCACCTCCGCTCTCAGCCGTGGCCCCAGTGGCCGCGCCCGTCGCCGTGCCGCCGGCCGTGGCCGCTGCGCAGGCCGTAGCCGTCCAGGCTATGGCGAAGCAGGTGGCAGCGCACGCAGCCCAGAGCTGGGCGGCGAATGCCGCGGCCCACGCAGCGCAGGTCCACTGCGCCCGGTTGGCCGCGGCCCAGCTGGCCGCGCAAGCGGCACGACTGGACCCACGCTTCGTGGAGGATCCAAATGCTTGGCTGAGGATCGAAGCGCCAGTGTTTCAACCTGGGGCCAGGCAGGATTTTGTTGGGAGATTTTTGGATGGTTTTGGATGGATTGCTGATGAATGGGTGGAGCGGGCAGGGAAGCAGTGGCTAAAAATAGATAGAGAGGGAGAGAGATTCTTGCACACTTGTTTGGCAATAAGGCAACCTGTTTGATATTCTTTGTCTGGAGCTTTGATGGGATGGGAACCGGAGGGGCCCCAACCAATGACTCATGGAGTTGTAGAGCTTCAGGTTTTAGGGCCACCATCAAATCACAATAAATCACTATCAATCACCATTAAAGCCGCCATTAAATCCATATAAATCATTAATATCATTAATAACCCTATAGGTAAGCACCAGAAATTCAGCATTTTTTTGTATCTTCCCAAAGCATTGATGATCCACCGACCCATCCGACCCATCCGACCTCAGGTGTTTCTTCGCCACCTCGGAAGCCACCGGCACCGAAACCTCTGCAGGGGCATCGGATGATACCGAGTCATTAGAAGTTCCTCGGGGGCCGCGCGGTCCGGGGGGGCGGGGTGGGAATGATAACCTCCGGCTTCTTTAGAGCTATGGAAGCAATTCATAGAAATAGATAGGTCGGATAGATGATGAGAATGATGATTTAGCTGTTGAACATGGTGATTTTCCAGGTTGCTACGTTAAATCTGGATGTTAATGGATCTAATTATCCCCCGGTGTCCTCAAACCCTCTAACATGGCTGGAAAAAAACAGTAACAGAACTAATTGGAGATTATTAATAAATGGGAAAAAGGTCGAACTAGTTAAATGGTGTTGTTTTCCAGCAACCCATGTTTGAAGACACCACAGGGTAACACTATAGAATAGTATATGGGTGATTGGTAGATGATCGGCTATATGGGGGCGATCAATGTCAATTGATGATGGATGTGGGTTGATGCCGAGTCGTGGCTTCAGTTCAATGGTAGGTACCAGGTAGATAATTACGTCATGAATGGTTATGATAGATGGTCTACCATTTGGTGATGATGCTCATGGGGATGGCTTCATATACGTTTCTGGGATTTTCTGGGTAAATTATAGTGACCTCACTGTGGAATCATGCTTAGTTAGGGGAATTATCATGAATTATCACCAAATGGCTTTCTTTCAGGTTAGTGACTTATTTTCTACACCAGGTGACCATGTAGGAATCACCGATGCCGAGGTGGCAGCTGGTCTCTCTACAGGTCCGGAGACGGACCCAGGTGTGGGTTTGAAAAGATCTGGCAGAAATTGTTCCCCCAAAAAAAATGGGAGAGAGAAGTTGAAGATTGGTTCATTAACAATATATAGAGGATATATAATATATATATATAATTATATATATAATTATATATATATATGTAAAATGATATTAAATGAGCGGACGAGTTTCACGAGTTCGAAGTTGGTATCGTTCACCCCGAAAAGAACCGCTGAACCGATTCGACACGGAAAAACCGATCCGCAGGTCTTTTAAGTACAGACTCTCCACCGTCAACACGGTCGTCTCGGACTTTGTTTCAGAACTTTGTTTCGTGCAAATCTGATGTTTTGTCCCTATTGGTTTGATTGTTTTTTTTTTCAGCCGTTTCCTGATGTTTTTTCCTCGTTTTTCTCATTTCCATAGTGGATAAATCTGCAAAGTCTTAAGGCGAAGATCAGAGGATCAAACATCGCCAGCCGTGTGGTTATCCAAAGTTGCACCCTTGCTGGAAGAGTTACCGGAGACGTCACTTTGGAGGAAGGATGCCACAAAGTCCGAACCAGAGAGGACAGCACCTTGGTAAACACCTTGGTTCTGCAAGTTATCCTGGTGGAATCTCATGGATTCTTACATATTGACTCAATTTGATTCATATTATTCCCGCCTCTTTGGGGGGAGTCACACCCCTGATGCATCTGGTGTATTTTTTTAATGTGTGTTTCAACACTTTTTGGGTGGTTAGTTACGGTTAGTTGTGAGCCTATACAGCTGGCTGCAGATTGAGGCCAGCAAAAACGCCACAGTTGCTGCACCACCATGGTCCGCCTCGGTAGCAGCTTCACCAGGTGCCGATATTTGGAGCCAGCTTGGATGGTTGGGAGAAAAGGAGCTTTTTGGGTAACCAAGGAGATGCTAACAGTTTCCCAGCCTGATAGATGATATTAGATGATATAGATGTCAGAATCATTTGATGAATCATCAAACGATCCACCATTTTTTCTGGGGTGATATGCACACAGAGATGTTCATCTCTCTCTCTCTCTGTGGATCTGATACAACCACCATCTGTGGATCTGTTATCAACACAGGGACCCAACCAGAGCTGATGAGACTCCAGAGCTTATTTGGCTGGTGGTTTGGAACTTTGTTTCCCATATATTGGGAATGTCATCATCCCAACTGACGAACTACACTCCATCATTTTTCAGAGGGGTAGGTGGCCCCCACCAACCAGTATGTTATTAACCATCATTAACCATATAATAACCATATAGTATCCATATAGTATCCATATAGTATCCATATAGTATCCATATAATATCCATATAATAACCAGGTATATTACCAACCACTGGTAGGGCTCAACCACCAACCACTTCTGCTTTCCGAATCCAGGTCTTTCCAAGCATTCGGAGCCAGTGGAGCCTTCGGAGCAAACATTTGGACCGCAGAAGATGCTTGGGCTGCCGCATTTGTTGTTGTGTATATATATATATATGTATGGTATGTATGTTATGTATGTATGGGGCCAATTTTGGGTCGGATCTCTGACATGAAAACAGCTGTTGGATTCGAGAACTTCACAGTTTGGTATGTTTGGTCCACCTACCATCTGGTTATGACATTCACAGTTTGCCATGGTTAAACGATGGCCCATAGAAATAGATGGACCATACCGTTCTTAATAGCATGGGTGGATCTTTCCATGGCGAACTGTTAAATAACCAGATGGTAAAGGAAACACCAACAGTTCGAGAAGCCATTCACATCCCCAGGATACGTCAACTTGTCAACTTCCCATAGAGGCTTTAACCAAAGGTTGAGTATCTGACATCACACACCCTACAAGATGGGGGGAACTCTTGGTGACAATTGTTACTCATTTTTCCCTCATGAAACTTGTAATGTTGTGCTTTAATGCCCACATTTGCTAACAGCCAATGGAACGATGAGTCAAGTGCTTGGTTGACATTGTATCAGATCATTTGCTAACAAAAGCCATTATTGTATACTGTATACCCATTCATGGTTGAATCATCTACAGTTAAGTCCAGAAGCTCCTCCCCCTAGTATTCTCACACCTAAACGAAACCCTGATGGTTGACATCTTGGATTTCTTATGATTTCTTCATTTGGAGGGGATGTGATGATCATTGAATCATAGAAAGTATCGTACCTCCCTGGTGGGCTAGGTGCATCTCCAGGAAATGGTGTTATAAAATGATAAAATCTGCAGGTGTAACAGCAGGAAGTAGCAGGACACCTCCAGAAGTTGGGGTCTAATTGTACTAATTGTCATGCAAAATCCATAGTTTCCCTTCCAATAGTTCCTTTCGATCCAAACTGGAGGATGATAGCCCTGGCCATCATCTGAGTCAGGGGAAAATCTTAAAATCCTCCCAAACTTGATGCTTTAAAGCGTTTAAAGCTTCATGTTCCTATCATTTCCTGTCAAATCCTGTTTTTTGGGGGTCTCGCCCAGGTGCTCGGTGAATTCTCCTGCCCAATGGTTGTCCACAGAAACCAAAGATGTGGAGCCCAACTCCTCCGTGACGCGGCACAATTGATAAATCATGGAGAAATTCCATGGTTTTTGGGGAAATTCCATCGTTTTTGGGGAAATTCCATGGTTTTTGGTGGGCAAAGTAATCGAAAATCCACAGCTTTGCTTCTGGAAAATCCACAGAACTTGGACATATTTGGACATTAAAAAAAGCGCGTTGCCCTCTGAACCCAACAGAGTAGACAGCCAATTGAAAACCCGCAATGAAAATTCGCTGGTTTGTGAGAATAATGAAATTAGTTGATCATTTTTTTGGGAAACAACGCAAGGCTAGCTTTTGCTGGACATCTGAATTATATTCTTTATGGCTGGAAATCCAACAATAACTCGAATCTGTTCTTTCGGGTGCTACATGGATAATTTCAGGGCGTGACCAAACCAAAGAAGGTATCCACGTGGTGAATTTGATTTACTGTCACAAGCCTGTGTTTGGTGATTTTTTTCGCAAGAGATTGTTTTTTTAAGGCTTCCAGTAAGGCTTCCAGCTATCCAGCTAAGAAGTCTCTTCAAAAATCCGAGCGCTGTGGAACCGAACCTGGAAGCTCTCGCAGCATTTGCCCAGACTAAGGTTGCTGGTGGGAAATCTTCTGCAGCCTTTTCTGCACCTCTACATGTTTCACCAGAGCCAGTCCAGGAGACACAGGAGAAACTGGATGCGATTGAACCAGGACGGGGAAGTTGTTGAGTTGTTGACCTTTTTGTCACTTGAAGTTGTGATCCTAAGATATGTGGAAGCCAATGAATACATAGGGGTTTCCATAAATGGGGATACCCCAAAATAGATGGTTTATACTGGAACATCCCATTAAAGTGGATGATTTAGGGGTACCCTTATGTCAGGAAATGCCCATATAACATATGTCTTTATTTTTTTTCGCGTCCTTTTGGTAGCTGCTAGATGAAGCCCATCACCCACTCATGTTAATTTCACCCCCCTTGTGTGGTCCCAAATATATGTTTTTATCCCCTACTAAACATTAGTTTCTGGGGGATGTTTGATATTATGGGGAAGGGATTCTTCATGCTGAAACTTTGAGCCTGATTCTGTTGGCGGCAGGTCTATTGAAGTCGTCTCCGGCCATAGCTGTACAGATTCTTTGCGCGCCGAATTGAGTGATGGTTTACAATGCCAATTAAGTTACTATAACATCTCATATATTGATCTGTTGAGCTGTTGAGGTGTAAGTTTAATATATCATATACCTAAGACCTCAATACTGGAATTAAGTTAATATATCATTGATATATCTATAATAGCTCAACAGTGTTACTTGGGATGTTGGAAACTGACACCAACTGCTCCTCGGAATTCCAAGATTTCAGACATCAGATCATTCGCAATGGCATAGCTATTGTTGGCTTTGTCCAACTATTTTGGGCTACCCAAAATCCCAAAATCCAATCGGGGATCATGAAAAACCAGAGATGCTACCCGTTCACAATTGCCATGATCAATGGATTGGTTTCAGGGAAAAATCGAAACCGGAAACCATCGATTTTCCCATTTTTTTCTATGAGGCTTTCCGGCTAAAATTTTCCCTTAAACCAATCCATTGCCGTGAGATATTGCCAGAATTTCTGGTATTTCTGTCCCATTTTTTGGGAGAAACTCGCAGTCAAAGGGCCGGGTAAACCTGGGCATCCTGGGCTATGTGTTACTTCAGGTGATCCAAAACTTGCGGAAACTTCCACTTCAGTTTGTCAATGGTTACCCAGTTACCCTCTGGAGTTTCGAAAATGGTAATCGAAACTCCCACCATTTCGTTCGTTGATGTTCCCATTGAAACCTCTATTTTAAGGGATTGTCCATTGACTTTCCCATTAAGACTTTCATTTATAAGGAATTGTCTACTGATTTTCCCATTCAAACATCGATTCAGGAGGATTTTCCATTGCTGCGTTTGATGACACCGGAAGCTATAATCATCCCTTCCCCGAAAATATGAACAAAAAAACGCCCCATTCAGACCATGGTGGATGTAGGAGATTCAATTAAACAGATGTAGGACCTTACAATGGCGGGTGTTTATTAAGTATTAAAAAGATCAGATTCCCAAAACTTACACTTTCAATGGGCAAAAATGACGATCCGGACACGCCTTCGAACACCATGGTGACATCTTGTTTTGTTGGCATACTATCTGGTAATTTCATATAGCTATTGAAAATCACAATTTTGCTCAATGATCCATTTCTATTGTCCATGTCCGCTATGTTAAATTGAGGATAAACCCTCATGAATCACCCTGAAATCAGTGGTTAAATCCAATCAAAACACCATGTTTGGATTATTTCAGAGCTATTTCTTCCATTTTTCACCAGTTGAGGGATGTGGTTTATACCATAATCCCATAATTTATAGGGTTTCAGCACCTGATTTCCCCATTTTTGCGGGCGGGAAAAAGCGGCATCAACTCCCAAGGAAGACGATGGATTCGGCCGATGCCGTGCCACCTGAGATTGAGAAACCGCTGGTGGTGCATGAGGAGATTCCGGAGGCGGCTGTACTGGCTCCTCCGGTTGGTGATAACCATTAATGGTGGTCAATAGATCAATAGTGATTATACCCTCTTGATCAGATATGTGTACAGTATAGACCATGTTATATGTAGTACATATGTTTGTATATGTGCTGCAGCCATTTTAGCCATTTTAGTGCTTTTAGCTACCTTCGAGCTAACCGAGTGAAAAGGTGCTGAACAGTGCTCAGGAGTGTTCATCAGATTTAAGAGCCCAATTTCTCTGTTCATGGTAGGCGGAGCTTAGGTTCTGATACCCAGCTGTGAATGTGTAGGTGTCAACGCCGAGCTGTCTCTGCTCTGGCGCGCTCACCTCGTGCCAACTGGAAAAGGTTGACACTCAAGCTCCTGAAAATCAGGAAAATCCAAAGGTACTTCCATAATCTGGGAGTGCATCTCCAACAGTATCCAAGGGTTCTCTTGAATCAGGTCTCAAAGCACCTGAAGAACGACTAAGGATGGCTCAGCAATAGCAGCCACCTCAGCAACCAGGCACTCCACCAGCACCCCAACAAGCACAAGGCAACGGTCCCAACATGTCCCAGATGGTTATGCAGATGATGGCCCAATTGACTCAGGGTCAGGCGCAGTTGAATCAGGCAATGACCAAGGCTATGAACCAGCAGCTTCAGATCAACAGAAATGTTGAGAGATCTGTTGAGTACAAAGACAGATCAGAGTTGAAAGGCATACCAAAACCTGATAAGTTCATTGGAGCATCAGGCACTTGGGATAGTTGGTGGTACAAGTTTAAGACTTGGGTTGAAAGTTGCCACAAGAATGCTGTGAAAATTGTGGCGCAAGTTGAATCTCAGTGTGACAAAGAGATCACTGAGTCAGGTCTAGAAGTAGACTTTGATGAAGGCGCCGAGCTTGTTTCAGCTCAGGCTAGACAAGCCCTCATATCATTGACTGAGGGAGAAGCGTTGGAAATTGTCAAGAACACATCTCGTGGTAGCCACTTTGGCCTAGAAGCCATGAGACGACTGTTGTGCAAATATGATCCTCAAAATCCTCAAGCTAATTCAGCCTTGTTGAAAAAGGTTCTGCATCCAAGTCAATGCAGTCTTGATAAGCTTCGAGAAGGGCTTGAGAGTTGGGAGAACTTGAAAAGAAAGTATGAAGACAGGAGGAAGAAACCACTTGAAGATGACATCTGCAGGAGTTGTCTGCAGCAAATGTGTCCCAACAAGCTGCAAGATCATTTGGACTTGCAGGCTTCGAGATTGACCACGTATGACCAGGTGAAAGCTGAAGTTTTGGCCTATCTCGAGAATGTCGAGACCAGGAAAGAGGCAAAATCAGGAGCCGTTCCCATGGATGTGGATTCCCTTGCTAAGGGTAAGGGAAAAGGAAAACATGACAAAGGGAAAGGCAAAGGTAAGTCCAAAGGTAAAGACAAAGGAAAGAGTCAGTCTTCGTCTTGGTCAAACAATTCATACCACAAGGGTTCTTGGAACAATCAGTCTTGGAATCAGCAGTCTTGGTATAAACAGAATACCAATGACTCCAAGAGCAAAGGAAAAGGCAAGAAAGGTCAAGACAAAGGTAAAGGTAAAGGTGATCAAGGTAAAGGTCGCAAAGTTGCCAATGTTGAGTCTGATACTTGGGCTCAAGAGCAACCTGCAGCAACTGCCACTGGTGATCAACCTGAACCTGAACTCACAGCGCTGTTCACCTTGGAAGACGCTATGCCGCCCAAGTCCGAAGCTCAAGAGGAATCACCTCGTCGTGGTAGAAGTCCAAGGAGAGCTACACTCCAAGCACCTTCAAGGAGCACTGTGACCAGAAGCGCTATGGTTATGGCTCAAAGCGCTTTGGCATCAGCTTCAGGGTCCAACAAGGAGCTTTTCAGTAAGATGATTGCTCAGGCTGAGAGCGCTGTCAAAGATGCTCAGGACAAAGGGCTCCAAGCAAATCAGGCCCTTAAGGAACGCCAAGAAGCCCTGGACAAGTTGAAGAAAGAGGCAGCCCAGCATCAGAAAGAGGCCAAAGAGGCAATGGCCAAAGTGAGGGCAGAAGGCCGTGCCGCTTCAGCACCGGCTGCACCCTCTCGTCGGTTGCAAGCCGACCTAGATGCTGGAGTACATGCAAGAGCTGCCAAGAAAGCAAAAAGAGTAGGAAGAGAGCTGCTAGTCATCGAGCAGCCACTGCTCAAGAGAGAACAGCTAGCTTCAAGAACTATGAGCTGGCCACCCATGGACAGGCCAACCCCGACAAGTGGGACCAGGAGGACATTGGAGATCTTCCTGAACCTCCCAAGGCAAGAAAGTTGGAACCCAAGCGCCATAGAGGAGGACATCACAGGTCTGAAAGACGAAGGGCAGATGAAGCTAGAAAGAAGGCCAACGAGGACAAGATGAAGGAGATGAGCAAAGAAGGAATCCCAAAATGGATTCATGACAAGTTCGAGATTTCCTCTGAAGAGACCACTGATGAGTATGAATTTGCCAGCAGACTTGAGAAGCTGAAGAACGATCCTGAAGTTCTCAGCAAGTTGGACAATGTCTTGAAGGAGGCCTATGAGAAGGCTTATGGTGAAGTTCTCGACCTAAGATCATCGGAAGAGGTCGACTCACGCGATGTACCATACAATCAGGAACCTGCACCAGGCATGGAAGATGTAGATCGTCATTGGGAGACTTCCTCTCGAAAGCTCATGTCATTCAAGGAGTTGCACGAGAAGTCCAAAACTGTGTTCAACAAAGGACACCCCTATGCGAAGTGCCAGGCATGTGGAAAGGCACTGAACTCCATGAGTCTTGCAAGCTTTTGGCAACATGTGGAGAGCAAGAATTGCTATCCTCAACACGCCCTGGAGTTTTGGAAGAAAGAACACTTTCAAGCAAAGGCTGAAAGAGAAGCAAAGGCTGAAGGAGAGGCATCCAAGAAGCGCCCCATGGATGATGCAGAGGCCAAAGATGAGAAAAAGCGCCAAGAGATTGCCAAGGATGAAGAGAAGAAGAAGCGCAAGCAGCACCTTGAGGAGCACTATGAGCGCTTCAGGCACCAGGGTAAAGATGATTTGAAGCCTGAAGTGAAGAAGATCCCCAAGAGGCCAGAGGAGAAAGAAAAGGAGAGATCAGAGAAGGAGGACGACAAGTCATCCAGCAGGGCACCCATTGAGCTGAAGTCCATATCCCCATCGAGAGCGCCTCAGGACAGCCGGGCTGATTCAGCCCAGGCGTCCAAGGGCAAGGGGATGCTCAGCACAGGTGCCAAGAGATTCTTGGAAAAGGCAGTGCGTGAAGCTGCCAACTTTGTGGAAAGAAAGGCCAGGAAGAAGAAGGAGAAGCCACCTTCTCCCAAGCTCAGGGAGCACTCACCAGGAGGAGGAGTTCGATCAGACTCCAACCTCGACTTCCTGGGAAGTTTGGCATCTCCGGCGGATACCATTGTTTGGGCCACCGTTGACTCAGGGGCTGCAACCAGTTGCCTACCCAAGGAGATGGCACAATCTTTGGAGTTGGCTATGACGCCTGTGGATGAGAAGCCGTTTACCAATGCATCAGGACAACCAGTCCAGGTGCACGGCATATGCAACCCCATGGTGACAATGGGTGAGAAAGGAGGCCCACAAGTCAAAGGTGTGGGACAGTTCCGGGCAATGGATGTGGCAAAGCCATTGCTATCTGTGTCCAAGCTGGTTGAGAAAGGCTGGACAGTGACCTTCGGCCCCAAAGGATCGTTCCTGCAAAGGGGAGCCAAGAAGGTACCAATCACAATGTCTGGAGGAGTCTTCAAAGTAGCCATGGATTTTCCTGGGCAGCCCATAGAAGGGTTGAAGGCGTAAGTCCTGTGGAAACCACAGAGAGCGCAGGTAGTGGAGATGATGAACCGGGCAGTAGTAAGCTAGGTTCTCAAGCACTACCAACTGCAGCAGCGCCTACGCAGAGAGAAAAAGAAGAGCATTTTGTCAGCCATTATCCTTTTAGGAGTTGGTGTGAACATTGCATTCGAGGTAAAGCAAAGGCAATGAGACATGTCAAAGTAGATCATTCAGATGAAACAGTTCCTGTGATCTCAGCTGACTATTGTTTCATGAATTCAGTGGATGACACTGTCATCACAGAGGAAGTGCAGAAAAAGCATGCACCAGTTTTGATAGTACATGATCGATGGTCCAAGTTGACCTACGCACACGTTTTGCCATACAAGGGAGTTACCCAAGGTCCTATTGGATCTAAGTGTCTTTTGAATGACCTTAAGAAGTTTGGGTACCCCAAGATGGTCATGAGATATGACCCAGAGCCGGCACTCAACTCCGTAGTTGAGGCAGCCAAGAATGGTTTTGACAAACAGTTGGTTTTGGAAAAAGTTCCCAAAGGAGTCTCAGAATCCAAAGGGGAAATTGAAAGAGCAGTTCAAGCTATTGAATCTCAATCCAGGACACTCAGAAGTGCCTTGGAGACAAGCTATGGCAGAAAGGTGCCAGACGACCACCCAGTTTTGACATGGTTGGTTGAACATGCTAGCACCACTTACAATTTGTTTCACAGATCATTGGAAGTCAAAGATGGGAAGACACCGTACTCTAGACACCGTGGTCGTGAGTGGAGAGTGTCATTACCACCATTTGGGGAAACAATTGAATTCCTCAAAAGAGGTCACAAGTTTGAACAAAGATGGCACCAAGGAGTTTTCTTGGGAGTCAAAGACAATACCACTGAAAAGATAGTGGGGAATGCATCAGGTGTTTTCACTGTGCAAAGCATTCGACGCAAGAGTGCTGACGACAGATATGATGTCGAAACGTTGATGTCAGTCACTGGGGTTCCTTGGGATCCCCAGGCATCAAAAAGAGATGACATTTTGCTTCCTCAGATTGTTGAGGGAGATCAGCAGCCACTGGCGCCATCAGTGCCAGTTGAGCCACCAAAGAAGTCAACAAGACGACTTTACATCACCAAACGTGATTTAGACAAGTATGGCTACACCGCTGGTTGTGTCGCCTGTGATGCCACTAGAATTGGCAAGAGAAGCAGTGGAGTTCATCACACTCCAGCTTGCAGAGAAAGGATGGAACGTCTGCTTCAAGCAGAAGAGGGCAACCTGAGAGTAGCCCAACATACGGCCAAGGTTGATTCTGAAATCACTGGTCAGAAACAAGAAGTGTCCGAAGAAGGCACAAAGATCCTTTATGGATATTCAAGTGAGAGACCACAAGGAGTCCCTCAAGGTTTCAAGGTGTTTGCGCGCCTTGACAGGAATGCAAGGTATCTCAAGGGTACTATGCCAGAAGGTCCCAGTTGGGATAACGTCTGGTGGAGAGTCACCAGAGAGTTCAAGACAGGAGACATAATCAAGTCTGAACCAATTGATCCTAATTTAGGAGAAGACGTCATCAACGCACCGTTGATTGATGACACTGACATTGTCACTGAGCTGTGGTATTCTGCCACAGGGGAATCAGCGCCAAGTTTGCCAACTGCCGGTCCAATGCAGAGACCAGTAGTACAAGATCCAGCTGCAGATCCAGTTGGAGTAGGAGCTAGTGCAAGCTCAGCCTCAGCCAAGAGAGCAGGAGGCGAGCAAGAAGAAAGATCACACAAGAGGTTGGAAATGTCACCAACCAAAGGTCAGAAAAGACCTGCAGACTCAGGAGGCGAAACGTCAAAACCCAAAGACAGCCGAGCTGCTTCAGCTCAGGCGTCTAAGGGCACCAAACGGCCACCTGAGAATGAGAGACCAGATGACATGGATGATATAGACCAATGTCTTATGAACCTGATCATGGAAGATCGGGAGAGGTATCTTCAGCCCATTGAAGGTGAAGAAGAGCCAGTTTGCGAAGAAACAATTCCTCTTCCACCGGAGTTGGAAGATGAAGCAGCTACATGGTATTATTATGATGATATCAGTGGAAAGATTTTGGACAGCAAAGGTGTAGAACAAGCCAGAAAAGATGAGGTCGAAATTATTGAAAGTTTTCCAGTTTGGGAAAAGATTCCCAGACACAAGATGCCCAAAGGGGTACGCACCATTGGAACACGATGGGTAGATGTCAACAAGCAGGATGAGGAGAATCCACTTTATAGAAGTAGGTTAGTAGCTCAAGAAGTCAAGAAGGGCTCAGGTTTTGATGAATTCTTCGCAGCTATGCCCAGTTTGTCTGCTTTGAAGATGCTAGTTACAATAGCCGTCACGTTTCAGTTGCCAGACGCTGGAAAAGCTGTCAAGGAAGCCTATCGCAAGCGTAGACTTCTAGGATTCCTGGATGTGAAACGCGCTCATTTTTATTCAGATGCGACGCGCGAGATTTACGTGGAGCTTCCTGCAGAAGCAAAGAAGCCTGGAGAAGATGTGGTAGGAAGATTGCTCAAATCATTGTATGGAACCAGAGATGCACCTCTCAACTGGGAGTTGCAAATACAGAAGGTCATGTTGGCCTTAGGTTTCAAGCAAGGAAAAAGCAATCCATGCATATACTACCATGCAGGCCGAGACCTCAGAACTGTTGTACATGGAGATGATTTTACACAGCAGGAACATTTGACAACATCAAATGGCTTCATGAAGAGCTGTCAAAGAAGTGGAAATGTGTGGAACGTGGTATTTTAGGACCACCAGGAACACCAAACACCATCCAGGACATCAGAGTCCTGAACAGAATCATCACGTGGAAGGAGAATGGAATTTGGTGGGAACCAGATGCACGTCACGCAGAGTTGGTGATTGATTTACTCGGAGATGGTCCCCGAGGAGCCAAAGTCAAGACACCACTTGCCAAAGGATCAGTGGAAGATCTTAAGGATGCCGCTGTTTTTCTCAATGATGAAGAAGCAACCCAGTATAGATCAGTTGCAATGCGAGCAGCTTATTTGGCACAAGACCGACCAGATTTGCAAGTAGCAACAAGATCTTTAGCACAAGGGCTACAACGACCAACTACCAGCCACATGCTTATGCTCAAAAGAGTTGCACGATACCTTAGGTATCGACCACGCATGGCACAATTCTTTCCTCATCAGAACAAACTCAGTCCATTTGTGATGTGGTCTGATGCTGACCACGCTGGATGCGTGAAGACGAGGAAGAGCGTGTCAGGAGGCGTCTTGATGGCCGGTGGTTGTTGTATCAAGACTTATTCTAAAGGACAAGGAGTTGTTAGTCTTTCGTCTGGAGAGAGTGAGTATTACGCTCTTGTGAGCGGTGCCAGCAATTTGCTGGGAGAAGTTTCAACCGCCACCCTGAGTCTCCAAAACTAGTAAATGTACTAATTTAGTAAATTTACTAAAAGGGAAGAATTTACGTAATTTTTTGGCTAATTTTCTTGATGTTAGTAATTTTGTGAAAATTGAAAAAGTGCATCAAAAGGGCATGTTTTTTGGGAGCATTTGTCAAAAGCGCATCAAAAGTGCATCAAAATTGCATCGAAAGTGCATCAAAAGTGCATCAAAAGTGCATCAAAAATGCATCAAAAATGCATCAAAAGTGCATTTACTTACGTTAGTAAAATTTACTAACGTAAGTAAATTTTACTAACATTAGTAAAAATTTACGTAAATCCACGTTAGTAAATCCCAAAATTTACGTAAATTTTTGGGCACCTAAATTTACTAGTTTTGGAGACTCAGGGCAAAGACTGGGGTTTGCAACCTGAGAGTGAAGTTTTCATGGATGCAAGTGCAGGAATAGCAATGGGTTCACGTAGAGGACTAGGCAAGGCCAAGCACGTGGATACTCAATACCATTGGGTACAAGACCGCGTTGCCAAGCGCTACTTTCGGCTGAAGAAGGTCGACACTGGCGATATGCTTGCCGACGTCTTGACGAAACCCGTCATAGAGGAGAAAATGAACAAGGCACTGCGGAATATGAACTTTCACTTTCTGGAAGGTGAACATCACCTGACACTGAAGGCATAGATGGCTTGAGTCGTGGCTATGCTCCGCTGTACATATCAAAACTCGCCTAGTTCAAAACACTTGGAGTCACCGTGCCTCCGAACAGGCTCGGGAGGCGTGATCAGATATGTGTACAGTATAGACCATGTTACATGTAGTACATATGTTTGTATATGTGCTGCAGCCTTTTTAGCCATTTTAGTGCTTTTAGCTACCTTCGAGCTAACCGAGTGAAAAGGTGCTGAACAGTGCTCAGGAGTGTTCATCAGATTTAAGAGCCCAATTTCTCTGTTCACCTCTGGTTATTAAACATAGCCATGGAAGATAGCCCATAGAAATAGATGATTTTCCCAGCTAGAAACCTCCATTTATGGTTGGGTTTTTTCATGGCTATGTTAAATAACCAGAGGGTAATTCATAAATAGTGATTAAGAGTGATTAAGAATTCTTTTGTTGACGGTTACTGTTGATGAATAGCGATTAATCACTAATCATATGTCTAATAGTGATTAACAGTGGTTCAAAATCCGCTATATAATGATCATGGAGGTTTCCTAAAATGGAGGTACCCCAAAATGGATGATTTATAACGGACAATCCTACTAAAGTGGATGATTTGGGGGGGGGCCATTGTAGGAAATCTCCATTGTAGGTAACCCCCATGGTATTCCCACATGAAATCTATTGAATTTACTGACTTTTCGTCGTCCGCAGGTAACGGTGGAGGAGCATCATGAGGCACCAGACGATTCACCTGAACTTCGGGCGCCGGAGGAGGGATATGAAGCAACACCCGAGGTGAAAGTTGAAGGATTGGCCGTTGAAGCTGTGGAAACAAGTGGCGAAACTCACGAAAGTGCCGAAACTCCGGAGGCCATTGATCCAACCAGTGAGGCCAAACTTCCGGAACCAGTGGAAGCAGCGGAACCCGTGGAGCCTGCGGAATCCGCGCAAGTCGAGGCCAAACTTCCGGTCGATCCAGGTCCAACAGCAAAGACGGCTGATTTCCAGGCTCGTGCTCGAGTTCACCAGGCGGGAGAAACAGGGTTACACCAGCAGCTACATCTGGAAGCCTCCGGGTTGGGATTGGCATCGCGACTAGAAAATATGGGGGTTTCCTGAAATAGGGGTGCCCCTAAATTATCCATCTTTCTTTGGGATTTTCCATGAAGACCATACCATCCAGCGATTTTTAGGGGTAGCCATGCCATGACTGCCAGGAAAGCACCATAGAAATCATGGGATCGTTGCACGTGTTGAAATTGAAAATGACCAGTGGATGGTGGATGTGGAAAAAAACCCAGCCACAATAAGCCATAAATATGGAGGTTTCCAATAGATGGGGTATCCCTAAATCATCTAGCTATCAATAGGTCTAGAAAATAAACCCTCCAGCGATAAAGGGGTGAACACCCCATTCAAATTGAAAGCCCCATAGATTATTTGTGCACCTGCTCAAGCAGGTCTTCAATATTTTGGATGAAGAACACCGGACACGATCTCGCAGCGATTCTTCCCCACGAGTGTTGGATATTTGGAAGAAGACCCCTGACACGCCAAATTCCACAGAGTCTCCCAAGTGCCTGGACGATTTCTTGGAGTTGTTGTGGTTGGAATTTTGTGGGTTGCATCCCCTAAATTCAACATGGAAGATATTAAATATGATTAAATCCTAGAATGATTTCCATAGCCACTAGTCATCTCAGAGATCTTAGGATTCCATATATTAAAATTTTTTAGGTAGCGTGGATGGTTTTTGGTTTCTGATGTTTGGCTGGAGCTTTTCCAGCCAGATGGTCGGGTTGGAAGCAACACGCGCTCAGCCTTTCCCGTTAGTTTTAACCATTGTTCCTAAGCTATAGGAAACCAAGTGTACAATCAAGTTTCTTTCACGGAACATGGTTTTGTTTGAAAATAGTGCGTTCCAAAAAATCCCGGGCGGATTTCTTTTAAACATTGTTTATCACCATATTCCCCCATCAAATTGGTGTTACTTCCCCATTTCTTCACAGACCTTTGTGACTCTGGGTCCGGGCATATAAACTAGAAGTGCCAAGATTCAACAGGAAAAACAACACGTTCAACGAACGATAGATGGGAAGTACTAGTGTTCGTGCATAGGTGACCATTAGGTAAATGCCACCCACCTCTTGGCAGCACTCCGCTGACTCTGACTACCCAGGCAAGGACAATGTCACATCATGTAGTGCAGAATTGCCACCGCAACGGAACGTGTTTGGAGTCTCTCAGGGCCCTCCAAAAAAAAGAAGTGAAGAAAATGCAATCATGCTAAACATGAGCCAGCATGAATAGATAGCACTTGAAACGAAAAAATACAGAAATGAGACTGAGATGTGGATAGATGTGGCGATTGTGGCGGTGTTGAAGATTGTTGAAGGGTGAGGCCCACGGCCCACCTGGCCCACCTTTTTTCTTATGAATCCGCGTAAAACAATCAGCAGTGTGTCGCTTCTCCGATACCAAAGGAGGCACAAAAAACTGCTCCAGGGGGGTCCTGAGTTGGCATATTTTTGCCGTCAGTTTAAAGATAGATCCAGGACCCAGGGCTACTCTCACAAAACAAGCCCTGCTGTTGTGAGACCCCAAAACTGTGAGGTGTTCATGTCCAAAAAAAAGTCGGATTGAACAGTGCTTAAATATGCTTAAATTCAGATTTCGGATTTTTTATGATATTTTATGAGGTTTTTATGATTCTTCGGGTCATTTTTCGCAGGAGCTTTTGGGGCCATTGGGTGGACCTTCTGGGATTTCTTAGAGACCCAAGTCTGGCCAAGTCTTGGGATGGACAGCAGGAGATCATAAGAGCAAAAAAAAACTCTGCGAGGCTCCGATTCCGGGGCCCTGCATTGATTTCAACGCTCTCCAGGAATGGTTCTGAAACCCAAGGTCCCACGACGTGGTGCCGAATGGCCCGAACTCACCGTTAGTGGTAAAAAAAACAGCCGCATGAAGCTAAAAATCAAGTGCTTGATGTAGAAAAAAACAGTTTTCCTGCCATTCGAAAAGAATTCTGAGACGTTGAATATGTTGATGTTACATCAGATGCGGCTATGTCTCGTGCTTCAGACATCTGGAGTGCGGAGTAAAAAAAACTGCTGAATGCTCCACGAATCTCTGGCCAGGTGGCGTCTTGGGCATGAGTTTTCTTGGGATCCGCATGAACCAATCTGAGGTGCTTGTTGCCAGCTAAGCAGCTAAGCTGTTGAGAGTACTCAGCATCAATGTTCTTTATTATCTATGCCAAAATTACGCCATAAATGGTACTGATATGTGTGGGGATGGGGTTATCAAGTGCTCAAAAATCCACCTTATTTAGCAACCACTGAGGTTGCTTCCCAGTTGAAGCCTGAGCCGTTTTGTTTTGGCTTCAAAGCTGAGAGGTTTGTCTCGGGACAATGACGAGCAGCTGTGAAAAGATGGACGAGTTTTGCTCACCACTGCTGCACTTCTCACTGGGCAAAACAATGCAAAACATCATCTACAATCTAATAATCGACATGTTTTTTCTGCGCAAAAAAAGAAGTTGACCATATTCAAAGCATCAACATTTGTAGATTTTTCACCGACAATGTGAATCAACTTGGGCGCTTGGAAATACTGGCGGTGCCATGTTGGAGAGTGACGAAGATGGTGCCCCTGGGCGTGGGAAGATCATACAGAGGCACAAGCGCGAGATGAAGGCAGGGCGGCAGGGCGACTGGTCCCCGAAAATTGCTACTTGAATGGAGGTGGAATTGGGATTTTAGCATAGTTTAGCCAGTAAAGTGGCCTTCATAAGCATTCACTTGTAGAAATTTATGATTCACATGACCCCAAATAAATAGATTCCATACCAAAGCAGTGTTTCTGCAATGATGCGAAGCAGCCATCTTCAGCAGCCATCTTCACCAAGCACCGGGGATTTGTCCAAAATGGAAAGCTCAGCAAGAAATGTCGCTTGATGACGCTGTTTATACCATCTGGTTATTTAACATAGCCATGGAAAATCACCATTTTTAATAGGTAAACCATCTATTTCTATGGGCCATTTTCCATGGCTATGTTAGTCATAACCAGAGGGTATATCTATTTATGATGCAGGGTGGCTGGTTACTGTAGAAATGGACATGCGCAGGCACTGTTGGAGCAAAAAAGGATTGAATCAGGCCTGCGAAACTGAGAATGGGTGGTGTGGATGGCAATGAATGAGATGTTGGCCACATCCCTACCCTCTTAAAAATGGAATTTGAGGGGGGGGAGTCGTACTGAAATTTCATTTCAAAAAGTCCATTTTTGCAATCATGTTTCTCAATGATCAATATTCCTCATCTTTCCATGTCGTTGGCAAGCAGGTGAAAATTAAATACTTGCGCCTAGCTCCGGAGGAGCTAAGCACATGTCAGACTGAAGCAGCACATGTGTAGGGATGGCATCCCTCCAAAACATTGCGCTGCCGTGATCATACTTGCGCGTAGCTCCTCTATTTTCTAACCAGTGCCCAAGGCTTGTTAAGAAATGTTAGTTTACAATTCCATTCGAGGGGTTGGATCACTATCCCAAGGTTTCCAAGCAAAAAAAAGTGGAATTCGACAGGTTGGTTTTGTCCCCCTCCGCCCTCCCCCTCTATAGGGGTAGGGATTTGGCCACAGTTAAGCTGCATTTCCTGCCGTATTTCCTGCATGTGTTGAAGGATGTTGAAGGTTGGTGGGTTAGTTTTTGTCATGGGTCCATCCGTCGATTGGGAGAATGTTCTGGGAATACGAGCTACCTTGGGGGCTTCAAGACGAAGGGTTTTTTTAATATGTTCACTTCTCGTTTGGGAGTATGGGTCACCATGGGTCACCCTTGGCCAGGAAAGTTGATGAGTTTTGCCAAGGCGAAACGTGAGAACAAAAAGATCGAAGCGAGACAAGAGAAAAGAGACCTAGAAGACAAGTACAAAGCCTTGGAAGCGACTTGCACCAGCACAGCTATCGGAAAGCATTGGCTTTCAAGACATGTTCCAACACACTGGAAGGTTATCTGAAATGGGTATGGGTCAATACCTATAGATACCATTTTTAGTGGGATGAACATCCATTTACCAGCTATTTTGGGGTTCACTAGGGGTACAGGGTTTTGACCCATCCCCAAATGACCTTCATTAATATTCTTCACTTGCAAGTGTCTGAACTGCGAAGTAGGATGCATTTCTTGGAGGTGGCACCCCTCAAGATGTCCTGTTTTGGCTGCCCCATTGTGGGTACCCTCTAACAAGATCTAATAAGATGATCAATACCAAAAAATGCTCAACATTGGGATGGTCATCAACTTGAATATCAATCCACTTTCATGGGGATTTATACTGCTTTTTATAATTTTATACTCATGGTCTTGGATTCTGGTTTTTTTAAAAAAAACTCCCATGGATGATCATAAATCATGGATTAATCCATATTGATCCATATATCAATATATATTAATCCATATGAATCCCATGTGACCATGGCGTATTCCAAGGACGCAATGAAGCAGAGACACGCAGAAGAATTACGACAAGCCTCGGATGAGACTCCAGAGGTTGCTTGGTACAGCCCTGGTCAAATATGAGATGGCTCATGGATTAATAATGGATTAATAATGGATTAATAATGGGTTAATATGGATTAATAATGGATCAATAATCGATAAAGAATGGATTGATACTGATTAATACGGATTAAGAATGGATTAATATGGATTAATAGTGGGTTAATAATGGACTAATGAGTTAATCTTGACAGGACCATACAGGAGCCGTTTTACCTAAAATAGTGATGCAAGTAGAGAATGTTAAACCACGGCAATGAAGTTGGACATGGGAAAAGTCAACCCGGCTTGGAAGCACAGCTTGAGTTACGAAAAACACTTTTTGGAGATCTATGTTAATATCTGTCCACCTTGTAAGTCGCCTGGCACTTCGGAAATTCAGGATGTCTAACAGTCTAACGCTATACTTAAAGCATCTTAAAGCCTTTGCTATTTGAATTGCGTTGTCTCATATGGAATGATATGGTATGTGCATAGTTCATCATAGTTCAACCAGCATTGCCCCACGGTCTGAGGAAGCATCAGATCAGCCTCCGCAAGCCAGCGAATACGTGGAAGTCGAAGCAGATGAAGGCTGCGATGCAATGGAATTTGGGTGCCAGAGCTAACATAGGGATCTAGAAAACATGGGGCTATCACCCAGGGATAGCCTCAAGCTCCCAGTTTACCATGTGAAGCCCAGGTTTGGCAAGTGTTTAGCCCCTGCATGGGGGGGTATGCTCCCATATAGAAGGAAGGTATGATGATGGATGACTTTCAAACAATTCTTGTAAAATGCATCTGAAGCCCAAATATTCAACTAGTTAGGTCTAGTATATCACATGCATGTATATACGCACCATTCATCCTAGCTAGCTTGGCTATAAACCAACTTGACACTTGACATTTCAATGCCGGGACTAACACCCCATTGGGGTCGACCATAGTCCGCACTGGCCGCCAGTTCCAGGCACTCCAGGCACTCGCAAGTCGCGCGCGCAGAAGAAGAAGAACCTGCTGGCGGAAATTGAAAAGGAACTGAGAGAAGGGCCCAAGGAGTAAGAAATCTGAGAGCTCCCGTTCCCATCTGGGGCGCGTCCAAAAAGGATCCAAACATGGTTAGTTGGTTCCAAATTAATCTGCTAAAGCTGGTGCTCGAACATGCAGGGTGCTTCCGAGTTGGCAAACTCGACGATAGAGAACCAATTTTTCGGGTAAAGTTGGGCACAATGGGCTGTTTCGAATTGGGTCTGCCACATTATATCCGTTATTTGGTGACTGGAGATATCACCCGCAACCATGGGGGTACAACCAGTGAAATATGTGTGGGATAGCGGGTTTTTGTACCCTCTGGTAAACTAACATGACTATGGAAAATCACCATTTTTTATGGGTAAATCCACTATAAATGGCAATTTTCAATAGCTATGTTTGTTTACCAGAGGGTATAAAGCATGATGTCGCGTATAAAGTTCTGGATTTGCAGAAAATGATGCCCTTTGCGGGATGATACTGTGATCTCTGCTGAAGCAACATAGCTGTGCCGCCATGGAGGACATGATTAGCTAATCAATTATACTGGGTAAATTATAACGACCTCACTGTTCTCCCTAACTGGAATCATAGTTAATAATTAAGGGAAATCATCCCCTTTTATGGCCGAACCATTCAGGTTAGTGAAATATTACAATTTACCCAGAATTATAGTAGGAATGTAGATCAACAACTACTGGATTACTGGCACCTTACAGTATTTTGGCCAATCTTGGGGCTTCCCCAGACATTGTAGAACTGAACAAATCAAATCTAGGATTTCGATAGAAACCAAAACTCCTTTGGCACGGACCCCAAAGGTTTGACGGGTTCAATTTTGGACACCCAGGGGGGCAATATGGGCCAATAGCTGATCCTTTGTACATAGAGGATGTTAGAGTCGCAGGGCACTCATGAGCCCCTGCAGAGAGAAATGGTGCAGGATGTGGAGTGGGTGTGAGATGCGCGGCAAGAACGCAGTATGCAGATGACATACATCTCCATACTTGCCGCACTTGCCATATTACTCCATTTTTTTTGCTTAATGTATGGCATGTATAACATCATATGATATAACATGTATATCACTTTATATCACAATATATTGCCCCATATTTGCCATAGTGTGATGAATGTCTATGGTGGATTCAAAGTCGGCCTCACTGCGACGTCACTAGAATAATGTGTGGTACGGATGCCTATCCCAAAGTGTTATATATCCGGATGCGTGTCTACCCTTCGCTTATTTCACATAGCTGTGGAAGCCATGGCCTACAGAAATAAATAGATGACTTAATTACTTATGATGATTTACCCTCTGGTAAACAGACAAAAAACTATTGAAAATCACCATGCTATTAATGGGAAAATCAACTATTTCAATGGCCATTTTCAATAGCTATGTTCCACTTCCAAAAGTATGCCACCAGATCCAGCCACTCCCATGCTGACTCGAGAATCGCATAGCTATGTTAGTTTACCAGAGGGCACCGTTTTCTGTAAAATTGTGATTGTCCAGTTCGCCAGTTTGCTTCAACCACCGGAAAAGCCCGTGTCCCTCGAAAACCGCTTCGCCAGGTCGGAACGGTAGCCGCGGTAGCCGAAGCCGCAGTGCCAGTCGAAGCCCTGGTGCCCAGGGCCCCACCAAGTTTTGCCAAGTTGGAAACCCCAAAGTCATGGTGGTTTGGAATGGTCAATAATGGTTAATCATGGTTAATGATGGTTGATAATGGTTAATAATGGGGGAATATGATACTGGTTGGTGGTTTGGAACATTTTTTATGACTTTCCCATCATATTGAGAATAATCATCATCCCAACTGACGAACTCATACTTTTCAGAGGGTTAGGGCTCAACCACCAACCAGCCCCAAAGTCATGGCTTTTGTTCCCCACCTGCCAGGTGAGGGTTGTTAGATTTTATGTCAGTTGCTTCCTCCTCGTCCTCGTCCTCCTCCTCCTCGTCCTCCTCCCCCTCGTCCCCCTCTCTCCTCCTCCTGCTCCACTGCGATCCATGTCAGTGTGTCCTGCCGGACCTCAACCACGACCATCCACGTTCAGTGTGCCCTGCCGGACCTCAACCACGACCATCACCGCCCAGTGTTCCCTGCCGGACCTCAACCACGAGTATCCCCGCCCAGTGTTCCCTGCCGGACCTCAACCACGACCATCCACGCCCAGTGTTCCCTGCCGGACCTCAACCACGACCATCCACGCCCAGTGTTCCCTGCCGGACCTCAACCGCGAGTATCCACGCCAAGTGTTCCCTGCCGGACCTCATGTAGGAAGATAAAATGTCAGATAGAGTGCCAGAAGATTTGCCAGGTAGAATGCCAGAAAATATGCCAGAAGATATGCCAGATAGATATGCCAGAAGATATTCCAGAAGATATGCCAGATAGAAGATAGAATGCCAGATAGAATGCCAGATAGAATGCCAGAAGATATGTCAGAATATATGCCAGAAGATATGCCAGATAGAATGCCAGATATGCCAGAAGATATGCCAGATAGAATGCCAGAAGATGCCAGATATGCCAGAAGATATGCCAGATAGAATGATAGAATGCCAGAAGATATGCCAGATAGAATGCCAAATAGAATGTCAGAAGATATGTCAGATAGAATGCCAGAAGATGTGCCAGTAAGAACATGTATAAATGTCATGGTGGGGATCACACGAAGTAAAGTTTTTTTTTTTTGGTCGTTTGGTGATTTGCTGCTGCGTGATTGATGCGATGCTTGATGGTGATTGATGGTGATTCGATTTTTTTTGAATGTCCAACCATCAATTTTTCTGGGTGTTCTAAATTTGATGAATTACCATTCCCCCTGTGAAGATTCAGAACGAGGGAAAAGTGGAAAAGTAGTCGGCTGCAGCCGTCGTTTTCCAGCCCCCGGTGGTATGGCGGAGTCTTTGTCAGTTGGAGGGGGGGCGTAAAACCAACGGGGTCGAACGCATCACAGAACACGTCATCAAGGTAACCCTCCAATCTTGGAACCCCCAGTAACATGGGAAGTATATCAGAAGCGACTGATACAATTTTGGAATCCTTCAGATGCTTTTTTTTGAGGGACGGATGCTTCAGCAACAGGAAACGGCACAAAACCCAGTGGATCAAGGGGATGTGGAAGATTCAAAGTGTCAGAGGCTTTCCCACATTCCAAGGTCGGAGCCAACTCGAGAGGCCCATACCGCTTTTTCCTACACCAAGCGTTGCCGACCGTTGCGAACTGACCGGCAAAGACCCAGAAGAATGATTTCTACAGATATTGATATTAATCTGAATATTTCTTGTTATTGTCTCTGTTTGGCGCATGTTATAGGTCTAACATGGTCTAACTAATAGTGGTTAGAGTATCACTTGCATCCTTGGTCCTGATCCAGGAAAGCGGATGATGCTTCGTTGAGAAATAGCCAGTAGCTGAGGGAAATGGACTTTGAAACCTTGTGGGCTTTGTGGGCTGTTGACCAACCACTTTCTAGGGAAATGTCACTTTGAAGCGGTCATAGAACGTTTTGTTAAACTGGAAGTCGTGCGAAAAGATAGAAGGAAAACCACACCAGTTATAAATGGATGAACTCTACTTATCCAATCTTATCCATACTTTTCCCATTTAATCTATTTATCACTGGGGTTACTAAGAGATCATTGTTTTTTTCAAAGGATCGTTACTGGAAATGCCAAATGTTCATCGCTGCCAGGTCTGCCAGGTGGCTCATCTGCAATGCCACAGAGAACTCGGATACAATCCTTTGAGGAGCCGACTGTAAATATGGATTTCATGGGGAGTTTTAATTTAACCAATTTAAGTGATGATTTCATGAGGATTTAACCACTGGAATTGGATGGATTTGGGATTTCGTCTCTGGTAATCAGATCATTTTTGGCTGGAAAATCCACCGATAGATGATTGTCCGGAACTAACACCTCCATTTACTTCGGAAATTTCCCATTGCCGCGTTTGATCACCGGAGGCTTCCACATGCTTCCACATTTTTCCTATCAAAACCATTGAAACCCTGATTCGTTTCACCACATGTTCCAAATCTTTTCCCATCATGTTCCATCGTTTTTCCCATCAAAAACCGAAAAAAAAACAAAGTTCCCACATGTTCCAGATGTTTTCCAACGATTTTTCCCATATTTTCCCATCAAAAATCATGAAAAACAACGCATTTTGTCGCCGGACCCAGGAGATCCTGGCTGCCGTTCGCTCCGGGGCCATGCCCTCCGTGATGCCCGCGCGCGCCGGCTCCGCGCTGCAGCCGCCACACCGCGGAGGCTTCACCCTTCCGGCGCGCGCGGAGCCTCAACGGACCAGGACCAGAGGACCAGTTATCCAGTTATCCATACCACTAGTGGTAACTACAAGGTGACTGGCTAGTCATTATAGCTATAGTTATTAAGTTAGTAACTACTATACTATTTGGTTAATGACTAGGGTGAGTTCAGTTTTTTAATAAGTGAGACAAGGCCACGAATTGGGGACTTACTAGGCTTACCAACCACTTGGGATTCTTGTTCAAGTGTGGATGATTTCTTGGAGGATTCTGACATGTTCGCGGATGATGCTTGGATGATTTTTGGAAGATTATGACATGTTGCGACGATTTTTCGAGGTTAAGCTATGTTTTGCGGTTATTTCGGGGGTTTGCATGGTTTTCGGTGCTGAAAAGTGATGCATCAAGGGTTTCTTGGATTGTTTTTTTGGAGGGGGGACTTGTGTTTGGATAGAAATATGAATTATATCAGATTGAGCATGGAAATGAACGCCAAGAATATAAGAATTGCGCGGAGAACTTTATTGTTGTGTCACCTAGGTTATTTGGAACTTGGTGCATGTCAGGGTGTTAGTGTGTTGGATTCTTACTGGACATGCTGGTGGTTGTGGCTTTTTCAGGAGCCTGAAAAAGAATTGTTGACTCTGCGATCCGTTTCACGCGGAACCTGCTTTCCTTCTGCAGGTTCTTTGTACGATTCCGGCCAGGGGCCTAAGGGCGGGCCTGCCCCCGCGTTCCGTTGCTTCGGCAAGTCAAGTGAGTCCAGCATACGTATATTTCGGCCATCGGCCCT